GTTATGCACCTACCAATGATAGCAACGACGACGTTAAGGATCAATTCTATGAGAGGCTGCAATCAATCATAGAGAAGTGCCCAAGAAAGGACCTCACCATTCTGATGGGAGATCTAAACGCCAAAGTCGGAATGGACAACACCGGATATGAAGACATCATGGGACTGCATGGACTGGGAGAGAGAAACGAAAACGGGGAAAGATTTGCAAATCTGTGTGCATTCAATAAATTGGTCATAGGCGGTACAACATTTCCACACAAACGTATACACAAAGCTACGTGGATCTCACCGGATCACACCACAGAGAACCAGATAGATCACATTTGCATCAATAAAAAGTTCCGAAGGACAATGGAAGATGTGAAAACCAGGAGAGGAGCGGACATAGCTTCAGATCATCACCTGGTTGTGGCCAAATTGAAACTGAAGCTAAAGAAGAACTGGACAACTGGACAAACAGCACCACAAAGGTTCAATACAGCCTTCCTTCGAGATACTGACAAACTCAATGAATTCAAGGTAGCTCTCAACAACAGGTTCCAAGCCTTACAGGATCTACTGAAGGAAGAAGAAACTACTATGGAGGATAGCTGGAAAGGTATCAAAGAAACATTAACTTCAACGTGTCAAGAGGTTCTGGGCCCCAAGAAACATCATCACAAGGAATGGATCTCTACAGAAACACTGGACAGGATCAAAGAAAGAAAGAACAAGAAGACAGCAATTAACAACAGTCGAACAAGAGCAGAGAAAGTCCAAGCACAAGCAGAGTACATAGAAGCAAACAAGAAAGTGAAGAAGAGCATTAGAGCTGATAAGCAAAAATACGTGGAAGAACTAGCAACGACGGCGGAAAAAGCTGCAAGAGAAGGAAATATGAGACAGCTTTACGATACGACGAAGAAGCTTGCAGGGAAATACAGTAAACCAGAGAGACCAGTCAAAGACAAAGAAGGAAAACCAATCACTGAGATTCAACAACAGCGCAACAGATGGGCAGAGTACTTCGAGGAACTCCTGAACAGACCGGCTCCAATGAATCCACCGGACATCGAAGCAGCACACACAGATCTTCCTATAAATGTCAATCCACCAACGACAGAAGAAATCAGAATGGCCGTCAGACAAATCAAGAGCGGGAAAGCAGCAGGACCTGACAATATACCAGCTGAAGCGTTGAAGTCAGACATCGAAGTAACTACAAGCATGCTTCATCTTCTATTCAAGAAGATTTGGGAGGAGGAACAAGTGCCGATGGATTGGAAAGAAGGACACCTCATCAAGATTCCAAAGAAAGGAGATCTGAGCAAGTGTGAAAACTACAGAGGCATTACACTACTGTCAATACCGGGTAAAGTCTTCAACAGAGTGTTACTGAACAGGATGAAAGACGCAGTTGACGCTCAACTTCGAGATCAACAAGCTGGATTCCGTAAGGACCGGTCGTGCACAGACCAGATTGCGACACTACGGATCATCGTCGAACAATCAATTGAGTGGAACTCGTCACTCTACATCAACTTCATTGATTATGAGAAGGCATTTGACAGTGTAGATAGGAGGACGTTATGGAAACTTCTTCGACACTACGGAGTTCCTGAGAAGATTGTCAACATTATCCGGAACTCATACGACGGACTACAGTGCAAAGTAGTGCATGGAGGACAGCTGACAGACTCATTCCAAGTAAGGACCGGAGTAAGACAAGGCTGTCTACTCTCTCCCTTCCTGTTTCTTCTGGTGGTCGACTGGATTATGAAGACCTCGACATCTGAGGGAAACTACGGCATACGATGGACAGCTCAGAACCAATTAGACGACTTGGACTTCGCAGATGACCTAGCCCTCCTATCACATACACACGAACAAATGCAGATAAAGACAGCCAGCATAGCAGCAGTCTCTGCATCAGTAGGCCTCAACATACACAAAGGGAAAACCAAGGTCCTCAAACACAACACGGAGAACAGCAATCCAATCACTCTTGATGGCGAAACTCTGGAAGACGTGGAATCCTTCACATACCTGGGAAGCATCGTCGATAAACAAGGAGGTTCAGATGCAGACGTCAAGGCGAGGATTGGCAAAGCTAGAGCGGCATTCCTTCAACTGAAGAACGTATGGAACTCAAAACAACTTTCAACCAATATCAAAGTCAGAATCTTCAATACGAACGTCAAGGCAGTTCTACTGTACGGAGCTGAAACTTGGAGAACTACAACAACCACCATCAAGAAGGTACAGGTATTTATTAATAGCTGTCTACGCATGATACTCAACATCCATTGGCCGGATACCATCAGCAACAACCTTTTGTGGAAGAGAACCAACCAGCTTCCAGCTGAAGAGGAAATTAGGAAAAGACGATGGAAATGGATAGGACATACATTGAGGAAATCATCAAACTGCATTACGAGACAAGCGCTAACTTGGAATCCTGAAGGGAAGCGGAAAAGAGGAAGGCCAAAGAACACATTACGTCGGGAAATAGAAGCAGATATGAAAAAGATGAATAAGAACTGGAAAGAGCTTGAAAGGATTGCCCAGGACAGGGTTGGATGGAGAATGCTGGTGAGCGGCCTATGCTCCTTCACGAGGAGTAACAGGCGTAAGTAAGTAAGTAAGTAAGCTGTCAAGATTCGAGAAGACGGCTAATATACACTGATGAGGACAAGTTTCTTCGTTGTTATTTTCTAAGTTTACAAGTAGAGCAACCGATAAAAGACTTTATAGATTTCCTAAATATGTAAAAGTTGTTTACATTTAATAATATTATTGTTTTCTTTTTCATAAGCTATTTACTTTACACAAGTTGTTTTCTGATTGCCTGATGACTTGCTGGAAATTTTTCGCGGTTGTTTTAACCACTTCCCTATATTATATATATTCTTGCCATGAACTACGAATTTCGAAAAACTTGAATAAACCCCCTATAGTGATTAATCACTCTCTTTGTAGTGACTAAATTTGTGAGGTGATTCCGGAATTCTAGTGAGAGCTTGTGATCAGTGGAGTTCAACCATGTTGGATGTGATAAAGTTCCCAACCAAGTATGTTGGAAGGTGCTAAGACCCTATTATGAATTGATTGGAGTTAAACGGATGAAACATGGGATTTTCACTCACTGGTGGTCACTTCTGTGGATTCTCATATTATCCAGTGTTATATCCTAGCTAAGGTTAAATTCTGGAAAACTTCTAAGAACTATTTATGGACTAATATTGTACATATATTCTTATTGTATAAGTGTTAAGAAACTAAACTGTATATATTTATATTCCTCTTATTATAAGCTTTTATTTGTCTATTTGTTATTGTTATATGATTTACTATCCTCAAGCTATTCTCAATCTATTGGTCAGTCTCTCATAATCACACCTACTGTTGCCTTGAACTTGTACAAATGTAATTCCTTATTTTATGGTGTGATGTGATCTGATTTTGCTAGTATATAAACCAAGTATGTTTGAAATATGTAATTTATATCGCGGAGGCTGTGATTGACTTTCTGGACTTAACAGACAGGGTTAGGCGGAAATAAGGAATAGTTGGAACTCTAGGCTGGTATATGCGTCGTTTGTTGATCGTATAAGCCAGCGTATTTGAATTGGCAATCATATTTCGTTATAATCGTATGGGTAGGAACATAACATAATTCTTGCTGGTTTTCAGTGGTTGCTTAACCACATGATTTTTATCTATGAAAATAAGAATATCTCTATAAACTTCCATAGTAACATTTTACATATATTGTGTGTAAAAACTAACCAATTCACGGGAAAGTTATATAATACTGTTCATTATTTATATTCATTCACGAGAGATGTTATCTACTATTGTTACTAAAGTAGGCTCGATAACTGACACTAAGTATACTGCATTACTATATTATTGGAGATGTAATTGAATATCAATGTAATAACTGTCAAACGTGTAGAATATACCAGCAAAATAGAAAAGTCGAAATTTGAGCAGATAACAATGTTATCTGATTCATTTGAATATTTATATTGAAAAAGTAGTTTGTACAATTTTGAAATGTTTTCTTCGATCACAGAAGTATACTCTTTTCATGTAGTTTAAATAGTAATTTCTACATTCTAGTTAATTTACTTTGGTGTGCAATCAAATAAAAATCCTGTTTCAAGGTCATCAAACAAGATGGCCGGTTTCAATCATAGAATACATATTTTGCCCAATCTATTTAAATAGATGACTTGGTTAGTTTAACACAAATTATAAACAAAACTCTGATGATTATCAATAAACAGACACATTATTTGGTATGAATGTCATTTTCCAATATGTATATACATATATATGAACCCATTTCAGATACTATGTTTTACGTAGACATACAAATACTACGTGTATTTATAGTTCAAAAACCTACATGGTCGGTTTCACACATTCAAAAGATTTTATATACGTATATGAAGATGATCGCTGAAGTGTAATTGTACATATATTTCACACATATACACACATACACATACCTACATTAGATAATATGTTGAAGAGTATTGACCATTTATAAATTATTTTGGGGTTAATCTATGTAGACATACCAGCTAACACACGTGGGCACATAAAAATAGGGTCTATTTTATTTAATATTCACATTTTCATGTAAATATCCCTGACAAACAATCAACAAAATCCCGAATATATATACATATATATGCGCATGTTTAAGGCAAGTTATTTTAAGATAAAATCTATGCCATTCAATATAATTCTATTAAAACTAGTTTCATACAGAGTTCAACAAAGATCCAAACTTTCACTTGTAGATATATATATATATACATATTGTGAACAATCATTCTAATCAAGAAAAACAAAAATTTTTTTTAATTCTTATTAACAAAGATTGAACAAACAAAATGGATTTAATTTTTGAATTATTTCTATAAATGAAAACAATTAGGAAACAAAATAATTAATTTTAATAAAATGTCATCTCCTTTAAACAATTACTGTTACGTAACATTATTATTATTATTATTATTATTACTATTACCATTTCTATTACTATTACATCATATTTAAATCATAAATAACATGGTAAATATTCAATGTTTTATACAAACAATACATTTAAATTATTTTATTTATATAGTATTAATTCTATTATATTCAATATGTTATATTCAATGTGAAAATACTAATAAATTAAAACATTATGAATTTGATAATGATTTTAATGATTTAACAGAAACTACACCACAAAATCTTCAATTAATTCGAATGAAAAAAGGAATAGACAATTCCAATGATAATCATATTGACATTGAACATAATATTGAAACTTTAAAAGATCATTTTAATCGTTTAAACAAAGTAAATTATAATGATCATGATGATAATGATCATGATAATAATAATAATAATAATAAATTAACTAATCATGATGAAGTGAATCTATTAAAATCTTTATCAAATTATAATGATAAACCAAATGAACAAAGTACAACATTTACATTTATTGAAATGATTGTACAACGTACAGTAAATAAATATATGAATGTAATACGTACAAGATCTGATTGGTTGAAACGATTATTACAATTAGTTAAAGAAGAAAGAGATATACGTTCAAGATATAATTGTTTTACAGATGCATGCATTTATAAAATTCAATTATTTACAACACAACTTAAAGCTCATCTTCTTAGAAATACAGTTCATTTAGAACCAATTCAGCATAAAAATCATAGAAATATAGATTTACATTTGAAACGAATGAAAAGATCAATACCAGAATCATCAGTATTTTCAACATCATTTGGTATTAATGATTCAACTATTGAAATTTTAAATGATGGTTCAGAAATACAAGATTTATTATTTCTACATGATGATGTTACAGAAGATGATGCTTTACGATTACCAGATGAAGTAAATAAATTAAATTTAATAAGACATCGTGAAGATGAGGATTCTATGACAAATAGGACAAATAATAATGATAGTAAACATAAATCAATCAAATTTGATAATCCTGATAAAATTGATGTGGCTAGATTTAGTCAAGAATTGACTGGAGATGTTTTATCTAAGCATATAAAAAGTCAAACAGTTACAGCATCTATTTTCACTGACATGACAGAGGGCAATTCAATGAATATTGCTACAAATGTTAATGATAATAATAATAATAATAATAATAATAATAATAATAATGACGTCAGTAGTAGTGTAACAACACCGTTTATACCTATTCAACAGTTACATATATCAATGGATAACCAATCAAATTTGTTAATAGACAGTGAGCCAAATCTATATTCAGATAATTCAGTGAATAATGAGGATAATAATCTTATTGAAGTTAATCACAAAAATCATGATGAAGAATTACCTATAAGTATGACTGAAAAAGTTTCAAATCTTTTGTTAGATGAATCAAATGATCAGAAAAATACTTTGAATGATGATGAAAAAGAGAGAAAACAAGTAGAAGATTTAGTCAATAGTACAGTATTCATAGAAGATGAAAATAATATTCATGCATCATCCTTTTCTACATCTTACACTGAGCAACCAACATTATCATCACCAACTGAAACAATTGCATTAACAACTAGTTTGCCCATTTCATTGGATAATCTATTATCTACACCGAATTCAATAGATTTTACAACTGATGAATTATTCGACCAGATGAATACAACATCATCATTATCACCATTAACCACATCAACAATAACAACTACAACAACAACAACAACCGATAACGATCATTCAGAAGTATATCAACATTCAATGAAACCATCATTAAATATTAGAGCTATTTCATTAACTGTTGAAGAAACATTAGCTATACCATTTGGTTTGAATAAATTCGATGGACGACCATATGAGAATTGTACTGGACAATATGAAAATTATTGTTATAATGCAATAAAATGTGTTTATATTAGTGTATTAGAAACAGCTGCTTGTTAGTAAGTTTAATAATAGTTTATTCATAAAAAATTATTCGTAAGTTCTATAACATACAGGATGTATAAATTTATATTATATTTTATCATTTAAAGTTTATATAGAATATATAGATAGTAGCTAGCAATGGAATCCAAGAAGCGCGTTTCGTCTTAATCGAAACTCATAAGCTGGATGTACCTGTAATACATGCACATTCACTGTTGTCAGTAACATTTTCCATGAAAAGGGTCAATCTTTGATAATGATGAACTTTGTTCTGCAAGTTACACCTACTGATTTCGTCAATATCAGCCCTCGTCAGTACGGTAGACAAGCTTCTATGTTAATGTACAATGGGAAACCCCACCGCTAAAGTATCTGTTGTGATATGAATGGTTGAATAATTCTAGATTATAGAATAAATACTAATTAGCGTTATGACAGTTGTGTTAATCAATAAAATTACTAGTATTCTTAATGCTGGCAAACTGATAATCTTGACTCACGGAGTATAGTAGAACTTACACTGGAAATATTTATAATCATGTCAAGTTTAGAAATCTTTTTAATTATCAAGCATACAACTGATGAGCGACTTTGTTAATCTCTCAAAGATGATGAACTTTAACTAGAACAGTGATAATTTTATCATTCCAAGCACTGACCTTAGTTGGTTCCATCTACATACTGATAAATCTAAGGGTCTGGACTGAATATCACAATATTTCAGTTAGATTATGTGACACAATGTTGGTTGATGTAGGAGAAAGTTAGAAGAAAGCTCGGAGTGGGCGAATCAAGACTTGGCATCTATCTATGAAATCATGGACAGTTTGACTCATTCATGTTGGTAGGTATAGACTACTAGGTTAAGGTTGGGGAATTACCATAAGCAATGCTTAGTGGTGTGACGCAGTCGCACAGATAGATGTATTCGTTCTTTGTCTTCCTTTAAATCATGAATTTCAAAATTAGCTTAACCTTTCTGCTAGTTGGATTCTTATTTCTTTCTTGATTCATATTGTTTATGTCTGACACTTTTTATTACCACATATCTCACTGTGCTAACACAGTGTGTTAGCTTGAACCGATGCACATATATGCCAAGTACTACGTTGCATATATTTGACTGACTGATATGAGTAGTCTGTTTTTCATTTTATCAACCCCTTCCTGTTATTTTGATTATCTCAACAAACTGATTTCCATATAGATGGTGATGAGTTTTATTACTGGTGAAAATGTATATATTTGCTCGTAACTTAGGATACATAAACGTATTTGATAAACATCGCACGAGAATTAATTACAAAACTTTGATATATGACCCTTATGATTTTCTAGCATGTTTTAAGTTTTTGTTAATTTGTGTGAAATGTTTTCTCGACTATGTTTATAAGCAGTAAAAATTCATATGATTCCGATGATATGACCTTGAAAAGTTGATATTGTCAAGTGACAGACTTGACATTTGCTATCTGTCATGTAGGAAAGCATGCTTGTGTATATGTATATGCGTGGTAACCTATGAAAATTGGTAAGGTTGATGTTTGCATCTTATGAAGTAGTATATTTACAAAGTTTAACAATTTACGTAAAATAAATATTCCTTTCGGTGAATCATTAGGGATATGTTCATGACCTGCGAAAAAATGATTTAAAAACAAATACATGTGCAGTGTCACATAGAATGTCATAGAAAAATTCTTGGATAGCTATTTATCAACAAAATTCGACGTATCAGCTCAGTGGTGATTATTCTGTACTCTCATAGACCGCCATCAGAAAACAAAAATCACTGAACAACTGCTTCTTACTAATATGGGGCTCCTCAGCAGTGCGCATTCACGAGGAATGTAATACTAGGGAGAAACAGCTGTTCGGTGCTTCTTGGTTTCCGAAGTCAGACTGGCGAAGGTCACTTTGTGATTTAAACTATGAAAAGTCCATAGTATCCCCAAACTCTCTGATATTTCCCGTTTCACTTCGATGAATTTTGATCATCCAATAACTGTTTTAGAGTCTCACAAACTGTTCGTACATATGATGTCAATTAGTGGTGAAAACTAATCTGAACAGCATTCACAAACTCTTTATCTTATTAATGATAATGGTTTCACTAGTTTCTGAGGCTAGTGAGAATTCACAACTGATTGAATTCGGCTACGTTGAAAGTCAAACAATTACCTACGATTGCTATTGAACGATAGTCGCAACATATAATGAAATGGACTAATAGTGGTGATGTGAAAATTTGAATTTCAGCTTACTGATATCATTCTCACTGCAAGAGCTGAGGGTACGGGGTTCGATCCTTGGGAGGGTCATGGATACGTACTGCTGTGGAACATCATACTAGGATGAAACAGCTGTTCAATACAGCAAAAGTATGCTTTGTTGACGAATCAATCAGATTCAAGGTAGTGTCTGATAGATTTCTGTGCATAATTTACAAGTCAGTGACAGATAGTTTGTATATTATTATTTTTCAAGACGTTTAAAGTTAATAACATAGGAAGACTAAAATATAGGAGCTATAATTTTAGTGGTATTTGAAATCAAGGAACTAACTAGATAAATATTCATCCAAATCACTACAAAACTTCACCCCTACTTTCTTACCTATACCCCTAATCTTAAACCATAATCCTGATCTTAATTGAGGATTTTATGTAATAAGTTATTCGTTTATATCACCTTTATTCTGATTGTCTGCAACTTAGCTTTATTTCCTCAAGATCATTTCACTAGAGGTCGTCCGTGAAGTAAGCCGATAAGATCAATGCTTCTTAGTTTACAGTACTTCTCCGGTTGACACTAATCCGTAACGAAATAATATTAAATGTAAATTAGACTTTACAGGCCATTCAAACTAAAAAAAGACTGTAAAATTCCAAAATTCCACTAAATGAAACAATACTTTTTTAATAAAATTTGGTTACGTAATCCGACCTTATTTGTAAAGACATTGATTGTGTGCAAGTTATAGAAGTTACCATAATACGATTTTTTCGAGGGTATACCTACCACAATGCTAATATAATAAAATGATGACGTAAATCCTTCATCGAATGCTAGTTTGTATATTTGGCTATGGGTGGGAATTTTTGTATCTGATATCTAAGAATGTCACCAGGCTTCCCAAAGAGAATTAGGTGGGTGAGGAAAGCTCAGTTCGCACCTGCAGTCTACTAATTAAAATCATGTTGTTTTGGCTAGATAAATCAGGATATATATATATATATATATATATATATATATATATATATATATATATATATGTATATATGTATATACATATAAGAATGTTCATTTGGAATTCATGTGGTTTATTTTCGGCTTATTACTAATTTTCTCGTTTGATGGCTGAACTTAATAAAGAAACTGTAAAGTAAAGAATTCAATTAGATATTTTATTTATGTATATACTTACATGTAATTAGAGATGTATGAATCAAGACAAGAGATTTTTCTCATTTAAAGAATGTAAATTTTTAATTTGCGCCAGATCAATTACTACATAATCTGTAGATTTAGAATATAGAAATTCATATTTCATTTCATTACTATCCTTCATTTAACCTGGTTCCCCATGTGGGACATAAGCTGTCAATCAAGGATCCCAACCAACTCTATTATGGGCCCTCTTTTCCAATTAATACCAAGCACGATTCACGGTCTTAATGTTTGCCTTGACATTCCATGGTTATGCGTCCGTTGGTCTGTCTCCTTCCCTTTTGCCTTGAGGATTCCGAGTTTGACATTGTCTCGTGGTTCAGTTTTGTGGTGCCTACAAATTGCATTCTGTCCATCCCGGTGTCTTTCCTAGATTTCCTCATCAACTAGCAGTTGTTTTGTTCTATTTTTGGTGGTATCTGGCCAATGGATCTGGAGTATCATGATTAAAAAAGTATTCATCAATATCTGTCCTTTCTCAATGATGAATGTGGTAGAACTTCAGGTTTTATCTCCCTACCACAGAACTGTCTAAACGTTGGTGTTGAATCTTGAGTGACAAATCATTTGAATTAATGATATTCCTCACTGGTGCTATTTCACCTCATCATTTTTGTGGAGTTTCGTTTTTTGATCTCAGTGCTCAATGAGCAATCAATAAACACATCGATCCAATTTATCAACCAATTATAAAAATAATGGACAAATGTAGGATCAAGAATCAAGTTAAAAGGGAGCGACAATTAAAATAGATATACATGCAACGACAGGTTAAAGGTCAGCAACAATCAATCAAGGTCGATAGATTAAGCTGTTAGTCATATAAGAAGAATTTTGAATACCTCAATCCTACATGAAGTTTGTGCTGATAATGCTTTTCAGAATAACAATGCAAACTCCATAATTAAAACATCCGGCTAAGAGAGCGTAACTCCATTAAAGTTATCCACCTGAATTGATACTCTTATCCATCATCTCAAAATGATTTACTTTAATAATTCTGAATCATAAGAATTAAAATATACAATGTTAAATGAATGAATTTGGTTAAAATTAACATCAGTACTCAACATTTTTTTTATAAAACTGCTCTTTCGAACTATGTAGAAAGTTCAAATGTAAATACGTCATAGTATTTCAATGACGGCTATTTAACAATATAAACCAAAGGTAGACAACAAATTAAAATCAGGAAAGGTCAAGGTGATGAAAATCTGAATTGTTAATTGATTGGTTGAATAGTTGTAGGTATAAACATTACCAATAAGTCACTTCAGTTGAATTAAACTGATCTAATAGTTGGTTTGATATTTTAATACATTGATAATAAGCATATAGTTTTGAGATATGAAAAAAACATTTGTCTCTGATAGTTAGGTAGTTTACACTGGTTTCATCCAAAAAGCCAACTTAAGTGAACCGTAATACCATGAACTCTAGTTAGTTTTCGAATTATTTACAAACTAAACATTACGTAAATTGTTCTCAGTTGAAGGACTATTTTGAACTAACTAGAACTGGACATTTACAAGGTTGTGTTGGGTTCGATTCATTGAGCATCTTCCATAAAATATTACTAATTTCATTCACATTATTATCATTTTTAATCATTTCTTATTCTCATTCATAATAGCATTCATTTATCTACTCAGGGAAAAGGTTTTACCATGTAGTAGAATGTTTGACTTTATTATCCTATGCTTTTTCTTATTTCCTAAGAAACAAAAGAACTGAGGGACAGTAGAAAGGATATCTTGTTGTTAACTTTTAGAAGTAACTCAAGGGCTCAATGGGGGTTAATGTTTCGGTTGTTGTTTATAGGTAGATTACGTCATCGGTCCCACAGGTATAGAGCGAACTGATCAGTTATCGGACTAGACAATACAATACTGTTTCTACAATAGTGACACTATCACACGAACCTCGATAAGATTTTAGTATCTATTTTTTTTTTTTTTTTTTTGAAGATGCAACATTTACGAACGTCCGCTATTATTAACTGTACTCTGTGGACACTACACATTAAGAACATGCAATGATAACGAGCAAACCATTATTTTACCGGATAATTATTTTATATTAATATGTAAACCGTTGCCCAACTTCTTATAGTAATATCAGTGAAAAGAAAATCCTCGTCACTAAAGTATTTCCCTCATTTTTTAAATCAGGATTATCGATCTGATCGTAATAAGGGCATCTCTTCTGTATGCGTCCAGATATCAGTATTAATTCCGTGAATGAACTACTGTAGGACTGAGAATTTTACAGTTGATTAATAACCGACTTACTAGTGGTCAATATCACACTTATCTAATTTTTAGCGCTGACTGAATTCTGCTGATCGGGTTTGCAACGTTACCATTAATATGGGTGACTCATTCAAACATATATGGTAAACATCAGTACATAGTTGCAGTGATTATTGAGTTTCAATGGAGTTCATGAACCTATCAATGTTAGATCACTACTGAAAATCTGGAAACACTGGATGGCTTAGTGGTCCAGAGGTTAAACCTTTGCGCGAGACTGAAGGTCTTGAGTTCGAGTCTGGCGTGCGGAAATGTGGATCCACATTGCGGAAGAGTTCCATACTAAAACGAAAGGACTGTCCAGTGCTCCCAGGTTCTCAATGATAGTCTAACATTGATTGGTTCATGATTTCAATTGAATATCTGGTAAAGTTGTTAGACAACATTCGAAGCTGTGTTTAACTACTCATGCTTTTCAGTAGTACATCAGATAGTTTGTTTTTCCTAGTTCTCTAGATCACTTTCTTTTGACAATAAGATTTTATTATCGTGATTTTTGTCAAACTAATAGATAAGTACGCTTTTTCGGTTTGTTTAAAGTTGTAGGACTGGTTACACAGGTGTTCGTTGTGATATGTTCAATTTACCACAAACATTGGATATACTGAAATCTTTTCGTGAAGAAAGTATTGATATCAATTCACTTCATCAGCCAACAGCATACATCTTGCATAATGTGATTGAAGCAACAGCGTAAGTTCATATTAAAATAGAATATATGTGACAAATAAAATTATTTAATAATGCTATGAATATAATAAAACTGTCAAGTTTACTTAAACCTTGGAACTAACAATATAACAATAGAGAACTTCGTTTCAACTGTTTGTACAATACAGGCAACTCGAAAAAAAGCATTAAGTTCATGATATAAATGTGCTTTGAATGCAAGTAAAAAATTGTATGAAAACAAGGAAATATCATGAACTAACTTCCATTAGTGAGTCATTGAAGAACCAGATAGAACTGGATAGTATTTCTACTTGTACAACTGCGCACCGAAATAGATATACTCCATACAAATAAGGAAATAAAATTGTGAAGAGATAGAGGAAGAAGTGGAAGTGTTATAACTTGTGACCTGTGTGCCCTGTTAATGCATAACGTAATGATACTGCCAATTAGAGAGCAGTGAATAATCGATCAGACCAACGACGCATAAAACCCGTGCGAGCAGTCTAGAGTCCTGATTGGTCCTGCTTACTGCCTAGCCCAGCCAGTTAAGTCCAGAACACCAATCTCAGCTTCTGCAATATGAATCATTTACTTCAAACATACTCGGTCTATATACCAATCAAACAGACCACATCGTACAACAAAATAGGAAACAACATTTACACAAGATTTGGCCAAATGTGGCTATGAACGTGGGAGGTAATGATTAATAGACAGGGCATAATTCAAGAATGGTAAATCGTAAAATAATAGTTCATAGGTCAAAATAAAGCTTATAATAAGAGGGGCATGAATATGAACAGTTGAGTTATTTAACAATTATACAATAAAGATATACGTATAGTATTGGTCCATAAATGGATTCCAAAGTTACCATTCGTTATACTTATCGGGACATAACAGGAATTATGGTCAAAAGCAAATAACTTAATACAAATAAATGAATGAGAGCAGTATGTAATGGGAGAGACGGTTCGACTAGAAAAAATACAACTAGAAAGAATCCTTTGAGTTAAAGAACTTCCCAACTTAATGGAGTGAAATAATGATATATCTTGCAACCTATAGGCCTAAACTGTCTTCTTAGCCGGTTCAGATGACCCTAACTGCTTTTACATGTCAACTGGAAAATTAAAAAGAGGGGTGACTTGCGAGTGGAAGCTTTACTCCAAGGTTAGTCTATGTACAGAAAAAAAGAGAGTATTTATGGAGTTATACATGAACATGGGCTTTTGGAAATTTCCAGAATCATACTTAATATGGTAGCAGTATAGGCACATATTCACGCAAAACCATGGAAAGTGATTCTGAGTTTTCTAGATGTTTCTGCGAAGCTTTTATTAATAAAACGTTTTCTGGCCCTCTAAAACCTCTGATAAGGGATACTTCGAGACTTCTTCAACGAAGAATATTACATTACGATCGCAAATGGTTTTTATTCCGATCCATGTCTGATAACGTTTTAAACAACTGAGTTGCAGTATCTCTCGGACTTTAACCAAGGATTCACGATAGACCAACAAATGCCAGTCCTGTACAGCTTCCATACCACAGGATCATGAATGACTTCTCCGCTTTTTTCAACCAGATCCAGGATCGACAAATAAAGTAATATGTGAAAGTTGCTGGGACGACTTTGTAGCACATCTAATGACATCAGTGATAATTACCTTAATGTTTATCTAGTTGAAATGTGTGCGATGAAGCTTCTCTTCGAAATGAAAAATCAGTTCACAAACATATCCAATTATTATAGAGATTTTTAGCTTGAGTATTATTGGTTTTCATTGAAAGTCAAAATTTAACCTTCACAATATCGTCCAACAAAACAATCAAAACTCTGGAATTAAACTATTCACCTGGTATAGGATGAATGCTTATAACTTTCTCCTTCACAACATCATGAACGTACTGTAATTAAATTCTAAGTTTACTTGGAAAGTAACACGTTTAAAATTAGTCACAGTACGTGCCCTAATTGTAGTGAACAAGAACACGAGTGGAGACAATCGGATGTATTTGACACGAAATTACAGAGCATCTCAATAAAATCTGAGAACCATATAGTAAATAGTTAATTTGCAAAATATCAATCCATCATATCAAACTGGACTGTTCCTGTTGCAAACATCAATCTACTGTCTCAGATTTCCTTGTTTATGAGTTTTCATACCAATTGCGTTCCGTTCCCGTTCTTTCCTTATCGACCTTCTACTGAAATACATTCTATGCCTGACCACCACTATATACTACTTGTGTAGATATAAGTAACCCACACCACGTAATGACTTGGAGAATAATCTATTCAGCGTAATAAGATTTCATAAAAGTTTACTATAGTTACATAAAGCTGTAAGTTACATGAAATACTACAGAAAAAAAATAATTACGTGGATTTTAATTCTAGTTTTACTGATTAAATCAGCTGTAATAATGAGAGTATATATTTTTGTTAAATTGAATAATTTGGATTCAAATTCCAATTAGTACGTGTTAGACAATTTAGGAATTTACCATGGCAATAAAATAAGTGAAAAAATAAAAGAGGAAAAGTATTAGAAATATTAATGTATTTTTACTATTAGCATGGAAATTAAAATACTGTTCGAGTTCAAATGATATATGAACAAGTGTAGTAATTTGTTGATTACATAAACACGCACAAATACCTGATAGTTAGTAATTTCATAATTCGGTAAACTGAACAAATATTTTTTCCCAAACTAGAAAAAGAATGATTTATATAAGAGTACCGATAAATAATACTTAGCATTTCGGATCCCCATTAATGTGATAATCGTTAATTATATATTCAACGTAAGGTCTTGGATAAATCAGTATCGAGATAAGTTTACATATAATGTCAACGCAATGAGATATAAGTGGTAAGATGAATACCTCACTCACTTACACATTTTACTCCTCAAGGAGGAGCATAGGCCACCCACCAGCATTTTCAATCCAACTCTATCCTGAGCAATGCTTTCCAGTTGATACTCATCCTTTTCATGTCTGCTTCCGATTTCAGACGCCATGTGTTCTTTGGCTTTTCTCTTCTTTTCCCTTCAGGATTACAAGTTAGTGAATGCTTCGTGATGCAGCCTGATAATTTCCTTAGCTTATGTCCAATCCAATTAAAGCGTCATTTTTTAGTTTCTTCTTCAGATAGAAGTTGGTTTGTTCTCTCCCACAGTAGGCTGTTGCTGATGGTATTCGGTCAACGGACAATGAGTATCTTGTGTAGAAGATTGTTTAAAAATACTTATACTGCTTTGATGATGGTTGTGGTAGTTCAACAAAGTAGTATAAAATGAATCAATGTAGTTATAGTAGTAGGGAAGATTAGACAGAGAATATGATTAAAGATAGGAAAATGAATTTACAGAGTAAGATGAGCATTTTAAGGCAAAGAGTGAATGAATCTACGTTACTGTGATCGATTTTCGGCCAGGTCATCCAACATATTCAACCGTTGGTTGAGATAATTAAGTGGATCTCAAGCAGGAGGCAGTCTACATTTACTTACACGGATCAGTTCAACTGTCAATAACTACGTGAACTGATCATACGCCATAGTTTAACCATCCGTAGTTTTTTCGAACCTACTTCGATGCGCGATGATTGTTAGTGCTAGAAAAGGTTTATATTTCTACAACCACATATATAGTAGTAGTTTATTAAAACATTGGAAATTTCAAGGGTCAGTGTAGGCTTGTGTAACGAACTTAAGGTTAATGACAAATGAAAAAAGATGAGAACAGTAAATGAAGCTATAATCCTCCACTTGACTAGTATAAAGTAGATGAAGAAATGGAAAACATGATGGTGGTGATGACAAAAATTGAAAAATGGAGACAAGATATGAACAACCAATTAACGAAATGAAAAATTCTAGGTATTAGGGTCATGGTAGAGTGAAAAACTGAACGTGCTGCTTTTGTAAAGACCTCAGCTATGACTTGTGAAACTGATAAACCTCCAGTTTTTGATTTGTGTTCTCTTTAAGGTTGACTGTCCTACTGTGTACTTACTTACGCCTGTTACTCCTCGCGAAGGAGCATAGGCCACTCACCAGCATTCTCCATCCAACCCTGTCCTGGGCAGTCCTTTCCAGCTGTCCTACTGTGTAGCTAGTCTTAAAGGATGTTTATGGTTGCCCGTGTGGTCAGCATTAATATGATGTTCCAGTGCTGAGCTGATGGTATTTTTGTACTCATCTATCAAGGTAAAGTTAACATTCAATGATTGCAAAGACTGATTCCATATCTTGTTTGAGCTGCACACACGATTCTTTCAGCCTATTCCTACACTCATAAACACTGAGTATCGAAATAGGTAGTGACTGGACATACTTGTTTCAGTCATCTTAGTCTATGAAGACTCAACATGTTTACCTAGTACCGTACGCCTGAACTTAGCATAGCACACCTGGTTGTTCCAAAGTATGTGAGCAGTTTCAAAGACTTACGTGATCGAATGCTGTTTAGAATAATATTGCTTTGATTGGATGATTCTCTCCATTTGTAAGTAGTATAGCTGAATTAACGGTCTTTCTTTTTCTTCATACAGACGATATACGGTGAATGCTGTATTAGAAGAGCGCTTGTTGTCAACATGGGAAGACGATGCACCATTCTAGTGTGTGTTGACACAACTTCTGTACACACGCACACATGTATTTATGTAATGAATAATGATAATTATTATTATAACAAAACGGTAGCACAATTAATTGTAGATAACTTTTCCTTTATTCATGTCCCTTATTTACTATTTTATTTCGCATTTAAATTTTATAAAAAACTTTACACTTGTCGAATACTTTGCAAAGAAAAACAAGCAAATAAAAGAACCAATCATAAGCCTAATTTTCATGAAGCAAAAATAATTTTATGATAAGTCAATATTCACTTCGGAAGTAAAGGAAATTATTGTTTAGGGGTGGGGAAGTTTCTGAATTTTAATTTAAAATATAACATGAAAATATTAAACAGGCTCCCTCGCGACCAGCTTCAAGATTTAATTCCTGGAGTTCTAGTGAGAAGCAGTGACCAGTAGAGTCCAACTGTGTCGGGTGTGAGACGGTTATCCACCTCAGGCAGTGGATAAAGGGTCGCACAAGATCATGGATTGATTGAACTCAGATACTAACACCTTCGAATGCCGGTTCAGTGGTCTGGAGATTGAGCGTTCGTACGAGACTGAAGTCTCAGGGTTCGAGCTCCGTGTGCATGGTCGTGTATGAGCACTGTTGAGGAGTACTGTACTAGGACAAAATGGCCGTTCAGTGCTCCCAGATATCGATGATGGTCTAGCTTAGATCGACCGATGAATCCAACTAAAAGATTTTGATAAATGGTTAGCGATTGCCTGACTAGGATTAAATTAGATAAGATGTTAGATATGTTCAGTGACATTTAGACCATGAAAAGTGAATCGTTGATATTTAGTATAGTCAAATGTTGGTCTAAGTTTACATACCATATCAGCACGACGAGATGGAACAAACAAGATGAGTAGCAAAGGAATCAAAATAATGTAGTCGTACCTTTAGCAGTGCTTGAAGTCACATCGTTTTACAAGGATGACATAGTGAGTTAGTATTTGTTCAATATAAATTCAAGATGAGAACGTTACAAAAGTGACAAACGCGTTACTAATATGTATTAGTGAAAATAAATGTGATTGACCAATGAGTGTGGACAATCAAGTGTTCAGCCTACTGATTATTAAATATGTGTGATTTCCTTTCCGCTCATCGATTTCTAATCCAGACTCACTGACAGTGACTGGTTGTAGTCTAGCGTTTACTCTTGTTCTCCTTTTTGATCGTAAATTGCGTATCTAATATAACGTGGTCTAGTCTCTGTGAATAGTATCGTTTGAGTATTCGATCTAGAGGTAGTACAGACTCGGTCACCAGTCATATGTGTAGTATGTTATGGAAGAGAGAAATATTTCCATTCGTCTGTTATATCAGTCATCAGAAAAAATAGGTGCAATCAAAACAATAACTCAATGGCCTTACCATTAGGGAATTCACTGAAATTTGGTAGATCCAAAAGTATCCAGGGATTACAAGGGTTGATGGGAAACCAAAGAGAAAAAAAGGCAAAATAATTAAACTACAGCGAGAGCTCTGTTGTAGTAAAAAAAACAGGCGACTAAATGAACATGACTAGTCAGGTCATTTATAAGAATTGGGGAAAGAAAACACCAATCATCGGATAGATCAAATATAAAGTAGGGAGTAAGAATACTGGGAAGTGAGTTCTGGGGATCTAACGTCCCCCAACAGATGGTATCCGGTCGACGGACATTGAGTATCTCGTGTGGACAATTGTTTATAAATACTTGTACTGCTTTGATGATAGTTGTGATAGTTCTCCACGTTTCAGCTTCACACAGTAGAACTGTCTTGACGTGCGTATTGAAGATTGTCACTTTGATGTTGGCTTACGGACAGTTGTTTTGAGTTTCATATGTTCTTCAACTGTAGATATGCTGTCTCTGCTTTGCCAATCCTCGCATTTTTATCTGCATCAGATCCTCCCTATACATCAATGATGCTGCTCAGGTACGTGAAAGTATCCACATTTTCCCGAGTTTCTCCATCAAATGTAATTGGGTTGGTTGATGTGCTCTGTGTTATATTTGAGGATCTCGGTTTTTCCCTTGTGTATGTTGCTGTTTGTGCACGATCGATCAACACGGAATCTGGCCTGTTGATTTCGAAGCTGGACGTCTACTGAATCCTTCATCCGATTCAGCAACACTGTTGAAAACGTCTCCTGGTATCGATAGTAGTGTGACGCCTGTGTAGTTCTTACATTTGCTGAGATATCTTTTCTTTGGTATCTTGATGAGGTGCCATTCTTTCCAGTCTTTCGGATGTCCGAACAAATGAGATGTCGTATATGTACATAAATTTAGCTAAGTGAATGGGTAGACGTAGTTTAATAAACGTAAGAGACATGAGTCAACCATATGCTAACTAATAAATCCCTATTAGGTAATTAGATTTTTCATTTTCGATAACTGAGGATATCAAACTTGTATGTGCGGTCCGCTGAATAACGAAGTCACTAATATTTGCATATTGAGTATAGCACATGACCTAACACAAGAACATAGTCAATGAGTAGTACCACTTGATTCAAGAGTTTTAGCTAACCAACAGTTTCAAAGTCTGCATTAGTCATCAGGGAATCAATCTCATAGGGACGATTTAGGTATTATTTTGTTCTGAGATGGTGAAGATTTGTAGCTTATGTGGATGCTTTTGATGGAGTTTTATTCGATACGCCTGAACCATAAAATCAAAATGTTTAGCGCCAATGACTTGTGACAGACACTTATCGATTGAATATTGAAAAATCAATTCTGTACGAGATACGCAGTTTGAGAAAATGAAAGTCGATCAGAGGAGGAAGTATCTATTTGATGCTTCTACATATTCACCAACAAATGACAACTGTGAATTTAAATGAGTGTATTTGATAAAGTTTGTAATGAATAAGGACTCAATAACATTGACGAAAAAGTAGTGACCAAATAGTGAATTTAGTTGAATCATAAAAAAGGTCGGCGAGACAATAATTTATGGACGAACCAATCAGGTATAACAGGTCTCGGATTATGGCGCGAAATTCACTCATCAATTTGGCAAAACAGTTTTGGCATTATAGCTGATGTCGGTTCGTGATGAAAACCCTAAATATAATTCCTAACCTTAACCGTCAACCTCAATTCGAAGTCTTCGAAAGGTTTATAACCCTCATTTGGTTCTATCTATTAGGTGGAAACTATCAAGGTCAGTTAAGCGTCGCTAAAAGGTCGTCCATAAATTATAGTCTCCCTAAAACGTCGATCACATCATGAATATTTCACTCGCAATGAATTTGACTACAAAGAAGAGTTACATAGTTTCAAGGTCTTAGATCCCGTTCATGATAATAAGTATCACATTCCGTAGGTTACTGACAGAGTTTCCAATTTAAACAACCCCAATTAGAGTTTGTAAAATATCATATGACTCGGAGGTGATCTACAAATTTTCATGCCTAAGAATAAAATATTTATAACCTCTGAGAGAAATCGAAGCAACATTTTAGGATAGTATATATAATAAGTTTATTTCAAAAAAATATTTCAAATCGTTATTGTATAATTAATCGGATGAAACTATATATACGAAAAATATAAAAATCCACTATGAAGATAATTAAGCATAGTTGTTAATGAAAGCTCAACTTGAAATTTCCTGAAAAGAAATAATTACAAAATATTTTAAAGAATGAACAAACATGGAGATTAGTTCTCTTTGAAATTTCATACTTATTAATACTACTTAAAAGTAGTTTGAAAAATGTAAACAAAATATTGGGAGGTTAAATGTCGAGTCAAACAAAAAGACTAAAATTATTGTAACATTGTTTTAAATTAATGAAAAGCAATAATACGAATTTCTATCGAGCATTTGTTTTCGGGGGATAACTAGAATACAGGATAGACGATACGATAACAGTTATTGTGCCAAAAATGAAACTATTACTCAAATGCATCCCAAGGAATACAACAGAGAATGCACATGATAAAATAATTGACACGCAACAGGCGAATGCCTACAAGGAACAGATAAGGGAAACGAAACATGAATGTAGATAATAATGAAATAGAATTATTGATCAATTTAACTAATTATAAAGACAAAAAATATAAATATTAATCATATCGTAGATAAAAAACTGTAGTGCGGTTTACAGTTTTTTATCTACGATAGTGCGGTTTACCCTGACCGTTGTTGCTACCTTGACGTGGTGGTCGGGCTTGCCTGTCGTGATGAAGCAACTGAGCTATACTGACTGGAACAACCGTTCCTCAAGGTCCTACCATGCCAGACAGGTCGGTTGAAGAGCGGTAAGACTAAAAGCAACAAAACCAAGATCCGAAGGCGAAGTCGTATTGCTGACTGTACAGAGGTGTGACAGCAGTAAGGTGTTTCCTTCAGACAACCAGCATAACAGCGATGCTGCCTTCCCAAAAGGAGGGGAGGGGTTAGAAAATGTCGACCCTAAAAATGCACACCTCGCCTTATCCCACGGATATCCGTCTCCGGCGGTAAGGTCTCAACAAGTACGGAGCTAACACAAAAATTACTCATAAAAAGGTCGTGGGTGACCGACCTCAAGCAGCTGTCCCTTGGGCACTGCGGTCACGCTCTCAGGTCACTATGACCACCTCTAATCCCAGACAGTGTGAATGGAACATTGAAGTACGTCCCCCAACTCAAGCTGAAGTTCAAAAGGCTATAGCTTATCTGAAACGAGGAAGGGCAGCTGGTCCAGATGGATTGGCCCCAGAGGTCTTTAAGGATGGTGGTCTAGTTTTAGCGATTAGGTTGACTAATATTTTAGCTAAAATCTGGGAGTTGGACGTTATTCCATCTAACTGGTCACAATCACTTATCGTCCCAATATTTAAGAAAGGGTCAAAATCATCCTGTGACAACCACAGAGGGATTAGTTTAACTAATATAATATCTAAAATACTAGCTTCGATAATTTTCGGACGCCTAACTAAGACTCGTGAGCTGCAAACACGTGAAAATCAGGCTGGCTTCAGACCTGGTCGTGGCTGCATCGACCACATATTCACCATTCGTCAGGTTCTAGAACACAGGCATGCTTATCGGCGTCCGACAATAATGGTCTTCCTTGATTTAAAAGCAGCGTTTTACTCTATTGACCGAGAGGTTCTGTGGCAGTGTCTGTCATTGAAAGGCGTACCTCAGAAGTACATAAATCTTGTGAAAGCTCTTTACTCGAACACTACTAGTCGGGTCAGAGCCTATGGCAAACTGTCATCTGCTTTTGCAACCTCAAGTGGCGTCCGCCAAGGCTGTCCACTTTCTCCATTTTTGTTCAACTTCATCATAGATCTACTGATGGAAATAACGCTCTCATCGACTGAATTCTCAGGTATTGATCTCCTACCAGGAGGTCCACTTATTGACTTAGAATACGCAGATGACATAGTCCTGTTTGGTGAAGACGCTGATGAAATGCAGTCTTTTGGTAGCACTGAGCAACAATGCCAGAATGTTTGGGATGCGCTTTTCTCCCTCTAAATGCAAGTTGTTGCTTCAGGACTGGTCTGCGTCAACACCTGAACTAAGGATAGGGGGTGAAGTAGTCGAACGCGTTGACAACTTTACTTATCTTGGAAGTCTGATCAGCCCTAATGGGTTGGTGTCTGACGAAATCTCAGCACGGATTCGTTGCAGCTGACTGAGTGCGGTTTACAAGCTTGTATATCGCAACGGCTAGATCGAGATACATCAAATAGACATTTAAGTTTGTGGTCATGAGCTAGTGTAGTTATGAGTCTGCACCACTGATAAGTTCCACACTGGTGCAAAGTAGATGTTATATGGTCCCTAGTTTTAACGATGGTCTCCACGTGATGGTAATTTGTGACTTAAACTAATTTATATTATTAACACTAAATTAATATGTGTAAATCAACTAATCAGAACTTGTATTTTTTCGTCACATAGGGAGAGAATAGTTATTGGTTAAAACTTAAGGAAGTAGAGTGGCGGGACCAAGGTTGCTTTGATGTTGTCATTCTCGAACAAAAATTTTGTTTCGAATAAACTAACCAAATTGGAATTTGTCAGTCCAGTTACATATCAGTCAAAGAAAGAAACCAGTTACCATGTTTACACTCAAACTCTTTTCATGATCATCGAGTCAGATTAAACCCTGTCTAAAGTTAAGTTCAAAATTATAAATAAATGTCTAGATTCAAGTAACAAATATACTTGTCTACTACTCATTTTTTCGTGTACTTAATAATATCCTGTTTAACAGGGTAAAACGTTGTATTATATAAGCAAGTGACTAATTATCGTTTCAATGTGAAAAAAAAGAAAACACGAAATTTACTTACTTTAAGAATATTGTTAGCATATTTAACTACTAAAGCTACTAATAAACCACCGAATGCATGTAGAAATACCACTATCCAAACAAACCAATCAAAACCATGAAGATAGCCATTTTGTGTAATATCAGTCCAATCGGTCAATAGTTGTACAGGTATACCAATGATAATTGATGCAAAAGCTAATTCAATATTACGATGCCATATAGATTTGTTGGTATTTTTTAGAAGCTTAATTATGAAAGAAGATAATTGAAAAATCAACAAAGACGATACAAAAAAATACATGATGAGTAAGTATGTATGAGCGCTAATACTATTAGGATGCATATAAATATGGTTGAGAGGATTGATGTTAGGCGGTTGCAAGCATTCTTTGTTTGGTTAGATGTATCTACAATTTCGAGAAAAATGATCAGTCCAGTGAAGTTGATTGCACATACACCTTGTTGACGAGTAAAAACTAGTATAAAACCTAGATTAAGGAATTTGTTGCCGATTCTCTTCAACCACAAATCTAGATTAAAACATAGTGCATGAGATGTTAAGCTACCAGGACTTTTAACGATTTAAATCTGCTCTTCATGATAGCTGTAATCAGCTCGTAAGAAGATGTATTTACATGCATCTCGTATATGATACCCTTGAATTCGTTGACTAAATAGTGGGTATGAATGTAAATGACAATTCATGATTTCCCTTGATGTTGAGTCACTTTTTAATAATGTCCGACTTACACAGATTACTTGTTTTGCATACAAAAACACATAGATGATAATATGAATGGATGTGTTTACTACAAGGATACGCAGAACTTTTATTCTCAACCGATAGGTAATAAATACTGATTTTAAGAAGTGAAAGAATTAAATTATGCACAAAACTTTGTCGATTAAGTAAAACAGGTTATCTGTTGTTAGTAAATTTTGCATCAGTTCATTGCATATGAACATGTAATCGTCTATATAACAGTATTTTTGACGTTTAGCTTAACTGGTGTCAGTGTTACACTTATGGAGGAACTTACGGGATTTTGCTTGGTTGGATCACTGATTATTATTGTCTTTTTTCTTTAAAGCTGTGAAGGTTACCTAAGGTAAGAAATATTTTCATATCATTTAACTCATTTTAGCCAGTTACAATTTAGGACTAGACACATATGCATCGGTTCAAGTTGCCACACCTCATAAGCACAACAACATGAACACAAAATTCATAGAACCAGTTACTTCAATGGTAATAATATATAAAAAGAGATTGCATATGAGGATTAATACAGGAAGAAAGAATTAATTCGTAGAAAGAAAGGTATGAGGTAATTTTGATCTTACGCTTCAAGGGAAGACAAAGAGTGTATACGCCTACGCCATTGTGATAGATTCTGAGCCATGTTACACAGAGTCTCCAACCACTGGTTACAATAGTCGCGCAGACCCCAACCAAGTAGTCTGAATCTACTAATATGGTTCATACCAGAAGTTAATGACTTTATGAATTGATTCCACGTTTTGGTTTGGCCACTCCTAACTTTCTTTTAACCGTCTCCAACACTGGTCTGCACTGCGCGTCGTGGTGGTCGGGAGTACGTGATGCGTGATCCAACCATGTCAGTTGATGTGGATTCGAAACTTCATCAACTGATTTACCATCATTCTTTAATACCCTGCGTCTAACCTCACCGTTACTTACCCGATGACCCAAGAAGATGCATGCAGAAATGTCATCAGACGACATTTACCAAATAATGATTTATTTACTTACTTGGAGCACACTATTTGTATGTGCGGGATAATGATGCTTACGTGTCTGTCCATATAAGAGTGGGACGGGGTTCGAACAGGTGAATTACTGGCTGAAAACCGATTATCTTAACCTCTGAGCCACTATCCTCACTCATATTGACAGGAATTATCAATAATGAGTGTATATACAGCACTTTCTACTCCTCCAAAAAAATATATTTAAGTTTCAATAACGCTTTCATGTACGGATTATCTATCCCACATTTCTGCTGTTCGCAGAAATATCACCCCGAAATGTTGGACGCCAGTAAGTAGGTTCTGCTTATTATTGAAACTGAAAATCGAATCAAGTTATATTAAAACTTACTCTCGATACGTTACAATTTGCGGACAATAATTAGTCGTATTGAGATTTTGCCACAAGTAACAAGTGTGGTTGATAGTATAGTCAACATTGCCCCCCTCTCATCCCGTTCAGTTACTAAGGTTGTATTTCTCTGTAGGACACATTTTTGCAACTTTTTGATATTAATTAGTTTTAATCTTGCAAGGTTCATATACAAGAACTTTGAAATATACTTGATTATGTTTAAAAGTTCTATTCTCGCTAAGGTGGTGGTTAACACAGGATACGTCAAGTTGACTTGTATAAAGTTTCTGAAGCTATCCGTTTTATCACATCAAATTTACGACGTGCTTTACGGGTTCGTCTTTTACATACTGCTGAACCCACATTCAAAAGTCTGACCTTTGTACTTGAAAGAATTTTGTACAATCCCTCTCTCTATCTTGATCATCGACATAAATCATAGAATAGTAAACTATATTAGAACATTGATTCAATCCTCTTTTTCTAAATTTGTTTAGAACTTATTTCAACCTTGTATTATTACATAATCTTAATATTTATCTCTTTATTTTTGCATGACTATTATTAAGTTGACTTTTTCTTAAAATATTTGTTAAATTCCCTATGAAATATTATGTAATTTGACAACCATTGAACTAAAACATGGATATATGAACGGAGAATATTCTTTTCAATAAATTTAATGAGTTCTAGTTATATGTCTAAATTATTATCCAAAAGGTGGCCAGGTTTAAGGCAAATACCTCGTTTGAAATTACAGCATTTGAATTTAGGATTGCTCGCAAAATAAAACGTAAACTGTTAATATTGAAATCTTATCAGTGTAGGGATTTGTGGAGCTTGTAGTATTTTCACGAATCGATCTAAGCTAGACCACCATTGAAAACCTGAACGCACTGGATGGCAGTTTCGTCTGAGTATGAGGCTCCTCAGCATTGAAATGACTAATACGCAATGTTCTCAATTTTTGCCCCCAAATGCCCTGGTACGGCCGAGAGTGGGGCGAGTCCGCTCTCCCTCTCCAAATGCTCTCACATGGTCATGCGTATATAGCCTCTGCCAGGGAAGTCCTACTCACTGCCTTTTCGCACCACGGGTGTTGTTTACAAAAATGAGAGGACGAAAAGCGAATGTCCGGCGCTTTAACCGGATCCCAAACCAATGGTGCACATGGGCTCCAGTATCCTGAAGGAACAAATGGCGTATGAACCAATCGTTGGTCACCGGCTACCATGGGATTGCATCTCCTCACGATGCTCCACTGCCTTGTGGGTCAGACGTTCAGGTCGAAGGCTCGGGGTGTGGCCCCCTAAGAAAACCACCTGCTTCGGTTTGGGCACCCCGGCAGTATCACAGCCCTCACACAAATCAATTGAGATTCGTGTGGCGCATATGTACTTGGTGCCTCCCTGTACCTATACTTATTTGTTAAAATAAATAAATAATAAATAATCTCAATTTTTAAAAATAATTAACTTATCATTTTTTAAGAATTATTTCGTTGATCAATCAACATTGTTTTCACAATCATCCGTGGTTATTACGTAATACCACTACTCGATTAGTATAATTTTATTACTGTAAGTCGTATATATATTAGTGCAGAGCGGTGATGAAAGACTAACTGAAAAAGAATGTCTTTACTCTACCCCGTGTTTTACTAAAAGAAAAAAAAACAGTAGCTGGATACGACCTTCGCATATCATTTTATGTGAATCGTCAACAAAATATGTAAATTTTGACTATTTTTGTTGTTAATTTGTGCGCTTCGCTTAATTGAAAAACAGTGGTAATGCACTTATAATTGTATGGTTACTTCTTGTGCCATGCGGACACAACCAATTACTTGTCAGTGTATAATTAAACAAGGATTGACACTGCTCAATGTAGGGAAGATGGGAAAACTTACTAAACACTACAGAATTATTCCACAGCATATACAATCACTAATTAACCACTGATACGAAATCTATATCAAAAATATATCGGACTATATGATTTACTTAGCTAAAAAATCTCCATACATTGAACTAAGCATTAGTTGATATAAATTACTCAATAAGTAGATGCATTTACGCGGTTTGTAACGTTAATAGATTTGGCTTTATCAAGTAAAATATAATAAATTACTGAGTTGTATATTCGCGCCTTCCCAACACGTTACTTGTTTAATCGTTGAGGACTAACTGTGCAACAAGTCAATAGACTCAATCTTGTAAGTAGTTTTCACGATTGACTGCATTATATCATGTTACAAACAACTGATCTTTTTAACAATCAGAAAATTTAATTGATAACAGGGTTATAATAGTTAATGGATACAAACTTAAGACCGTAATTTAACTCGAAGTTCGTGGATATATCCATTATCTATTCACATTTATTAGTTGCATAGAGGATAATAATGTAACTAATTAACCCAGCACAGACCTATGTAGTCCACCTCGAGCCATACCCTACGTTGATAATGACTGAAGAATTAATCATACTATCTAACTACCTAAACCATAGTGTGACTCAAGCCGGTGAACCACTAGTCAAAATAAGTTATTGAACAGCTAAATTATTATTGAACATTAGTTCCATATAATTTCATCCTATGTGGTCAACCACATCGAAGTAGATTAACTTTAGTGCAAGTACATGACATGATTCATGTGATATATTGAGATCATTGAGTGAATGTGATAGACTGCAAATAACATGTGATTTGTTAACTTATCAAAAGATAAAAGAATTGCATTTATATACGAGATTATGACACAATGAAAGTTCATTAAGTTACAAAAACTAGATATCTGTCATATAGGGAAAAATCACTCTACATTAAATCACGACAATAAAGTTGAAAAATGGTTGGTTTATTCGCTTCTCACTAGCTTCAATGCAATAACTATAACCCAATATATAACATAGCGGTTTATAAATATTTAATGTTTTAATCATTCTCTAATGTATAAAATAACTGGAATGTTATAAATAATCTCTAGATAGAATAACTTACCATTTCAAAAAATACACATGCCAAACCAGACAATATGGATGCCCATACAGCACAGAATAATCCTAATGGAGGATTATATGCTATAGGTGGGTGATTAGTTTTATTAGAATTAACAGGACTTTCAACTGTTGCAACTCCAATAAACAATAAAACCAAAGCAAACCATTGCATTTTACTAACCGGTTTCCGAAGAATAAGCATACTGAATAATGCTGTAGTAAACAATTTCAACTGATAAGCCACCTATACTAATAAACATTCTATTATGAAATATTATAAATCTTACCTGAAATGTGACTGCATCTAAATTACTCAAAGCTGTTATAAGAAGACGATTTTGAATGACATATATTATGGCAGGTATAAAAGTCATTAAAACATCTAGTGGATTGTGTTGTATGAGTTTTAAACAATTTTTTAAGTTTCCAGTAATACTTAGAACTGATACACATGTTAAGAATTTCAAACATTCGCTCATTATTACCATAGATGAAGAGTTGAACATTTCGGTTGTTCGTGATCTTGCATGACGCATACACAGAATATAAAGTAGATTTTGAAATACGAGAATGAATAAGCTTAAATATTTCATTGTAACCGCTCGCAACATTGCACTTGTTAGAGTATGCTCCTAAAAAATCTATAATACATATAAATAAACAGGTAAACAACCATCGTACACATCTAAGGTACGAAAATTCTGTACGTTAAAATAGAATCCAATAATTATGAGTATATTTAGTCTATCATGGAACAAATAATGTGTCCTCTTGTAGGACTCAATATTTAAATCAATAATCCTAGTTAGTAACTAAATTGTTGCCATTTCGTTACAGTAAACTATATTATCCACTGCAAAGTTATGGCTTCATGGTCAAAGCAGTACATTTTCGATCTCCCAGTATTAGGTCTGGACCGCGTTTCGCCTACTTTATTTAATAAAACTTGATAATATTTTCACTCATAATTTAATAAATGGGGTAAAATCCGAATTACTAAATTGGATTGTTAGTACATAAATACTTTAAGTACCCATGCAGTTACGTTAAAGGAGCAAGTAATACTGTTTGAGCTGTGGAGTTTGAATGATGTTCAGTTATTTTGATAATCAGAATAGTAATTGCTTTTATAATGAGATGGTTGAGAAGATTCTCTTATAATGATTAGTTCAGATTCTATCTTAACAATCAAGATTTGGATAGGAAAGTGACGTTGTTTATGGTCTAGCACATGAACATGTACAGAGTTGGTCAGTTTTATTAATGATCATTTTTGCTATTACATATTATTCATCATTTATGTGAGATAACACACAATAAAGCTATATTCATTTAACGAGAACTAGTTTATGAAACGCTATCCATAAAGAGAAGCTACTAACATGACTGATACTATGTAAAAAAAGGAATGTTTCCATCAATTAGTGAACAGTAATGTTTGGTTTTAAGTGATTGAAATTTCGTCGTATTTCCAAAGGTATTTGTTAAATACCTAAGAAAAACTTAGAAATATAATTCTACTACGGTCACTCATGTGGAAATGTTTAAGAAAATCAATGATTTAGTTTGGTCACTTCTCGCTAAAGGTAACCTAGTTCAAAATGACGGTATCATAGGTAGGATCTAGCTAATGGCTTATCAAAAGATATAGGGTGGATATTAGAAGTGAACCGGGAATACGATCCAACTGCTATGAACAAGATAATGTACAAGGGGAACTGTTATACTGTTTAGCTTTAAAAAGTTTACGATACCAGTTACCCAGATTCCAAACAGATGCTCCACACAATTACAACGAGAATGTGAATAGATAGAGAATGTAAGGTGCGTATAAGAAAAAGGGAACAATAACGAACAAATGTTAGTGTATGGTAGTGAAAAAAAATAATGGAAGAGGCAGTTAAGTTAGCAAAGGTACAACCAGAAAGAATTCTTCCCGTTAAAGAAGTTACGTCCATTTTTTATGGAAAGAGTAAAATAAAGTTGCAGCACGATTGCTACTGGTTTCTATTGTGAACCATATCTGATAACGTTTCTAGCCGCTGTATTGCACCATCTCTAGGACCCCAACCAGGGAGTCGTGAAGGACCAACAGAACCCATTCATGTATAGCTTTCTTTCATACCACAACCCCATGTCATACACTGATCACCTCTCCGCTTTTTCAAACCAATTCCAGAGTCAGCAAATAACACACGACGTGGAAATCTCTGGGACGACATTTGTAGAACATGTCCAAGCCACCGAAGTCGACGTTTCAAGATGGTGACACCAATTGGATTATCGTCTCTGTGCCCGAATACACGATGCCGAACCTCTACATTACTAACATGGTGTTGCCATTAGGTATCAGCAATCCTTCGGAGACAAAGATGATCAAACACAGAGAGTCGTGTAACATTCTCAATTCAGAGAGGCCGGGTTTCACAAGCATAGAGCAGAACTGCTCTCACCGACGCGTTGTAGATCTGACCTTTTACAGCCAAACTAACATCACGAAGACGCCAAAGATGGCCCAGATTGGCATAAGACACTCTGGCTTTCACTATACGTGCATTGATCTCATCACTCACACCACCACCAGCACTTATGCAGCTACCTAGATACATGAGCTTCTCGACTACTTCTATATGCTCACCATCCAGGGTGAGTACAGGACTAGAATCCTGCCAGTCTTGTAGAAGTACTTTGCACTTCGAAGGTACAAAGCACATACCATACCTACGGACACTGATTGTCAACTGATTAAGTGCGGATTGCATGGCATGGATATCATCGCACAGTAAGACAATATCATCCGCATACTCAAGACCGAGAAGTGGTTCTCCAGGCAACAGGTCTACACCGCCATTACTTACATCCATCAGAGCTGTTTCCAGAATGTCATCGATGGCAAAGTTGAAGAGGAATGGTGAGATTGGGCAACCCTGTCTAACCAAACTGCTTGAATGGAACAATGGAGAGAGGTGGTTGTATGTCCTCACTCTACCTGAGGTGTTTGTATATAAAACTTTTAAGATGTTAATAAACTTTTCAGGCACATCCTTCTCCAATAGATAATCCCAGATAGCAGTCCTGATGTCAAGAAACACTACGATTGTTGACCTGTGATAAGTGCGATGATGTTCTGACATTTGCCGGAGAGTGAAGATATGATCAACACATCCTCAACCGGAACGAAAACCAGCCTACTCCTCGCGAGCCAATCTTTCTCGGGTTTTGAACAACCTACGAAGTATGACGGAAGCCAATAGTTTGGACGTAATCGGAAGTAGACTTATCCCCTGATAGTCAATACAGAAACGATGTGAACCCTTTCAAGTGATAGGAACAATTATCGACCCATTCCACGATGTTGAGACACTCTAATTGCCAGACCTTTGTGAACAACTCAGTTAGTTCCTTAACCAGAAAGTCACCACCATCTTTAAAAGGAGCCGAAGGTAAGCCATCTGGGCCCGGTGATTTGTAGCTCATCAAAAGTTGGGGTTTGTACAGAGATATCAAATCAAAGCGGTATGAAACGCAACTATAATAAGCCCAAAGGATTGGTAATTACTCTCTTTTGTGTGGCGCATACATATTTGGTGCGCCCTTATACCAATATCTGTGTGTTCAAATAAATTAATAAATAATTGTCCTGTTTCGATTTAGGCACCCAGGCAAAAGTCTAGCCTTCACACAAATCTAATGACGAAGTGTGGCGCATACACAATTGGCGATTCTTTGTACCAATGTTTGTGTTTAAATAAATAATATATGTAATAATCTGGCTAAATTAACTTTGGAAAATAACTTTCCGTCGAGGTTAGGAGCAAAACCAAGGATCTTCGGGAACAGGAACTTATCTGGTACTGTAAAGCCTCTTCAATTTCAATGCACTGGTGACCATTGTCACAAGGACGCCAATCCTTATATTTTTAATTACCATATGCGATATATGTAATACAAATTAAATAAGATAAGGTATTTTGCCAAGATTATAAGAATTATTAAATCTTACCTGTCATGCGGAATATATATCCATGAGGATCTTAGCTTGATTGGTCACATTAAAAAACGATCAGAAGTGGAAACAAATGAGCGCCACCGGAATGGTGAACAACCTTATACTTATGGGTTTTCACATTGTGAATGTTCAGAGCAAAACGATTCTTAAACCACTCCGAGTGGTATGGGAAAATTCTTCACAGAATTAATGGTGTGCTATACAAATGTTCGCAGCCTACTAAATAAAATGGCGTAGCTCAAAAACGTAGTGACACAGAAAACATTGATGCTATTGCCAACTCAGAAAAAGTTAACTTCAGAAGTGTATGATAGTGATATTCAATTGCTTGGTTTCCTACTTAGTAGGGCTGACAGACTAAACTGTAGGGGTGGTGGGGTTGTCCCGTACACGAAAAGCACCTTAACCATACGGGCTGTCGAGACAGTGGCAAACGACCCAGGGACATATGAACTGGTAGGTTGTAGCTTAAAATGTAAACGGCAAGACATGCAATTATTTGTAGTATACTGCAGTCCAGAATGTGTAGGAGGGTACAGAAGCTAAAATCGAGTAGATTACCCGTGGCGTACAGGATTTTACATAGAATCATTATCTATTGAGGCCCGTTATCCGAGTAAGTGGTGTTCGTCCTTTCAAGTGACTCACTCAAGAGAACGGTAGACACACCCCGAGCTCCAAATTTTGGGAAGCTATAGTAAACTTTGGGGAAATGGCACTAAAATCCCCAAATTTTCCGAAATATTGATGAAGGTCATTTGACTTCGGGAGTTTCCCCAAAACACCCAGAAATCGGGAGCTCGGGATAGAAGCTTACTAGAAAGACTAACAGGTCGTGGGCCTTCAGTACACAATAGACAAATCTAAATCAGAACATTACTATACATCCTACGATTTTAATAGAGGACTCAAGCTTTCAATTTTGGAGCAAGCTTGATTAAATATGGGTAAATTTTAAGAAGTCTTATTGAAAATCACAACCACGTTAGGTCCTCGAGACCTGTTTCTGAGATAGTGGAGATTTGTGACTCAGGTGGATGATTTTAACAGAGTTTTGTTCCCTCCACGACCAAACAATCCAGCTCAGAGAACAAAACTCCATCAAAAAATAGCTGATTCTGATTAATCAGAATCATGCCAATTGGCATGCCAATGGGTTGCAGCCCATAAAGGGAACGTGATTACATGAAAAACATGCTTCAAGTGAAAATATCGCACTTTCTTAAGCGGATAAAGCATTGGTAGAACTAAATTGTGGTGACAAGTGAATATGCACCAAAATAATATTTATTTGTAGATCGACCTACGTACTTGACGTCAACCTTGAAATTTTAAATTGTCATCTTCAGACGACTAACTCAAACATGGGCTTAGCAAAAGCAAAAAGTAACCACCAAATGGTTCAAATGGTTGTGGACGGAATAGAAGAGGCTTTCGCTTAATGAGCTTCCGTGTCTAGTAGCAGTGAATCACCAATACCTCCAGGCAAGAACCTAGGTATATTAACGATAAAAGAGGAAAAAGAAATTGGTAAATCATAGTAAGATACTATCCTCAGTCCTTAAGAATAGGTCAAGTTTCCTCTTAAAGTACTCTTGGGAAGTTGCTTGGACTAGTTCAGTAGGCAGTGAATTCCAGCACTTGACAACTCTTAAGGAGTAGAAGTTGTATCCAATTTCTGGGTATTATCCCATATGTTTGTGTTAAAGCCAAACTTAAGTAGGTGTTTAAGGGGATGTCCAGAAGTGTTAAGAATATTGTAAGCCACCAGAAGGTCACCTCTAAGACGCCTGTACTAAAACGCGTATAGGTTTAGTGATTGGAGGCACTCATCATATAGCTTGAACTTGAGTCGTGGCTCGCCGTTGGATACGTTCCAGAGTGTCCTTGTTCTTTTTTGGAGTAAGGGAGAAAGTACTATGTTTCCGTACCCTGAATGGAGACGAATGAAACTGTTGAAGATTATGTGAAAAGTTCTTCCGTCAGACTGACAAAAAATGCGCTTCAATGTTACCAGTGCAAGGTTTGCTCGAAAGGCAATTTCGCCACATTTATTATAGAACTTCAAGTCGTAGGGTACCAGGACTCCTAAATCCTTTTCAACTCCAGGTACTTTTAGAGGGTTAGCTTGTGTGGAAATCTTGTAGTATCCATCATTATTTTTGATGGGCACATGATGCAGTAAAATTCATGAGATATAAATTGTTGGAATTTCGTTTTGAAGGATAAAAGTAATTATTATCTCACCAGCAGTTGCAGATTTTGCTCTGTGCATCGGGGACGAAAGACCAACGACCAAGGAAAACCGTTTTCATTCAGCTTCTGTGAGCGTCTAATTTGCTCTTAGATGAGTTACTTGGTAGTGCGGACACCATTACTTTGGATAACAATTTCCAATAATTGACGAGTTTATGTAGTCTACTATATGATACCTTGTTAAACATTTTGCTGCAGTCTACGTAGAGAAAATCCTCTAATTTCCCATTATCATGTAACTCTATTCATCACTCGCCAATAGTAGGTTAGCTATTCATCTGAATCTCGCTTTTTCGACGTAACTACAGCTTCCGCATATTTTACTGGGATCTGCTCAAGTAAAATCTCTTCCGTAGAGGTAGTAAAACAACCTATTTAATATCGGTTTATTTGCTAAGAACATACATTTATATGTATCCATCCGAATACACTAGAAACTAACGAAATTAGTGATTTGCTTCAGAGGTCGATATTCATTACACTCTTATTATCATGATTGAACCCATTCACAAGGTAGAAAAATTAGATTTTCTGACATTTCGTGACTCGGTGTGAGCCGCTTCTTCAGAGAATAAATAAATAACTATTCACTAAGTGTTCATTTCTTTTCTCTCTTTTTTTCTAAATAAATATTATTCTCAAGATTCTGAAGTTTGCAATCAAGACAATAACTTGTGCAACACTTCAATAAAATTCTCAGACCCGTTTTGTCTTCAGTATGTAGGCATGACCCATACATGTTGATATTTGGTTATCCTTTGCACTTAATTGAGACTTTCATGGCATCACTCAATACTATGACTGCACATACACTCTTATAACGTCATATTTTACTGCAATAATAAAATATTTTTCCTAGCTTCAGAAGTTGAATGAATATCTAACTGTTCCATCGCGGGCTCCATCGCGACGCAAATATGATAATTAAGAGTATTTGAATTATAGTACGAACTAAGAATCCTAGAAACAACGCAATTCAATCAAGAAGTACTACACAAGCACTAACGAATGTACTGTATTTGAAATTCGAAATCAAACATTCAACAAGTACAAAGGAGTTAATAATTCATTCAAACACCACAGAAACACAGAATCTTACGTCATGGTTACAAAAACGAATAAACGTTTCAGACTGATTTTATATTCTCCACGAACAGATGATCCCTAGGAATTGATATTTGACATCGTCACCCTGCTTTTAATTGTGATATTCATTGCATCCTTATGAATCGTTACTATTTAAACTGTCATCCTACTATCAAGTTATACTACGATGATGGGTTGTATTTATAATACTGCTATCCCCATACTTTTCACAAGCATAGTGATTGGAAAATTCACACACTTTTTGACGTCATATTACAAGTTTGTTAAAATATAGTGAATATTCTGCAGACATTAGTGGAACTTACGTATGGTTACAATATTTACATATCGATAGATTGTTTATAAATAATAATAATAACATTGAGCATTTTTTGAAATCACTTACTAGGAACTTGTCACGCTCAGTATATCTTTGTTTGTCAGTAATAATAATGCTAATATAGAGTGCGTCGATAGTCCATACCTAATTTCGTGCTTGGCAGTTTATTAGACATGGATTCGGGACTTTTTCGAATAACGGAATATATACGGAAAAACAAGAGTCATTTATAGATATGAAATAAGCAACTCAGTAGAGAAAGCGGTAGGGCCTGTTGAGCTTGGATATTTTTCTTGAATATGAGTTTTCAACTTACAACACCTCACACAAACCACAGCAAAGTAAAATTTATCTGTAGTAGCTTCAAATTACTAATGGAAACCTAAATCATATATATTTACTAGAACGTAGGCCTATCTGAATAGGAGAACTGAAATGATATCACAGAAACCTACCCTACTTCATATTAAAATGTTTGTAATCCCGAGAAATCTTAGTTCCCTGTTTCCCAATCCTGTTGACGTGAAAATGTGAGGCGGGGATATCAGTATACATTTCAACCATTAAAAACATGAAATCATGATTTTAAAACGAAAAAATGCCTACTTTGATGTATGTTGTATCATTAAGGTGACATTCTCGATCTCAGCTGATCAGATTTTCCAGGATTTCAAACTTACTTACTCCTGTTACCCCTAGTGGAGGAGTATGAGCCGCTCACAAACACTCTTCATCCATCCTGTTCTGAGAAAGTTTTCCCAGTTACTACTTATCGTTTTCATGTCTGCTTTCAATTCTTGGTGCAGTGTATTCTTCGGCCTTCCACTTTTACATTCCTTTTCAAGATTCTAAGTTAGGACTTGCTTCGTGATGCAGGTTTCTGTAATGTATGTCCTATCCACTTCCATCGTCTTTTCCTGATTTCCTCTTCAGCTAGAACATGGTTTGTTTCCCCCCACAATAGGCTGTTGCTGATGGTTTCCGGTCAACGGATATTGAGTATCTTGCGTAGACAACTGATCATAAATAGTTCTCCACGTTTCAGCTCCATATAACAGAAAAGTCTTGATATTCGTATTGAAGATTGTGACTTTGATGTTGGCTTACAGACGGTTGCTTGGAGTTCCATATGTTCTTCAACTGTAGGAATGCGGTCCTTACTTTGCGAATACTCGCCTTTGCGTCTGCACCAGATCCTCCATATCCATCGATGGTACTACCCATGTACATGGATGATTCATTATCTCCAAGAGTTTCTCCAGCAAGCGTAATTGGATTGGTGTTCTCTGTGTTGTATTTGAGGATCCTGGTTTTTCCCTTGTGTATATTGAGGTCTACTGATGCAAAGGATGCTGATACGTTAGGTGTATGCATCTGTGTTTGTTCGTGTGTATCGGATAGAAGAGCCAGGTTATCTGAGAATTTAGATCTTCAATTGATTCAGACCTGTCCATTGTATTCTGTGTTTCCTTTCTGATATTGAGGTCTTCATAATCCAGTCGAACACCAGAAGAATCGAGATTGCATTTTCTTAGGGAAAAGCTCGTGTTTGTCGCAGTCAATCAGTTACCCATGTTGTTCATGACACGTTTAATCTCACGATATCAATAAACGAGTTACATGTAATAAATTGTTGACCAAGTAATGTTACGTTCGACTGAGTTAGGTTATTCAAAATCCGAGTGATCAACTATGTAAAGCACAAGTGAAAGATATTGCAATAGTATGCGAATATATTTGTAGTGTCGAATAAGCCTAAATTTACTGATACACCCTTCTGTCTTGGCATATATGCATGTGACTTCTAAACAGAATAACCGTACTGAAACTACTCAAAGAGCACTTAATTAAGGATGAGCTAAGTGTCTGTAAAGGTGAACATATTCCCTCCCGTCAAAGACCACCTAGTTACGTCATTTACAAACGAACTCTTCATACCAAGCAATAAAATTTAGCGACCACAAAAGTTATAGTCTGTCGGGAGACTGTTAGTGGGACATAGATTGGATTTAAGCATGATCAATGCACGATTGCTTTGGTGCACGCTGATTCTTATCCAATCAGCGCTAGTCGACACAAGGAGAAGATTCTAGATTCTTCTTATGTAAAAAGCTATAAATATACTAACGGTTTTCCTATTTTGCTTCTTGCTTCCACATAACCTTGTTATTTGGAATACAATCTCCTTCCTGCTCAATCGTGTTCTGATTTGGGGCCTTGTCGAGTGAATCTGTGTCCGTGAATACTGAGCAATGGGAATAGCTGGGTTATAACCGTAAGGAAAATAAATTCAATATGTCCATATCAGACGACCAGCTTAACCGAATACTACAACAACAGCAACAACAATTAGATGCACAAATGCGGTTGTTAGAGACTCTGACTCAACAGCTTAGCTTCCACTGCTCGAGTTCACATGCCATTTCAAGTACGTCTTGTGATGCAGTTGCTAGCAGCATACCAGAATTCATCTATGATCCCAAAAGCGGAAATACTTTTCTCACGTGGTTCAAACGTTGGGAAGATACGTTTAGAACAGAATTCTGTAACCAAGACGACGCGTGGAAGACTCGACTGTTGGTACTTAAGTTGGGAATTAATGAACATGCACGCTATGCGGACCATATATTGCCAAAGTTACCTCGAGATCTCAGTTTCGAGGAGACGATAATTCAATTGTCAGAGATATTCGGTGAATCCTCCTCATTGTTTAGTATTCGACACCAGCGTCTCAATTTGGTGAAACGCGAAGCCGATGAATATGGTGTTTTAGCCGACATCGTCAACAGAGAATGTGAACGGTTCAAGTTACGCTCGTTGACAGAAGACCAATTTAAATGCCTAATATTCATCAAAGCTCTTCAGTCACCACAAGACGCTGAGATCAGGACAAGACTTTTGGCTCGACTAGATCAAGACCCAAACGTCACACTCAGAACGTTGACAGATGAGTGTAAGCAGCTACAAAGCATCAGACACGACAACGAGTTGATTGAACAGGTAAATCCTTATTTAACCTGCAGTAGTGTCAATGCTATTACTAGGTTAAAAGTTCAGAAGCCTATAACAACTCGTAATAAACCAACGACTGCATGCTGGTTATGTGGTGATTGGCATTATGTACGATTCTGTCCATTTAAAAAGCATATATGTCAGGTGTTCAACAAACGTGGACATAAAGAAGGTCATTGTCCACCGAACCATACGTCTCATCCCAAAAAGAAGCATAAACGTTCTCGACATGTGAAATCAGCCGAGTTTAAATCTCTTTCTCTGGTAGCTGCCTTTCAAACAAACTATGACATTCGGAGAAAGTATGTTACCATACAGATAAACGACATATCAGCTCGTCTTCAAATTGACACGGCATCAAATATCACCTTAGTATCTAGAGAAACGTATAACTTGCTGGGTAAACCGCCAATGAAGCCATCTAAGAAAACGGCCAAAAACGCATCAGGTGGTGTGCTAAAACTGGTTGGTGAATTACAGTGTGAATTTTCCTTCAATGGAACTAACTGTACAGGAATATGTTACCTGACAGAACGGCCAAACCTTGATCTTCTTGGTCTAGATATGTTAGATAAACTTGGAATAATGGATGTACCGATTAACAGTGTCTGCAACGTATTGTGTCCATCATTAGACCCCCCAGTACTTGCAAAGAACACAGGTGAAAATTTACTAGAAACACTGAAAAGAAAGTTTGCCTCTGTTTTTCAGAATAGCCTTGGCCACTGTACCAAGATGAAAGCTCAGTTACCACTGAAACCAGATGCCAAACCTATTTTTCGTCCTAGACGTCCTGTACCATATGCTGCTCTTGAGTTAGTCGATCAGGAACTTAATCGCTTGCAACAGGCTGGTGTAATCCAACCAGTCAACTACTCTGCATGGGCCGCACCGATCGTAGAGATTAAGAAGGCGAATGGAACTATACGCATATGTGCCGATTTCTCGACCGGTTTAAATGCTGCATTAGATGTGTATCAATATCCGTTACCAGTTCCTGAAGACCTGTTTGCCAAACTTAATGGTGGAACATGTTTCGCGAAAATAGACTTTTCCGATGCCTATCTGCAACTAGGAGTAGATGAAGACAGTAGAGAGCTTTTGACCATTAACACTCATCGAGGGTTATTTCAATACACCCGTCTACCATTTGGCATCAAGACTGCACCTGCCATCTTTCAGCAAATAATGGATACGATGCTAACAGGTATACCTGGTACAGCAGTTTATCTAGATGATATCATAGTTATGGGTTCAACTGACAATGAACTTTCTGATCGACTACATCAAGTCCTTAACCGAGTGTTGGAATATGGTTTCCAACTACGTGAGGAAAAGTGTACTTTCTTTATGCATTCCATCAAATACCTTGGTTTTATCTTAGATAAGAACGGTCGCCGACCAGACCCTGCCAACATCGAAGCCATTCAGAAGATGCCTGCACCAACTGATGTCTCTTCATTAAGATCCTTCTTGGGGTTAATCAGTCATTATAGCACATTCTTGCCTGAAATGCATCGAGTGAGAGGTCCCCTGAATGAATTACTATCAAAAGAAAAACCTTGGCAGTGGTCAGCAGAATGTCAAGCATCTTTCGACAGAGCCAAATCAATGCTCAGCTCAAAGATTCTTTTGACACACTTCGATCCCAGCTTGGAAATTGTTGTTGCATCTGATGCATCTAGTCATGGAGTTGGAGCAGTGATATCTCACGTGTTTCCGGACAAATCAGAAAAGACAATTGCCCATGCTGCTAGATCACTTACCCCAGCCATGCGGAAAAGGAAGATCTTGCGATCATTTTCGCTGTCAAAAGATTTCATAAAATGCTCTATGGTCGTACATTTACTCTACTGACAGATCACAAAACTTTGATTGCAATCTTTGGTTCTAAGAAAGGAATCCCTGTCTATACGGCTAATAGACTACAGCGCTGGGCAACAATGCTCCTGAGTTATGATTTCAATATCAAGTATCAGTCGACAAATACTATCGGTCAAGCCGACGCTCTCTCTCGATTAATTGGGGTTCAGCATCCTGGACCAGAGGATATAATCATTGCCTCCATAGCAGTAGACCCAGAAATACGAAGTATAGTGGCAGATGCCATTCGAAACACTCCAGTGTCGTCAGATAAAGTCAGAGAAGAAACTCTTCGAGACCCGATTCTACAAGAAGTTAGAAAGTTCCACCTGGAAGGATGGCCCGCGAAGATCAGTTCCACAGAGGTTCAACAGTTTTACCAGCGTAGACTCTCTCTCTCAATAATCGACGACTGCCTGCTGTTTGCCGAACGTGTCATAATCCCAAAGAAGCTACAACCAGCAGTGCTTGAACAGTTGCACGCAGGACATCCTGGAATAAATCGCATGAAAGCATTAGCACGAAGTTATGTATACTGGCAGCATTTAGACACCCAAATGGAGCAGCTATCCCGTTCATGTACCACATGTGCATTAGCAACGAAAGCACCGCGAAAAGCAGAGCTGCAATCATGGCCAATACCACAGTCACCGTGGCAGCGTATACACTCGGACTTTGCTGGTCCACTTCATGGACAAACTTACCTTTTGGTGGTTGATGCATATAGCAAGTGGCCAGAAATCTTTCTCATGGAACACCCGACTGCAAGCTGCACAGTCAGTAAGCTACGTCAACTATTCAGTCGTTTCGGAGTCCTGGAATTGATAGTTAGTGACAACGGAACACAGTTTACGTCCGTAATTTTCTCACAATTTTGTCGGCAGAACGGAATCCATCACGTCCGAACACCTCCATTCCATCCCCAATCAAATGGTCATGTGGAACGCTTTGTGAGTACATTTAAAAATGCTCTAAAAAAATCTAAAGGGGAGGGGACCACCGAAGAGATCTTAGAGAGGTTCCTGCTTATTTATCGCTCTACACAGAACCCTCAGACGATTAAGGGGGTCTCTCCAGCAGAAGCTCTACTTGGCAGTAAAATACGAACACATTTCGATGTCATCCGTCCTACGCCAGCTCTTGAGCCTCAACGAAACCTATCCATGGAGAATCAGTTCAATCGACATCATGGGGCACAAAAACGATTGTTCACGGTGGGACAAAAAGTACTTGCTATGGACTATCGTGAGAAACATCCTACATGGACAGCTGGTCGGATCTTGAAAAAGAAGGGGAGTGTGGTTTATGAGGTGTCAGTTGGCTCAGAAGTTTGGGTACGTCATGCTAACCAATTGAAAGCAACTTCGATAGCCAGCAACGAGATTCAATATCGATTACCTCTTGATGTTCTGCTAGACACCTTTGAAATCAAAACGCCTGGAACAGACAGGTCAGTTTCTGTGCAAGCAAAGAGTGATACTTCTTTATTGCCTAGACGATGGACAAATCGAAAGCACAGGCCAGTCACTCGGTTGCAGTTGGACCCTAACACCAGATCCTACGAATCTGCTCAAAGGGGGGGGTGTTAGTGGGACATAGATTGGATTTAAGCATGATCAATGCACGATTGCTTTGGTGCACGCTGATTCTTATCCAATCAGCGCTAGTCGACACAAGGAGAAGATTCTAGATTCTTCTTATGTAAAAAGCTATAAATATACTAACGGTTTTCCTATTTTGCTTCTTGCTTCCACATAACCTTGTTATTTGGAATACAATCTCCTTCCTGCTCAATCGTGTTCTGATTTGGGGCCTTGTCGAGTGAATCTGTGTCCGTGAATACTGAGCAATGGGAATAGCTGGGTTATAACCGTAAGAGCGAAAACACAACAGAGACAGTATCATCAGACAGTTATAAGTCTTTGTGCTTTTTTATACGCATGGTTTAAAGTAGTTTTGATTTTTTCTGGAAATATTTGTTTAGGTTAGGTGAGTTAGAAAAATTACATTACACTTTCAGATTATCGTTATTAGTATTGTATTTTTTTTCAACTTTTGAATTGTTTATTGTACAGTTCCTGTTTTGTAACAGTATTAGAAATAGTCTAAAAAAATCGAAGCGAAAATATACAATTGAAAAGAAGAAAAACAGTTTATTATGATGATTTTCTAGTACTTTTTGAAATTTTCATTGCTGATATAAATGTTTGCTTCATATGTTGAAAACAATCCCGTAGACATTGGAGACCATTTCGTAGAGCATCGATAGCTGAACCTTCTGAAGTATTTAAAAAATATGAGAATTTTCATTTATTTGATGAATAAATGCTATGTTATGCTTAAAAATTGATTATATGACTTTGGGTACTTGACCGTCAACTAATAGATACTACATTCGAATTCCGTCCCACTAAGAATCGTAAGTATTAGTGCTACTAGATGTCACATATATGCAAACGATGTAGGGGATTCGAAAGCATAACCACGAATTCAAGATCTTGTACATGTACACACATACCCTGATTCCAAACCAACAGTGCACATGGGCTCTGGGATCATGAAGGAACAAATGGAGTATGAAACTATCGTTAGTCACTGGTTCACATAGGATCACATTTAACGTTGCCGCAATGCCTTGTGGACTAGATCTGCATGTCAAAAGCCAGGGAGTGACCCCGATGAAAACCACCTGTTTCGGTTCTTGTACCTCAAGGATATAACAGCCCACACAAAAATTAAACGATAGATACATTGTATGGCACATATATGTTTTGGTGCTCCTTTGTATCAATGCTTATGCATTTAACTAGATAAATAAACAAAATGCAACACAAGTGCAATGTAGTAAACACAAAAGTTAGTTGCAGTTATAGGGTTGTGGAGATTGTTGAATTTCACTAAAATACTGAACCGATGTAAGTTAGACTATGATTAAGACCCGGAAGCATTCGATGATCGTCTCGTTCTAGGTCTAACTTAGGTCGGTTCAGGATTCTAATGAATTGCATGTTAAGTTTTGATACTTCAATATCGATTGATAAATGGTTAGAAGTACATATGACTGTACAACTGGGAGTTAATTTGATTTATACTACAATGTTTAGTTAGGTAAGTATATCCTAACCACGTAGTAAAATACATTTGAAAGAATATCAATACGGATGGAATGGGTATAAAGAAATGACATAAGTGGAGATGAGAAAATTAACAAAAAGTAATAAGTCGGGTGAGAATTAAAAGATAAGAAATAATTCGACATACTACTACATATCACATCACTTAGAGATTTCCAGCTCTTAGCTTCTAAAATCATAAGGAACATAGTTAAACGTTCACATACAACTAGAACCAATAGTTAGTGGTCTTAAACACTGAATTCAAACCATAGAATAACTTTTCTCAAATTATTCTTAACATATTCTTACACATATCGTCATTGTGTATCAAAGTAGACAATGACTGGGTGGTGTGATTCAATTATCTTAATTCGTATACACACTCACAATCCCATTGGTTGACTTGTTCTTCTCACCTGGAAATCTTTCGTGATGTTCTTATTTGACAACAGAATAGATCACATACTATTCACTTAAAGGGATGATAATTTTTTAGAAAGTTTGAAGTATATACATATTTCATACATTGTTCAATAAGGCCGAATTTTCAAAACAACTTACTTTTCATTTGAATGTCAAAATTAATCATATCCTCTAAAGGATGGGGTACACAATAACCGCAAAAGCTAACTGACTCACTGGAATGGAAGGAAAGTGAAACATATTAAACTATGTAATATAACTAAAACTTAAAAAGACATTATAAAATACCATTAGATCAAGATGTTTAAAGAAGACGGATAAAAAAGACATGATTCCTCGTACAGAATCATATTATTTGAATGATAACTAAAATCTGTCAAAATGCTATCTACTGATTTGGAGTTTGTTCATCATCCATAAAACAGAACCTAAAAACCTGCTAGCACATCAACATGCTACTGTTGACCATTATAGACGAAGTTTGACGATATAGATTTTTACAGTTTGTTGTACTATTTGGTTTCTTTATGATTAACAAAATTAGATATATAGTATCAGAAATCGGATCTGAAAACCAAACAGATATTCCACAATTCGAGAAATCAATGAAGACTAGGAGTAAATAATATTCATGATCTAGGAAATTAACTACGTGATCTTCAGATTCTGTAATCAGGGCGTTAAGATTGACCTGCTGGGGGGGGGCGTAACAGTCAAACCCTAATTTCGAGAGCCCTGCCTTTACTAACCAATATCGCTTTTTAATCAACCGAATAGCTTGATAATAAACACTGTACTGACACGTCGTGCTAACAGAGTATTAAAGTAGTTTATTGTTCATTGAAAGTCCAGTTCTTTTTTGAATAGAAACCAGTTTATGAAGAAGGTAGAATTACACATTACTTAAATATACAGTTATTATCTTGATTTACATGTATTCCATAAAATATACGAACACTTGGAGCAGATTCTTTATCGAAACCATTCATTATTCCATGAATGTACTATTCTGAATATTGCTAGCTCACGAACACAGTATAATCAACCACAGGATCTAAACCTAGTTATCTAGACTGAACTACGCAGCAAGTAAGTGTGGACTTATTGATTGAAGACATGAGAAATTGTCATGATTTATGTTTGCAGACAGGTGACATGGCTTAAAACTGGTTGTAGTAGCGTTGTTGTAAACGGAAACTGAGGTGGAGAAAACGAATTTATTTTTTCATGCAAAATTATAGTTTCATCGTAAAATATGAAAAAAACCATACATTAAATACATTATTTGCACATCTTCCTTCAGTCGCCCTTTAAATGCTTCATGATTCTCCTAATTCTGTTGTTATTACAATTGCTCTCTGATTCCCATCCTGTTCAGTCTTCTGCTGAAAGGTATTCCACTTCCGATCGCTTCTACATACTGCTTATCGGTCAAAATAAGTAGCATACACTATAACATGGCTACATTAACTTTCTATCTTCTTCTGAATACTGAGTATTATTCTTGACTTTTCATTCTTTAATTTCATTTATTCCTCATTCAGTGGATTTCTAATAATTAGATTTCCGTTACAGTAGATATAATTTTCTCTTCTTTGCTGATGTAAAATGTAGCAGCTTGGACTGTTACATATTTGTGCCAAAATCTTCTATTAACGATAATTACCAACACATATACATATACTAGCAAAACAGTACAAATGAAAAACTATGATGAGCATACCAGGAGACTTACTCTCGTAGAATGCAATATCTAAGCGCTAAACCTAATGTATGATCTTCTCCAAAAAAAGTAAATGTTGCACGTGATTTGTCATGTGAGATATGCACTACTTCAAGCCCAACTTCACGTCCATTTAAATGACTACGATTACCTTTAGGAAATAACTGTAATTGCAAATAAATCAATAATTAGTTTTTAAACAAGAATTACAATAAAATATGCTATCAAAACATTATAAAATGTGAAATTCAGTCGTTAGTAAAATTAAAAAATCAGGCAACATCTGCACAAAGTTGGAAAAACCTTCATCCATTCGTTTACTGTTACCAATTAAGAATGGATAGTTTTAAAAAACGGGATATTTTTTATCGATAATATGGAAACGGATACAAATGTTATCAGGGTTAGATTTTGAATAAAATCACTTTTTAACGAACAAATGAAATAATAAAATTACGACTACACAAAGAAACTTATACTTGATGGCTAAAATATACGTAAGAAAACTGATGAGTTATTAAAGATAAAATCATACCTACAGTTAATATGAATATTTTGATGGTTACCAAGAGCTCTATACTAACTCGTCTAATTGATACTGAGCATTAAATTGAACTAAACAAGACCCTTTAAACTATTTAGTATCATCTAACTTTTCAGATAATTTACGTATACATCTACCATGTAGAATTGAAAATACTAGTATTCTTCACATTAAATCGGATCGCTCACATTTAGAAGGAATTTATACAACTGCTCATATCTCATACTTAGTGTGTTTATGTTGAACACTTTAACAACTATGTCACTTCCATAACCAGCCGTGACCAATGGATCTCAAACGCATTGCATCTGTGGGGGGAGTTACTTGTTGCACAGCATCGCAAGTTGATTGAAGTTAAGCAATATAAGCTTTTGGGTTCTAGCTCAGTAATCCAAGGACTTATCGAGAAACATGAAGATCCCGAATTAGACTATTTTATGTGGGTTCGTGGATGCGCACTGTTGAAGAGTCTCGTCCTAGGATGAAACGGATGTTCAGTGTTTCTTGATTTTCGGTAGTTGTCGAACTAAGGTCGGTTTTCTGACTTCAAGAACTTTCCAAACAATCTACTTTAATGTATTTATTTTTATTCTTTGGGTGCGATAAAATGTTTATTTGCTTTAATCCTAGGACTATTTACTTAGTTACCTGTTCATCATAATTTTAAAGAATAATCTACAATTTCGATTAATATTTGCTGATTACCTGTCACTTAGTTCATACTTATACTAATCATCCGTTGTAAAGTCCATTGAAGATAAATATATCTACATTTTACTTTTTTCAATGGATATATCCTTTTGATAAATTCATAAATTGTATTAGATGTAAATTATGGTAAACAGCATATTCTGCTTTAGGTTATCAGACCAACCTATTAGTTATTCATGAAGAAATTTTAACAGCTCACCGCTTTTTAAAGTATCCACTGATGATGTTACCTAAAAGGACAACGAAAACCTCACTTATAGGGTAAAACATCTTCGAAATCCTAATTGAGAGCTACAAATATTCTTATCTTACAATGGAACATAAAAGCATGTTGCTTAGCTCAGTGCTCACATTGTACTTTTAGACAGGTAGATTTTACTAATAAACTAGAGGCAACATACAGTGCTGACCAATATTTAGCTAGTAATATATATCACACTTATATACTCAACACAAGTAAGCCGCTATCTGGACTACTCAATGGATAAGAAAGCACTAAATACCTGGCGCAATAATTAATAATAATGATAATAATAGTAATAATAATAAATATTCCTCTTTTTGAAACTTGAGACACGCTGAATTTCTTTATTTTCAATTAAAAAATTTACAAAAGGGCATACTACAACTTACTAGATTTTTTTCAGTTGTATGACTTTCAGTGTTATCTTTAGGTATATCAATGAGTGGTTTACACTCCTCAACGTGATCTCCAAAACCAGGTGTTTCTGTAACAGCCATATAATGTGAACATTTGCTAATCATAACACCTAAGGCACAACGGACTAATGATGATGGAGGGCGGCTACCAGGAGCTATCGTTTCAACAGTGAAAATACAATGTGATGAATCCATCCCAACGAAAATAACGTCGTCACGGAATTCAGGATGACGCATATGTTCTCGAGAACCATTATCTAAACGAGCATTATCGACAAAGGCTTGACCAGTTTTTGGGTTTATCTAAGGTAAAAAAAAATGTAAAATACAGCTAGTAAGTGTAACTTTTTGTTGAATTTCACCTCTAAGTTCAGTCAATTTATATTGAGATATAGAACTGGATAATATTTTATTTTACCTGAAAAATAGTCTTTATACTTAAAAAGAATTAATTTTACTAAAGTAAGCATTATAAGGGGAAAATAAAACAAATCATTGAGTAGGCAGTGCACTTTACAAAACAGGAAATACATCGGTCACCCAATGATTCGGTTATGCGCCCATAAGACTAGAATACAACTTTGAGTAAAACGCTCGTAAATAATTTTTATTTACTTTTTAGTCTCGTCAAAAGAGAAAAAAACTTTTCCAAAGGTTAGTAAGGCTTTTTAAATTATCTGTATAGTCAGAAAATACAATAGCGGTTAGGATTTCTGGCTTTCACCCAGGAGGCCCGGGTTCGACTCCCAGAGCGACAAATCAGCCCCCAAATGCCCTGGTACGGCCGGGGGTGGGGAGAGTCAGCTCTCCCTCTCGAAACGGTCTCACATGGCCACATGTATACAGCCACTGCCAAGAAAGTTCTACTCACTGCCTTTTCGTGGTGGAGGCATTATTTACGAAATTGAGATGATGGAAAGTGAATGTCCGGGGCTTTTGATATGGAAGATTTATCTAGAGGATTTGAAAAACCCTGGTTCCAAACCAACGATGCACATGGGCTCCAGTATCCTGAAGAAATAAATGGTGTATGAACCAATCATTGGTAACAGGCTACCATGGAAATGCATCTTCTTACGCTGCTCCACTGTTACCTGGAGAAAGGACTTCTCGACCTTGAGTATGCGGATGATATTGTCTTACTGTGCGGTAATGCCCAGGACATGCAATCCGCACTTAATTAGTTGGTAATCAGTGTCCGTAGGTATGTGCTCCCAAATGCCCTGGTATGGCCGAGAGTGGGGAGTCTGCTCTCCCTCTCGAAATGCTCTCACATGGCCGCGCGTATACAGCCTCTGCCAGGGAAGTCCTACTCACTGCCTTCTCGCACCATGGGTGTTGTTTACGAAAATGAGAGGACGAAAAGCTAATGTCCGGCGCTTTAACTGGATACCAAACCAATGGTGCACATGGGCTCCAGTATCCTGAAGGAACAAATGGCGTATGAACCAATCTTTGGTCACCGGCTACCATGTGACTGCATCTCCTTACGATGCTCTACTACCTTGTGGATTAGACCTTTAGGTCGAAGGATCTGGGCGTGGCCTCCTAAGAAAACCACCTGCTTCGGTTTGGGCACCCAGGCAGTATTACAACCCTCACACAAATCAAATGAGATCTGTGTGACGTATATGTATTTGGTGCCTCTTTGTACCAATATCTGTGTTAAAATAAATAAATGAATAAAAGTGCAAAGTACTTCTACAAGACTGGCAGGATTCTAGTCCTGCACTCATCCTGGATGGCGAGCATATAGAAGTAGTCGAGAAGTTCATGTATCTAGGTAGCTGCATAAGTGCTGGTGGTGGTGTGAGTGATGAGATCAATGCACGTATAGTGAAAGCCAGAGCGATTTATACAAATCTGGGCCATCTTTGGCGCCTTCGTGATGTTAGTTTGGCTGTAAAAGGTCAGATCTACAACGCGTCGGTGAGAGCAGTTCTGCTCTATGCTTGTGAAACCTGGCCTCTCCGAGTTGAGGATGTTAGACGACTCTCTGTGTTCGATTATCGCTGTCTCCGAAGGATTGCCGACATCCAGTGGCAACACCATGTTAGTAATGTAGAGGTTCGGCATCGTGTATTCGGGCACAGAGACGGTAATCCAATTGGTGTCACCATCTTGAAACACCGACTTCGGCGGCTTGGACATGTTTTACGAATGTCGTCCCACAGAATTCCACGTCGTGCATTATTTGCCGACTCTGGAATTGGTTTGAAAAAGCGGAGAGGTGGTCAGTGTATGACATGGGGTTGTGGTATGAAAGAAAGCTGCGAAGGGCTGGCTTGTGTTGGTTCTTCACGACTCCCTGGCTGGTGTCCTAGAGATGGTGCAACACAGTGGCTAGAGACGTTATCAGATACGGCTCAGTATAGAAGCCGGTGGCGATCCTGCTGTAACCTTGTTTTACTTTCTTCATAAAAAGTGGTTGCTTCTTCCTTAACTGAAAGACTTTTTCTGATTGTACCTTTCCGTTTTTCCCATCATTATTATTATTACACTACCTTACACTAATCTGTTCGTTACTTTTTTTACGCTCCTTACCCTCTTCTTTTTCTTTTCTTTTCAAATTCTCATTGTTTTGTGTGGCGCATATATATTTGGTGCCCTTTTGTACCGATATTTATGTGTCCAAATAAAATAATAAATAAAAAAATACCACTGTCTTGTGGATCAGACCTTTAGGTCGAAGGCTCCAGGTGTGGCCCACTACGAAAACCACTTGCTTCGGTTTGGGCACCCGGGCATTATCCTAGCCGACACATCAATCAAGTGACTTGTTTGGCGCATATGTATTCAGTGCCCCCTTGTACCAATATTTATGTTCAAATAAATAGAATAAATAAATATTATATAGAAGCAGAACTAAACAGATGAGTATAGACGTACTTCAGTAAAAAGTTTCAGTTATGCGTGCTGTATGTTAGGCATTGATGCTAATCAGCCCCTTAAAACAAATTAAGCGAAGCTTAAAAAAACGAACTCTTTATTTGTCCAACAATCAACCACTGCTTGACTATAACACCACAAAAAAATTATCCATCTCGTGACTGAGTTGGAAAACGACTGGATAGATATGAGACTATGTAAGACAGTAGATCCTAGTAGGATGCTCTAAATTGTTTTTAATAGTGACCGTTAATAATAATCAAGACATTACGTTGTTCTAGATTGGCCCAAGAAAATAAAAAAATAAAAGTTAATGTTATTAAATGGGTATGGGTTATTGGAATTGTAATAGGGGTGCGAGTAGTACATCCAATAAGCATTGTCATTTCATTTTAATTGTGTGGCGCATATATATTTGATGCCTTTTTATGTGTTCAAATAAATGAACAAATAAGACAATAAGCGGACAGCTTAGATAATCTATTGGTCTCTCCTTTTTAGCACCCTAAAACATGGAGACTTCTGTTTTACAAGATAACTGTCTATATGTTTATGTACTGGGCTATGGGACTAGCCTTATTGATCACATCTAGTTGATGAATATTAGATGAGAGGACTGGTAAGATAAATCATTTAAGGTAAATACTTACTCCAATCACACCAGATGCAAAACTTTTTTGCAACTTAACTGCCTGTTCCCCTTCAATTGTACGAAGAAGTTTGATAATTGGATGAAATTTATAGTAAGCTGCTGCGACTGGTGAAAATTTAGCATGATCTCGGCCGATTCCTTTCACTGCAACACATCGAACTTCGATTTCATCACCAAGAGCTAATTTATTGATAAGTATTGTCGATGATACTGGTATAGGAGGATTATTGACATTAAAATGATCCTCCTGACCGGTTAGTGGTATCCACTTGAGATCCGAACTATTAAAAATCAAATTGTTCAAAGTAAGGCTTCTGTGAAGTGCATATTTTTATGGTGGTCGTTCACTAGTAACCAACTTTATGCTTTGGCTTAAAGTAGTAATCAAATAATGGGGTAGGTTAATTTTCTCTTACCCACCATAGTGTTGATACAGTGGTTTCTTCTGAAGTCCAATATTTTATTGGTGTTATGTGATAGGTGGGTGTGGAGAACATGAAAATATTTCATTTATCATTACGGTGGATATACAGAACTCAACACATGATATCAGCGATAATTTAAACCGCTTTGTTATCTGATTTTTATATTGGTGAATGCAAGACAGATTTAGGGTAACATTTTGTGCGTAACAAGCATCAAATATTTCAAAACCTGATAAATTTTTACTTAACGCTAAACTATTACTCGGTTAGTTTAAGAGTGACACAAGTACAAAATGTAATACCTATATTAGTGTATTTTCCCGCTAGGTGATATTTTGTGACGTCATCCCTTCTGAAGCACGATTTAGATCAGTAGTCCAGGGTGCCTGGTACCTGTGTGGTTGCGCCACAGGGTTGAGCTGTACTATTCAGATTGTAGCGTTAAAGCCTATACGGTGTCTGGTTCTCCTGTGAAGCGGGGTTGAACTGTACTGCTCGAGTTATAAAATTTAAGCCTGGACGGTGTCTGGCTCTCCTGTTAAACGAGATTGAGCTGTACTCATTGGGTTGTCACGTGAAAGTTTGGATTGTGTCTGGTTTTTCTGAAAACCAATGTAAGACTACCCTGGCCCACAAGGGTATATTACATAACTATGAATGCATTTCCTTACGATGCTCCACTACCTTGTGGGTAAGACATTTAGGTCAAAGGCTTCGGGTGTGCCCCCCTAAGAAAATCACCTGCTTGGGTCTGGGCACCCAGACAGTATCACAGACCTCACATAAATCAAATGCCATTTGTGTGGCGCATATGTATCTGGTGCCCCCTTGCACCCATATCTGTGTTCAAATAAATAAAATAAATAGTAGTCCGTACTCATAGCTTACTCCAGTTTTAATCGTAACTTCGTCTTAACCAACCATATGTAAAGTAGAGCCTGGCACATGTATCATTTCAAGTTGCCACATCACATTAGCACAGAGGAAATAAACTATCAAACCAAATCCCAAAGTAGTAAGAATAACAGTAGTACATGTAGTATAAAAGACTAGATGTCGAAAATAAAAAATGCATAAGATAACGAAATTTAGAACTTAAAAGAAAGCAAGAAGTGGATGTATTTGAGCCATTGAGAATTATGCTGAGCCGCGTTATTCAAAGTCTCTAACCACTGGTTAGGATGGGTCCCAACCAAGTGGTTCACATCCAACCACAAAGCTCAGCTCGTTTGTCAAATTCATGAACTGATGCCACCATTAATATCTGTTTCGTATACCAATAGTTTTTTTTTACAAATTACGAATTTATCTGTTTCTGGTACGAAAATTGTACAGACAATATAAGCACTACGTGTTATTACATAGAAATAAAGCGCCGAATGTAGTAATGATTACCAGAATAACAACCTTTTAGTGTATTCATCCTGTAATAACTACATTTACTGGTTAGCCAAGTGCTTCGTAGCGATGACGTGTTCTAACAGACTATCACTGTCGCAAATGTAACTCATCAGTTAGGGGAAATAACAGATAGTTAACTATTTTAGAGATTATGACCAAACAAGTAGCAAGAATAAACCACTTTAGAAACACAGAATGCCTTAGGATTATATGGTATTTCTGAGAGATGAGAAGGGAAATCATCTATGATTAAAAAAAATATACATCCCGTGTATTTCAAAGGTACACATTTCTATTTATGGACAGCACAACAAAAGAGCTACAGCATAATCGCCGAAAACTCCTATTTCGGGATTTATTTGGCAATACCTTCGATCAGTGGACCTTGCGATCTCTAGGACACTGCTAAAAGAGCCGTAACTGAGTTGGCAGATACTAACACAATTATTATTTTTTTCGTGAACTGCTCCTCCTGTTGTTTTATTAAGCAGCTTAGATAGTGGTTGGAGGTAGTCGACAGGAAACCATGGACCCGGGTTTCGTGCTACTTGGCACTCGTCAGCAAGTTGTACCTGTAATCTTGAGGAAACTGGTGCTTCTTGACGGATTTGATGTCGTGTCATCCAGTTTCACAATCAGAGCTTCTATAGCCAGTATTTCGAAATAACATCAACGATTGAATAATGATTTCTCAAGTATGCTGTTCAACTTTAACACCACCGATGTACTGTCCTTCCCGAATCTGGGTAGTTATTCGGGAACAGCGATGAACAAATATGGAAAACCAATGTTGATTTGTTTTTCTGATATTTGCTTGTATATTCATATGGAAAACCTTAGAGAATCCTAAACTAAGAAATTACGTGCATCAAAACGTTTTGAACTTAACCGTACAAAGTTAATCTAGGAGTTTTAAAATGGGATGAGTCGCTTCGGGTTCTGTTGCATAGGTCAGAGTAGACAGTAATTATTGTTTTCAGATAGATTGGTAGATGGTCTGACAGGTATTTTATGTCATTTTCCCAACCCTTTGAATCTTCTGGATCGATTAATACCCGTGTTAGTCAGACGAACTACGTGTTTTTAATTTGAGTTGTTGACGCGTGATAGATTAATTGATAACTTGGTATTTAGTGTAGAACGAGTAAATCATATACGTAATAAAATTGTTTATTATTCGTCATTAGCAAGCTAGCATCTCATTAGTGTAAAGGAGGGATCGAATGCTACTTCAAGTCTTAAAATACGACGACTGATTTCATCACCAAAGTACGACCGTTTTAGCTTACACTACCAACAGAATACTCTCTTGTATAACTGTTTCTAAAATTAGTGAAAAGATTGGAAAACTTTTCATAAAATTATTACCGGCCTGGAACAAAAGGACGCAGTTGTACCTGAGATAATTTGAGCCTATAATAAATTTCTCGGAGACATTTTTCTAACAGTTCAGTTATGTCCACTAAGACGTAAGCAGTCCTAGTGTGAGGGAATAGGACGACAAGATTCAAACGAATTCGCAACTACGTCAAGAGCTGTAAATTGTATTTTCTAGAGCGTTTAGCCGATCACCAAGTTGGATGATCCCTGATAAGACAAAATCAAATCTCATCCTTTCATAATAATTTCACGCTAGTACGTAGATCACTTAAAAAACATAACTCAGGATTATCGGACGTCCAGTTTTATCATTACAGTTGTTATGTACGTAGTTCATATCTAACAGTAAATTCCATAATAACTTGTATTTGGGCAAAATACAAAAGCCAATGTGTCGAGATGAGGACAACCATTAGAAAGTAGAGGAGAAAAAGTTGGATAAACATGAGTCAATGTATTAAGTAGTGTAATGGATTCATATCTGAGTACTAATGATAAAACCGGTCACGCCGATCGAGAACAAGTCATTGAGAATATGTGTAACAGCACAACACAAATCTAGTTTGATGGGAAAACGGTGGGGATGACTAAAATTTATTCGTCGAAGATATGATTTTCGACGGACTATAGTGAATTAGACTTGCCAAATGGCAAAATATCGCAAATGCGGTACACGAAAACTAATCAAGCACGTAAAAGCCTTATACAGGAAAGGTAGTTTGGTGATGATGATCGCTGTTTAAGCATGAACAGCGAAAACTTGCTATTTTCTAAATTATCCAAGTAGGAATTAACAGTAAGTTAATTTGGAAACTAGATACTTTGTGGCAACGTATACTAAAATGACTTCCTTTTGCATGAGAAACTAACGTAACTGTGAGGAAAATATAAAAACAAACCAACCTGTACACTGGTAAATACTGAGCCACAGGTAAAGTGTCATCCTTATCTTTTCCAGGTTTATTATGCGAATCTTTGCTAGAACGGGTAAAACCAACACGCATATCATATACTAAGTGTTCTTTAGGGTCAAACCCTGATAAGTCGTCGGAAGCAGGAGGCTTTTTTGTGGGGAACAAAAAATATTTGGGATCAACAGCGAGTGGGATTAAGCCAAGACGATGACACATAACCTCGTCCGGCATTATACTCGTGTTCTGATAAACATAAACCCTTTCTATCGCGAGAGAAGGAACTTCAGAGACCAAAATTCGCCGAACTGCATTAGCGAAGGAGCAATCCAAATTAATCATATCGAATTCCATTGTATCAGACTCTTCGCCATGACGAATAATTTCAACATGGAATTTTTTCTTAAAAACACTTAGGCTCCAGGGATCTTCCGCACCATGGTGGTGGAGCACTCCATGATCCTTTAACTCATAGCACGTCTTCTTAAATCGAGATTCCATGAGGTACCGGTCGTGACCAAAAATCCGCGTCTACCAAGGTCGTCAAATCACATACTTCACCAGGCTAAAAGTAATTGACCGAATATTTCTTAAGTTACGGGTTTGAATTAAGCAAAGCGGTTCTTATGTAACCGATATACAAGTCTTTTACTTGCGAACCTGAAAGAACTGAGGATTCTAACTCTGGATGTTCTTCCTTAATCAGTTATGTTAACTGATTTGTTTACTCTTCAAATGGTTCAAATGGTTGTGGACGGAATAGAAAAGGCTTTCGCTTAATGGGCTTCCGTCTCCACTAGCAGTGAATCCTCAATACCTCCAGGCAAGAACCTAGGTATATTAACGATAAAAGAGGAAAAAGGAATTGGCGAATCATAGTAGGATAATATCCTTAGTCCATAAGAATAGGTCAAGTTTCCTCTTAAAGTGCTCTTGTACGCGCTGTTGTTGTCAGTTCATTTGTATTTTGCCCAACAATGGCTTTTGCGGTTTAGCAGGCGAAGAGTGCGATTCTTGATGATCGTAGGTTGCTTGAGGCTTTTAAAGGCCATTTGGGGAGCTGACTGCCATGTAGGACATAAGAGCGTGTGTAGTAAGAAGTCCCAATGAGCATACACATCAAGTTGAAGGTAAAAATCCCAATCCACCTGTTGTAGATAGTCCTGTAGAGCTGACACATTCAACCGTTTGAAATTCCAGTGCCTGTTGTTGGTGATATGTCTCAGCTCACTTTTTGGCAAAACTGTAGGCTATGATGGCGTGATCACTTTTCCCCGGGCGAGCCAGGATAGAGAGGTTATCAACTGGAAATACTCAATCCCAGCACGATGGTATCTGACTGTTGCCGACTTCATATTTTTAAATAATCACAGATCTTCAATGAGGTTGAAGAACCGAGCTTCAGTTGAGATTTTCACCTCCAATATACGGATTTTCCGCGAAATTGACTGTAGGGAGATTGAAGTCCCCTATAGTCAGGATATGAGTGAATCCAAGATGCGTAGAGCGGGATAGTCGTTCTAGCATACGACTGTCATATTCGGTGTCAGCAGTGGGCTTCCCATAGATGACCTCAGCTAGACACCTCGAAGTGGTAGACAATCTTACTGAGCACCATACGAATTCATCAAGATTGATAAACTCTAGGTTGTGAAATTGGTGCACCTTCAGGCGGGATCGTATGTATACGGCTACTTTACCCCCAATCCCTGTTTGTCTGTCGTTGCAAAACAAAGACACCTAAGGTAATGCTAGCTCCTGGTCCGAAAACTGAGAAGATATCCAAGGTTCAGATATTCCTATCAGATGATCTTTATTAGCATTGCTAAGTTCACGTAGCTCATCCATTTTATTTGGTAGACTCGCAGCGTTCATGCATAAGCAGTTTATGCTTTCAATTTGAAACACGTGAGCTTCCTGTTTGTCTGTATGAGCCTAACGTGAATAAACAGGTATGGGGATATCTCATAGGCAAGTCTTAAGACTTTAGCCTTTTTCTTAGCCGAAAACGCCTTTCTACAGCTAAAACGAAGGCTCAGGAGGTGGGCAATATACTAATTCTGCCTAGCAAACTTTCAAACGTTAAATGTTTCAGAGAAATTAGAGAACTATATATTTGGAGGTATATTTGTTCGGTCGATGAAAGAGTTGTAGCGTAGTGTCGAGTCGCGCTTGATTATGAACACCGCTACAAGAAGACTACGTGCCAGTTAACCAATAAGATCCCCGTAGGTTAATATCAGAAGGCAGATGATGGCTGTAGTCGAGATGTATTCGTTGGCTATCTCGTGGTATCGAAAGAACACCGAGATCGTGCCAAAGTAGTACAAGCGTAAGTGCTAAGTTTAATCGAATTCACACAAGTTCAAAGTCAACGGGAGAGTGAGTGAAGTGGCTGTCATTAGTATAGTTAAACAAACGAGCACAGTAAAACAATCACTGGTACAATTGGTTATAATAATAATTGCTTTCATCGAACCAATCGCGTTCTGTTGACAAAAGTAGACCACTACAGAGTCATCTCGATAGTGAAAAGGTATGGTTGAAGACTATCTGTCCTGTGTTTGGAAATTTAAATAATGCTTCAAGAACAGTTTTTCTTATTTACATCTGAACACTGTCCAAATGAGATGCTTGATAACTTGTTAACAACGGAGTCGAAGTGCGAAGATTTGCGCGCATCTTGAGAGTCCTCACATTCTAATGCCCCATCAAAAAATGCCATGACCCTAAGAACAAAAATCAACTCATTCACTGCTGCGAAATCCAAAGATTCAGAGAATCTGGCTTCCTATGATCTACGACAGGTCTACTGTAAAAATTTGACAAATCTGTGGTTTATTTGCAAATCAGTCACAATAACCGAATGCGTTACAAGGACCCATGTGAGTCTGTTCAAATTTCTGTTTGGAATTCTAATACTAATTGGTGCAAATCTGCCTGTAACTCTCCTAGAGTTACTGCCTGTTCCAAGCTCGGGTAAAGGAGGAAGGTTGGGCATGGGTTTAGCGTCCCCGACCCGTAGAAAACTAACTCGCTAAAAAAAACGCTAACCAGAAAAAATAACTCAATCCATTTAAACTCAGCCCTGGGAGTTAAAAAGTCTTCATTTAGAAGAAATATGACGCCTCATGGTGAAAGCCGAATTCCTTCGGGAGCCACGAGGCCGATGCCCTTTCTAACAACCAGAGCAACAATTTTTATAGGTACATGGAACGTCCGGACAATGTGGGAGAACGGGAAGACCAGTCAAATAGCAACGGAGATGAGGAGATACAACTTGGCAGTGCTGGGAATCAGTGCAACCCATTTGACCCAAGTTGGACAACAAAGACTAAATACGGCAGAGATGCTGCTATACTCCGGTCACGAAGAGGAAAATGCTCCACACACTTAGTGATTGCTGTAATACTATCCAGAGTAGCACAAAATGCACTTTTAGGATGGGAATCTCACGGATCCAGAATCATCAAAGCATCATTCACAACAAAGAAGGAGGTGATCACAACGAATATTATCCATTGCTATGCACCCACCAATGATAGCAACGACGACGTTAAAGACCAATTCTATGAGAGGCTGCAATCACTCATAGAGAAGTGTCCAAGAAAGGACCTCACCATTCTGACGGGAGATCTAAACGCCAAAGTCGGAATAGACAACACCGGATATGAAGATATCATGGGACTGCATGGACTGAGGGAGAGAGGAATGGAAACGAGGAAAGATTTGTAAATGTGTGCATTCGACAAATTGATCATAGGCGGCACAATATTTCCACACAAACGTATACACAAAGCTACATGGATCTCACCGGACCACACCACAGAGAACCAGATAGATCATATTTGCATCAATAAAAAGTTCCGAAGGACAATGGAAGATGTGAGAACCAGGAGAGAAGCGGACATAGCTTCAGATCACCACCTGGTTGTAGCCAAATTGAAACTGAAGCTAAAGAAGAACTGGACAAACAGCACCACAAAGGTTCAATACAGCCTTCCTTCGAGATACCGACAAACTCAATGGATTCAAGATAGCTCTCAACAACAGGTTCCAAGCCCTAGAGGATCTACTGAAGGAAGAAGAAACTACTATGGAGGATAACTGGAAAGGTATCAAAGAAGCATTAACTTCAACGTGTCAAGAGGTTCTGGGCCCCAAGAAGCATCATCACAAGGAATGGATCTCTATAGAAACACTGGACAGGATCAAAGAAAGAAAGAACAAGAAGACAGCTATTAACAATAGTCGAACAAGAGCAGAGGAAGTCCAAGCACAGGCTGAGTACAAGTGACGAAGAGCATTAGAACCAACGAGCAGAAACACGTGTAAGAACTAGCAACGAGGGCGGAGAAAACTACGAGAGAAGGAAATATGAAACAGCTTTATGATACAACGAAGAAACTAGCAGGGAAATCTAGTAAACCAGAGAGACCGGTCAAAGACAAAGAAGGAAGACCAATCACTGAGATTCAACAACAGCGTAACAGATGGGCAGAGTTTTTCGAGGAACTCCTGAATAGGCCGGCACCAATGAATCCACCGGACATCGAAGCAGCACACACAGATCTTCCTATAAATGTCAATCCACCAACGACAGAAGAAATCAGAATGGCCGTCAGACAAATCAAGAGCGGGAAAGCAGCAGGACCCGACAAGCTGGATTTCGTAAGGACTGGTCGTGCACATACCGAATTGCGACACTACGGATCATTGTCGAACAATCAATTGATTGGAACTCGTTACTGTACATCAACTTCATTGATTATGAAAAGGCATTTGGCAGTGTATATAGGAGAACGTTATGGAAACTTCTTCGACACTACGGAGTTCTTGAGAAGATGGTCAGTAATATCTAGAACTCATACGATGGACTACAGTGCAAAGTAGTGCATGGAGGACAGCTGACAGACTCATTCCAAGTAAGGACCGGAGTAAGACAAGGCTGTCTACTCTCTCCCTTCCTGTTTCTTCTGGTGGTCGACTGGATTATGAAGACCTCGACATCTGAAGGAAACCACGGCATACAATGAACAGCTGAGAACCAATCAGACGATTCGGACTTCGCAGATGACCTAGCCCTCCTATCGCATACACATGAACAAATGCAGACGAAGACAGCCAGAGTAGCAGCAGTCTCTGCATCAGTAGGCCTCAACATACACAAAGGGAAAACCAAGGTCCTCAAACACAACACGGAGAACAGCAATCCAATCACTCTTGATGGCGAAACTCTGGAAGATGTAGAATCCTTCGCATACCTGGGAAGCATCGTCGATAAACAAGGAGGTTCAGATGCAGACGTCAAGGCGAGGATTGGCAAAGCTAGAGCGGCATTCCTTCAACTGAAGAACATATGGAACTCAAAACAACTTTCAACCAATATCAAAGTCAGAATCTTCAATACGAACGTCAAGGCAGTTCTACTGTACGGGAACAAATGGCGTATAAACCAATCGTTGGTCACCGGCTACCATGGGACTGCATCGCCTCACGATGCTCCACTGCCTTGTGGGTCAGACGTTCAGGTCAAAGGCTCGGGGTGTGGCCCCCTAAGGAAACCACCTGCTTCGGTTTGGGCACCCGAGCAGTATCACAGCCCTCACACAAATCAATTGAGATTTGTGTGGCGCATATGTATTTGGGGCCTCCCTGTACCTATACTTATGTGTTAAAATAAATAAATAATAAATAATAAGCTGAAACTCGGAGAACTACAACAACCACCATCAAGAAGATACAGGTATTTATTAATAGCTGTCTACGCATGATACTCAACATCCATTGGCCGGATACCATCAGCAACAGCCTTTTGTGGGAGAGAACCAACCAGCTTCCAGCTGAAGAGGAAATTAGGAAAAGACGATGGAAATGGATAGGACATACATTGAGGAAATCATCAAACTGCATTACGAGACAAGCGCTAACTTGGAATCTTGAAGGAAGGCGGAAAAGAGGAAGGCCAAAGAACACATTACGTCGGGAAATAGAAGCAGATATGAAAAAGATGAATAAGAACTGGAAAGAGCTTTAAAGGATTGCTTGGGACAGGGTTGGATGGAGAATGCTGGTGAGCGGCCTATGCTCCTTCACGAGGAGTAACAGGCGTTAGTAAGTAAGCAAGTAACAAATGGGTGCATTTCCGATCATACGGAGACCATATCCAATAAATAGCCGGGAGGACATATGAAGAACCTGAAGAGAAGACGTATGGCGAACTACAGAAATTTGGATACCCATCTGAGCCGTGGTGATTGTGGTGATCTTGTCAAGTTCTTCAACTAATCTATTTAACAGGCTGTATTATTGATACAGTAACAATTTATCAGTTATTACTATCATGTCTGTATGAATACGTATGCCTAATCACATGTGACAACATACGCACCTATCCCTCTCTCTAGCTTTAATGTTAGATTGTTAAAAATCATTTAATGAATACTCCGCTTTCCAATGTTCATGGGCTTAAATCTTATTGGTTGATTGGACTCCGAATTCCTCCCTGTATTTGTAGGATCCATTAGTTTACGGTCAAGTACCCAAATCATATAACCAATTTTTAACATAACATTGCTGAGTATTTATAAATTTTATGTACCGCGCTAACTAAAGCTACCTCTTAAAAGACTACATAATCCCTGTCATTTTAGCTTTAGTTTCATAAATCGTGTCTCCAGTTCTGAATTTTATTGTCAAAATATCACATGTCCTGCATCAAATTACACGTTAACCCGGCTTTCACATTATTTTTATGTCATTCGAACCTGACAGTTATTTGAACTATCCCTAACATTCTTGACTGAACCTATCATCTCCTTATTTCCGTGTATATTTGGGTTTACGCATTCGGATACCACAGTAGTTATCTAAGCAGACATTCGAAACATTTAATAGCTTGGGGATTATTACGGTTACCGCCTTAGTATATTGTCATGCTTCATTAAAGTGTCAAATTACTTATAACGTAGTTTTCGTTAGTGTCATCGGATAATTTAAAGTTACCTTGCGGTGCTAGGATTAACCTGTTTCACTGTAAGAAAACAGAATGACTTTCCTTGTTATATCGAGCTTTCCAGTCAAAAGGGTTGAAGTGAGGTGTGTGGGACCAGTGAAATACTATTGATTCCTGGCCAAATCATCCGGCGATTGGGTCACTGAATATCGGACGGATAATCGATCACTGTCAAATTCAAGGACAACCAATGCGTGTCAGTTAATCGTACGTCATGAACTGACCCATGCGGTGGTGGTCACACTTTCGCTTGTACCTACTTTAACTAATATATTTCTGTAATAACGTCCTTCGTGTTGCTTAGTCTTTAAGGCATTCATATTACCTTGGTGAGACAAAGGGGTGTCACACGTTAGATGTCGACTGCGAGGTGTGACTTTGACGTTAGCTGTTGCTACATCATTCCCATTTAGCTCGAGTAGGCCCCCAACTATTCGACTGAGATCATCAACACCATTTCACAGAATCCCTTGATCTAGAATGAGCGAATTCGACATTACTGTAATTGAATCAGACATATATCGACATTAGTATTTGGAACCATCAGCATTAAAGTGGAAATAAAACTAGATAAACAAGCAACCAAACAAGAGGCCATTGAAAAGGTTCTCATATGAGGCGTTTAAAACCATCACGCGACAGAACGCATGCTAGCCAGTAGAATTGAATTGATGTATTTGACAATCGTATACTTAGTTAGATATCATGTTCTAAAAGAAGTATACTGTTATGTGAATTTAACATGTCTATATTAAACACCATTAAAACATTAATTACAATGATATTTATGTATTGACGATTGTAGCATTCACATGTGTCCAAGTCTCAACTCGACCTTCCTCAGTTTGTCCCCGAGCCAAGTTTATGTCCGTAAGAATAGAAAATCCGTGGAAACCATAAGAGTCTAGATCTCATTAAGGGTGAAATTTACTTGGATGCTCGCCTTTATTACTGAATGAAGCATAGGTTAACTGAAATACGACGCCGTGACTGCAAGCAAGCATTTGGTTTCTGTCAAAGAAGATTATCCCAGTGCACGAAAGATGGATTCTATAGTCTATCTGAACAAATAGGACACTGAGTTGGATTGAGAAATTTATTACAAACACTGATGCAAGTCGACCGACCCACTAGTCTTTTTAAAGACTTTGTTTAAGCAATGAAAGGGGAATTTACAAGCATAGTATCAATCACGAGCTTAGCAACCAGAGTAGTAAACAATAAAAGCGCAACCTTATTCATTGAAAACTCTATGGAAACCTCGTCATTACTACTGGGATTAAGTCAAAAGATTAGTACCGTATCAGTAACTAATTTAGACGTCTCTTATTGTAATTTCCGTTTCCTCTCTAATTCTTTCATCTCCATCATCTTCACACTAACAATTAATTAACTTATTTGCCGTTCTCAAAATAATCACCTTCTCTTGGCACTCGAATTACCACTTGTTGTTTTCACATTACGATCAATCTATCCCCCGTCTGGTAATGTGATGTCTGGTGGTATCTACTCATTGGACATTACTGAATACATCGAACCGTACCAAAACAACGAGAGGCGAGGGCAAAGAAATCAATCGGTTAATACAAACTCATGAAAAAGATATTGCATGAATATATCGGGGATGAATGGCTCATTAATTCCATAAAACAAGTTTGAAGGTTCTTGAATGATTGAAATAATGACTGTATCATTCCACATTTAGGAAGCGTCCCACAAAACCTAAATACAAACCTCCACGAGGTGTAAAATCTTTCTCTTTATCAACAAAGACCACAGTTCAAAAATTGATGTAAATTGTATTTTATGGAACTTTTGTTTTGATCTACTACATTTTGCTAATTCTCTATAGTACCTGGTGTAGGCTGTTCAAAAATGAAAATTAAAGTCGTGACGAATGACTTTATAATTCATATCCTTTTTTATCATAATAAAAGTGGTTTAATATTGTCGTATTAGAAGTTATTTACTTAACAGCATGAACATAATGATTTAGCTAGTTCTGTTGACTGGGTGTCTTGCGATGAAATAATTTCGACTGCTGATGATCGAGTTGTTAAATGTTGGAATCTGATATCAGATCAAGTGTCAGACTTATTTAGCTTGCCCCAAAATGTTTTTCCAACCTGTATGGACTGGCTTCCCAGACAAAGGACGAAACAATCTACTAAGACATCAAGAGGGAGTGAAATATTCTTACTCGGGGCTACTGATGGTAAAGTTACAAGATAGTTTTTGAGTTTTTTAGGGAAATGTCACATAATTTCAAAAGAGAAAAGAATAGAACGAACTTTAGATGCTCATCAGGGGGCTGTTTTATCTGCGAAATGGAATTTCGATGGAACTACTTTTGCCACATGTTAGTGTGCATCATGCAAATAACACTGTCCATTTAGCTGGAGAAGACGGGCAAATAAAAATCTGGTCACGGGGTGGGATGTTAAGATCTACCTTATGTCAACACAGTAACTTGTTTTTATATTGTTTAACAAGTTTTTCCTCAATCAGGTTATCCGATCTACTCGATTGCATGGGGTGCTAACTCTAATATGATGGTTTTTTCCCTTGACAGACAACTAGTTACACAATCTCTTCAAGCGAATGTTAAACCTTTTGCCGTGAGTGAGTTGAACACCTCAAAGACTTTCTTCTTATAGTGGAAAGCTCATGATGGTGTCATTTTGCAAGTTGATTGGAATGTCATCAACAATCGACTTATTTCTGCTTCAGAGGATTGTAAATACAAAGTAAAATACAATGATTATAACCGTATTTTAGGTATGGGATAATTACGGGAGGCTCTTATATTCGAGTACGCCTTTTGAATACCCAGTTACTTCGATTTCATGGTCTCCTGATGGTCAGTTATTTGCAGTTGGATCATATGCTACTCTAGTGTTGTGTGATAAACTTGGGGTGAGTTTACGATATTTGTCTTGTATCGTTCATTGTTCGTCTGATGTGAAAGGAGACTTCCATCACAACTTTGTTTAGTTATGGGATAATTATTATACTTTAACCTTTAGAAATGATTTATATTTAAAGGATAAAAAGAGTAGAACGTAAAAAATACTAAAGTCATTGTTTATTATGAGGATGCAGATCATGAACGTACCATTTGTACTACTTTAGGATAAAACCGAGAAAAAGACTTTAGAATATCAAACGTTTTCCTCTGGGAAACATTAGCATTTCTGTTTCCTATGTTTTGAAAACGCTGAAGAACTTCAGTAGTGCTTTTGGATGAATATAATATTGTAAGTTATATTTTGGATCAGTCGAAGACATCATCTTAAATACGTGTTTATCGGTAAAGTTTTGACTTTTCAGAATAACCAATCTGTCAAAAGATTTTGAAACTTTAGTTCGCATTTGCATTTTGGTAACAGTTTTCAGTTAGTTTCTAACCCTTTCCGACTGAAACTCTGAAGCTGTAAACATGCAGTTGTGACGAATCTATAGGAAAATCTAAAAATTATAGTCACGTCAAGTCTTGGTGGTTTTTAGTCTTGTTAATTATTTCGTATTTGTTAGCACTCATGGACATAGTGCATCTTCAACAATTTGGGAACTGATACTCATTGCATCAAAAGTGAAGAAGGCGTCATCAATGATATTGGATCACAGTTTTACCATTTTATTGATTGATTAAAGTTTTTATTGTATGCCATTGGATTTCGACATATGACCACAATCCCTCGTTTTTTAATAGTTCCTCAATGCACATCAGTTCGTTATATTGCGCTACGTTCTTAATATCATCTCAAGCAATCTGAATTAATTTAAATTTTATTCCCTGAGTTTTTAACTTTCAGTGGACTCATGCTTTGGAGAAAACACATACTGGTAGTATTCTGAGTATTAAATGGTCTCCTGATGGTAATCAATTAGCATGTGCTGGTGGAAATGGTCGAATAATTAATGGATATGTCATTGAAACATGTTTAGAATGGAATGGTTTTGAAGCAGTGTTAACAGATGAAAGAACTGTTGTATTGCGCAATATGCGAAATGAATCAATAGAACGTTTAGAATTCCGTGATCGTGTATCAAAAGCATCATTTAGTTTTAACTACTTTATTGTAGTGACCAGCACTCAGTGCTATGTATACAAGTGAGTGTTTAGTATTTTTTTATAAACCGATTTGTCGTCTAATTCCAAAATCAATTTCCGCACTGTTTGAAATCAATTAGGGAACTTTTGAAAACCATAAAGCACTTGATGGTTGGTTTTTTCTGGTTTTAAACTTCACATCTATGATCTTGATAATAACTGAATCAAGAACATTCAAGTCGAAACTTAGTGATTTATATTTATAGCTTGAGCTAATTCATGATACGAAACTAGTTCATTTTTCTCAAATCACGTTATCTATGTCGAACTTTTTTTATTACCACGGATACCATTAAGAATACTCAGACATTTATTTTATTATGCTTAAATAGCTTAGCAACTTGAACTGACATACACGTGCGCCAGATTCTACGTCGCTGGTGAATGAATAACAGACTGAAAACCAGCATCCGGTATTATTGAGGATATTTGTGTTACTCATATATACTCATATACATATATGGTAGTCATTGAACTGAATGGCTTGTAGAGTTAATTTTGATTCGGATGACAGAACAAACAACTCAGTAAGCTACTGGTGTATCTTTCATTTTATTTGTAAAAGAGATAACTAGTAAGGACTAAGTGGACATTTCGATCTGTACATTTAGAACTAATAAAAAGGAGTTCAAATGTAGTATTTTCGTCCCAACTACCTTAAGTCGTCTAAAATATAACAAAGTCACATTAATTAGTGAATATTTTAAGTTAGTTCACCTCATACCAAAGGACATGAAGCTAAACTCAGGTTATGAAGTTTAATCATAAAATTGAGTCAAGACAGTATTTATACAATCGAATAATTGTCTTACATCTCAATTTTGTAAAAGTTAAAGCTTAAAATTAGTAATTATTAAAATACTAATTTATGGTATTCAGGCCATGTGGTAAATATATATGCATGCGTAAAGAGAGCAATTAGTTAATTTTCTTAATATGAACAAAGAGAAAACACAGACCTCAAAAACGAAATTCGTATTCATCTCACAAGCTGGTGAATATTTGAGCTCAATAACTTAAAGGATAATGCGCTAAGGATTCGTACCGACTGGTATAAGGTCCGCGCCACAGTATGGACATGACCAATGGTGTACAGAGAAATCCAGTGGACGAGTTTAAAGTGAGGTCAACACCAAAATTTGCCAGGCTTTAGGTAGTTTCTGTTTCAAAACATCCATCACTATTTGTAGGTTTAATTATTGTTATAACCTGTGTATCCTGTTAATGGATAAGTAATGATACCGCCAATTAGGGAGCAGTGACCTATCTATCGAGTCAATGACGTGTAAAACACGTACGAGCAGTCTAGAGTCCTTATTGATCTCGTTGCTTGTCTAGTCCAGCCAGTTAAGTTCATAACACCAATCGGTTTATATGCCAATCAAACAGACGACATCGTACCATAAAGTAGGAAACAACATTTTTACAAAATTTGACCAAATGTGGCCGTGAATGTGGGAGGCAGTGACAAATAAACAGGGCATAATTCAAGAATGGTAAAACTCATAATAACGGTTCATAAGTCAAAATAAAGCATATAATAAGAGAAATATGAACAGTTTAGTTATTTAACAATTATACGATAAAAATATACGTTTAGTACTGGTTCATAAATGGATCCCAAAAATTACCATTTATTATGCTTATCGAGACATAGAAATTATGTATTACAATATTTAACTTCTTTTAAATTTATTTTTCAGTATTAAAAATTTCAATACACCTATCATTATTGAACTTAAAGAATCCAGCGTTACTCATATTTCTCAATGTCAGAAGTGAGTTATTTAACATCTTACCATTTTGTAATAATGTTTTAATCATTCGAGTGGCTGAAAAACTTTCATGATTAAAAATACCTGACTAATCAATTTACCGAAATAATTAGCTTACTAAAATCTAGATAATATAAAAGCTTCGAATCAAAATGGTTGCTTCCCAATGACTTATCATAAGTTTGATTTCTAATTATGGAAGTATAACCTTCAGGCAATATAAATTTATTAAAAATTCGAAATTTACAAAATGACCGGAAGAATAATGCTTCAGCCACTAAAACATAGTTCATAGATAATTTAGGACCTAATATAGATACTTATCAGTTCGACTTGTCACTACATTAGCTTATTAAAAGAAAAATTTCTGTGATAAGAAGCTGAGATTGGTTTATTTTAAATGTGAAAGCACTGTCGTACACAAATGCCTACGGAAGGACTAAAGAGAGTCATACCACTTGTGCAACTGAGTAAAAATAGAGTTGTTAATGAGACTTCATTCCAACCGAATAGTCTGACATTGAAATGTCTCCAATCTTATAGTTTACATCATGGATTCTTCGAAGTTAAGCATGCAAACCATTGGATGTTAGCCCAGTGATCTAGATTTTGGAGGATTTATGTTGTCTGGGCTGATTTAGTCTTGAAGTTTACATTGTTTTTCTAGACAATATTAGTATATATTTTAAGAAAGTAAGCTATTAAGATTCTTTCACGAGTGACTAAAACTTGTTCTGTTGCTTTTAATTTGATTAACTTCATAAAAGGCTTTCTTTTCTTAAAGGTATAACTCGACAGAGGTAATGCTAGAGACATCTTACACACTAGGGTAATTGGAAGAACAACAAGTGTTAATGCCACTGAATTTTCCAGTTGATCATTAGTAGTTTCTCAACCAAAGAATAAGTTACTTGTTTTCGCACCATTACTGTGCATTTACGAATCCAACTTATCCTATGGAGGAAACTATTTTCAACATTCTATTGAACAACTAAGTCAACAAATTAACAAAAATTTCTTTTTACGGGTTTAAGAGGATCAGACGAAATCCATATGCAACTCCGCTCTTTCACATTAGATCGACATTCGCCATGTGGTAGATAGGACAGATGTAACCAGAGTGAATTGTCATGTCTCATCAACCTCTAATATGGTTCGACTTCGTCTCCTACATATAACAGACTTTATAAGGATTGGAGCTAACAACCTTAATTGAATTGAAAAGAAATTTCGCTCAATTCGTTCGTTCTTTATTTACCAACTCTTTGATTATTTATAGGTATTAAACCGAATTCCCATTATAAGAAGATATACGTTGATGGAACTGTTTTCAGACTTGTTAAATTTGAAGCTAACTTCTGTCATAGACTGATGTCTGTAGATAAACTATTAAAATCTAGGCCACATGATTCCAACTCTTTAATATAGTGTTCACCACAAAATCTGATATCAGTAAATGATGAAAGCTATTTTCTAAAAAAAGGATTTCAGTTAAAAATATGGTTTTCTTTAAGTTAAACAATAATAATTACTAATCGTTTTACTACAGATATTTTGCTTTAGCTGATGGATCCAGTGTGTATATCTACAATTATGATGTACGTCTTGTTTGTTCATTAAAACATGCTAATATACACGCGGAACAAATTTATGCAGATTCTATAACTATGAGCAATGATGTAATTGGTATTAAAGATCAATTAGATAAGAAAAGTTAGTTTGTTTAAATTAATATGATAAGGTTATTGTTTATTAATTCTGTGATTACCTGTCTGTTACGTAATCTGGTTCTTTTAAAAGCCTAATCAATATTTATTGGCAAATAATTTATGCAGTCAGTTGGAATTTAATATTAATCATTCGAACTGGGATAAATATGCATCTATCCAAGTTGTTTTACTTCTTATCAGCAAAATATGGGAGGAAATAAGTAAAATCTAAATGAAAGAGATTGAAATAGTAACAGTATCAGTGATGATAAAAAGTTAAACAGAAAATTTATTTTATAATGAATCAATCAGGTCGAGAAATAAAAGGTATGAGATAGTATGTAAACTCAAGAGTTAGAGGATGATAAAGAACAAATATAACTGAACTACTATAACCGGTTTTAATAGATTCCACTTGATGTCTTCTATTATAGAATATGATTATCATGAAAACATGTTCCAAGTCGAAGTTCAACGGTTAGTGAACTATTGAACTAATAATACATCTTGGTTTGGATGCTATGACTTTTTTTCAACCCTCATATAACCTAGACACTGTTGACTGTTGTAGAAGGCCGTGGTTAGGATTTATGTCCTGCATACATGTTGAATGTTTGTGATCTTACCATTTAACTTAAAGTTTTGGCTTAGTATTAGTATATCTGACCTCACCATTACTCATTTATTATTTCCATTGTATTTGAGCAACATAAAGAAGACACTTATGATCGAATACTTGCAAAATTCATCCGTTTTTTTACTTTCAAAGGTAATATTTTATGGAGATAAAGTGACATAGGCGAGTTGCTACATGGCCTACTCATTCTGATAGACAAGTGTTCATTTAGCTTGAATCACAGGCACCTTAATTTAACGAAAGTAAAACTAACACTTTTTATCCACATTGGAAAATTATCAACGACCGACCCATCAAAGCTGATAAAATTCCCATGATATATAAAGCAGTGAATATGCGTCATGCCTTGGTGGATTGTGTGTTGCTTTAAACCAATATGATGGAATGATCAGTGAGAACAGATAATTGACATAAAAAAATAATGATTTATTGTGGTTGTCGATATTTTATAATCGTAACTTGTGTTTGAAGTAAATCATCAAGTTTACTATGTTGATTTTGGAATTGGTTTTAAATTGAGGTCATAATTTAAGTACGAATTATGCAACAAGGTCGTTTATTATTTTGTGAACTAATAAACCTTTGAATGGTTTTGTCATATACCAACATTAGTTAATCATTGAAAACCACGGGGTGGGGCAATAAACAGTAGTTTCCTTCTAGTATAGAACAAAATAACAATGCTCCTTAACCACCCAATCATGATTTGAACCCGGAACCCTCAGCTTTCGCTGTAAGCACATTGTCAAGGAACCAGCTATTGAGACTAAACAGCTGTTGATTTCTCCCATGTCTATGGTTGCACCTTAACTGCTGTCAATTCGTAACAGAGACCACCTAGGAATTATACTAATTTATTTTAAACTCTTTATTAAATAAATATTTATTAACCTATGTTGTCTTAACATGAAAAAAATGATTTATAATAGAGGTTCTATTCATATTTGGTTTACTTTTTAGTCATTCACTTATTTGATCCATCGAGTGGTAAAACGCTAGGTGATGGGAAACCAATAACCCATTCAGTATGTGCTATTATTTTGTTATATTATTATTGAATAATATCTATAACTATTAAACTGAATTAAATTCCATAGTTTATTTATATCACAATCTGAAGTTAGGGGGGAACCGATTATGTAGATAAATATCCTACAGTGGACCAATCAAAAGTTGCCAAATGCGAAGGACACTCTGTGTCATTCGAAAATTTCCTAATGCCAAGTGAATGCGATTGGTCAAGAAATAGTTTTATTTTCTAAGGAATATATATATGGATGTGAATTGGTGTAGCTTAGTTAATCTCCATTCTCACTCTTATCCTTCTCACTTAGTGACCAGTTGGGTGTTGGATATAGAAAGCTTGTGTATCAGTAACAGTCTTGGACATCATTCGTCATAATGAAATGTTTCTATCCTACAGGAAATAATTACTTGATTTTAGAATCTTCATTAGAACGGATTCAGAACAGATCCACAATCTGTAATAAATGCTGTTTATTTGAGTAGGTTTATTCACATTTTTAAGTTCAAATTATCTTTTATACAATATGATTCGCATTCAATACTAACGGAGTATCACAATTCCATAACAGACTTCATGAATTTCATAGGTCAACAATTTTCAGTGAGAACTTTTGGAAACCGATTTCCAAGTTATTCGGCCTTGGTTCTTTTTTTTAAAAAACAACATATGATCAAACATTTTGAAACCTTAATTATTAAAGGGGAAATTGACTATAATTTGAAGATAGCTGATGAAACAGTTTCATTTCACATAGGGATTGATTTGGTCCCAAACTCATTTATTTATAATATTTACTATAAATAATATTGAATTTTTCTACCGATTGTTGTTGGGGATGTTAGGTCCCCAGAACTTACTTGGTAAATCCCTTAATTTTGTAATTTTATTTTGAAAACATGAATTTCCTTGTTTTCACACCAAAAGTGTTCTTTTCACCTTCATGTCGTATTTCCCACTATGGAGAATCTTTAATGCTATTGGTCTGTTGTGTATTTTAATGTGCTATTTTGTAACGCTTTCAAAAGGACACTTTTATGCTGTATATACATTCGATTTGTGTCTGTTGTTATCGCTCGCTCGTGCTTCTGGATTTTTGCGGAACTTCGACTTCTCTCTCTAGTTAGCGGGGCTGGGACGCAATAGAATAGCTAGTTTATTGGTTTTTGGTCAAAAGTCTTTGTTCTGTTCGCAGACTAAGTGAACTCTTAACAGCTTCAAACCTAGCAATTACATAGTTTCTATTAGGAAATTTTTCAATTCTAAAAATATGGGTCATATTTACTTGGATTAAATTATTTCATCTCAAAAGTATAGACTGACTATAGAATTTCCAATCTTAAATTTACAAAAAGTGTTGTTGTATATATGCGCTATGATAATTTGATTAAGGGATATTGACCTTTAAGATTCAATTGATTTACAAAATCTATCAACTGATTCATGCTATTGAATCGTTTCCTTAAAATATGAGCTGTACCATTCAATAGACCAATGGATATTTTAAAATGATTTATAATTGTATTTCCGAAGTTTTAATGAAGATTTCGGATAATTATCAGTAATGGGTTGTGGAGATTGTTGAGCTTAGATTAATATAATGAATAGATCAATGTTAAACTACCATTGGAAATGTGAAAGAACTGGACGGCCTCTTCGTCATAGTATGGGACTTTTCAGCAGCGCTGATCCACGATGCAATAGGCAGGACTCGAACCCAGAACCTTCGGCCTCGCGCACAAACGCTTAACCACTGAGCCGGCATCTGACGGTGTTAAAGTCGAACATCAATCAATCCACTATATTGCATAGCCATCTCCCTTTATCTTTAGTAAGTAACTGCCTTACAACAAGATGGATTTCCTGGAGCTCTAGTGAGGAGCCATTACCAGTGGAGTTCATCCGTGTCTGTTGTAAGGTAGTTACTCACTGAAGACAATGGAGGACAGTCGCATAATATCATGGACCGGTTGAAGTTAGACAGTAACACCGTTGGATGCCGGCTCAGTGAGCGTTCGCGCGCGAACGGGATCGTGTAAGCGCACTACTGACGAGTCCCATACTAGAACGAATAAGTTCGAAATCGAGCTTCATGATTTTCTGTCAGTTATTTTCATACATTGGATTATACTATGGTTATCGAAAACATTAATAAACTGTTTTTATTTTCCATTTACTTGACATTTCACTGATACGACAGCTTTTTTTCGATGCTTTATAGAATGAAATCATTAAAATCAGCTTAAATCAAATGGGAAATTCATTCGATCGTCGATTAGTTCTGTTAGATAATAACAAAGACTTATATTTAATGTCAATTAGAATACTTGGTAATCAAAGGAAAATGATTAAATTAGGTAAGTTTATCAGGTGACTGATACAAAAAGTCGAATTGAGTAGTACTTGTAGTCAGTTTCTGTCAACTTATGTTGATTGCAGTGTAGGCGAGTTATCCATTTCCAACTACATAATATGTTTATTGTGCAGTATTTTGCTCCCTTCTTTTTATAAATTTGAAATATAACTTATAACATCAGAAGCCGTATAGTGAACAAAACAACAGTGGAGACAATCGAATGTAATTAATGAAAAATTACAGAGCATCTGAATAAAATCTGAGAACCATATATTAAATCGTTAATTTGCAAAATATTAATCCATCATATCAAACTTGACTGTTCCTGTTACAAACATTAATCCATTGTCTCAGATTTCATTGCTCATGCGTTTTCATACAAATTCCATTGTGTTTCCGCTCTTCATTTCTTGATTTTCTCCCATCTTCTGCTGCCAGACATTACGTTCCTAACTCGCGTAATATACTACTTATGTCTACATAAGTAGCACGCACCACACTAGTATACAACTACAGGTGACTTTGAAGCATCGCTCGTATATTCTGTAATCAATAAGTTAGCAATTCTGAGGTCATACGCAGAGTACTAGGTAAGTATAGCAAATCGACTGACGAAGTAGTGGATCTTTATCTACTGAAATGGTTGGGACATGTATTACAAATGCGAATTCACTGATTATCTCGACGCGTGATAATGGCTGATATAGGAGTAAGTTGGAAGAAATTTAGTGTCGAGGAGACCATACATGTTATCAGTCCATGAAGTAATTGACAAATGGACTGATTCGAATTAAAAGAAGTAGTAATTATTTGGTTGGAGTCAGAATTTAGTTTGACAATTATAAACACCTAGATTCAGTGGTTGGTAGAAACAAGTTTCACTGGAAGTTTCAATAAACATAAAGATATAATCAATGAATTAGTCTGACGATAAGACAAAATTTATCCCTCAGATTAAAGCTTTAGTCATTAGCAAGTACAATCACTAGTTTTTGTTAAGTCAATATAACGGGATTACGACCATGACTATGTAATGTTCATGAAATAAATATAATAATAAGTTCTACTATTTAAGCATTTCGTTTATGCATAGTTTTCATCCAGTTATACTGATAGATGTCCAATTATTCCTGAGTTATATAAATTTGATCTTTATTTTACAAATTCTGTTTAGCTACAATGGTTAGTTCATTTCTATGGGCTGAGACATCAAATATTTTGGCAGCCATAACAAACGACAAACTTGTCATCTGGTTCTATCCTGATATTGCATTGACCAATAGTGATATACTTAACTTAACACAAGAAGAACATAACATAACGTAAATTTTATTGAAGAAATTTTGAAAGTTCTTTAATTGAATGGATGATTGCTGATTTTTTTATTGATTGATTGAGCCTACTTTATTGAAATTCAGTAGTAAAAGTGGTAATTCAATATATTTCAACTACCTGGTTATTTCACTTAAGCTTTTTTCTAAAACTGATTTATAATAGTAAATTGTTCACTTAATCGGTGTATTTATTCACTTAATAACCGAAATGATGAGGTTTAAAACAGATGAATTCTGTTCCGAGTAAAAGAAATGTACATCTAAATAGTTTTTCGATGGAGTTTTGTTCTCTGAGTTTGATGGTTTGGTCAATGAAATTGAAATCGATCTAATTTATCAACCAATCAGGAAAATTATACACAAACATAGGAACAAAAATCAAACCAGTGGGAGATACAACCAAAACAAAGAAGCAAACAATCACAAGTTTAAGGTCAACAAGAACCAATCAACATCGAGGTGTATAGGACAAGCTGTGAACGACATACGGAGAAATTCGAACGTTTCACTTCTATCTGAAGTTTGCGCTGATGATGTCGTGCAGAAGAACGATGAAAGCTTCCCGACTAAACCATCCAGCTCAGAGAAAAATACTTCATCAAAATCGTCCACCTGAGCTATAAATCTTCACCATCTCAACATCTAAATATTTTAATGTAATATGTATCTGCAATCGGATCAGGTGCTTTTTCATTGACTTGAAATTTTTCATCCACCCACATAATTTTATATAATTATTAGTACTATAATACACACAAACACCCACTAAACACAACATAAATGATCAAATATCAAATAAAAAGGTTTATTATATCTCATAGTTTGAGATTTTAAAATGGGTTTAGTATGTTTCCTCTTAATTAAACTCTTTGATTTTCAAAAAAGTATCTAATGATCTCATAACAATCCCGAATATAAAATCTCAATGTCTGTACTGAATGGTTTCTTAAGATAACATGAAAATTTACAATTTATGTCGAGATTATATGTTAATAATTAGAAAACGTTTGGTCACTTTAATTTTCTAATAGAATATCATACATATATGATGTACGTAATACAAGTCAGTATCCTTGTTAGTTAGAAAAAGTGAACTGAATTCTTATCTCCGGTGAAGTCAAGATTAATGTAGTTTTACATTATGTACCGGTGTCAGTTAGACAACCATTGTGAACCAGGAAGGACCGGATAGTTGTTTTGCAATGTACATCTAAAACCTCATTAGGAGTAGAACATAGGACCTTCAAGTCTCTTGATGAGCCCTTAACCCTTATACCGTCAAGTGGAAATCCAGGAGCTTGGATTCTTAATTGCAAATGATTTACAATATGACCCATCCATCTTTTAATGGCATTGGTATGTAGCTAACTGCTTCAAAACCGACATGGTTAGACTCCACTAGTCACGTATTTAACTCCGAGAATCACTTTTAAAAAAATATTCACTAGTGGGTGTATGATGATTCTGTGGAGGATTAATTAATTTTCATCAGTGCGAGCTTTCTTTTCTTAGAATGATTAGATGAACTTAAATTAAGTTCATAAGTTTTTCCCTTGTCTATATTCATGTGTAGCAAATGTGAATATATATCTTAAGTCTCTTTTCATCACATTTAAATAATTTAATCAACACTGGGATGTCCGTACATCCAACCGATAAATTCCAAATTAAACGGAACAAAAATCTTGGAGTTCATTATTAGCCACCATCCAACTCTGGTGAAAATTCCATATTCTTCTTACATAGTATGCAAATTATTAATGACTGATTTATTGTAAATGAATTTGTGAAAGCATCAAGAATTTAGATTAGCAATTCAAACTTTGTTTAAGTTCAAAAACGTACAGTCGGTTAACAAGTATGCTCGCAGTGGTTTAATCTCTCTGTACATTATGATGTACACTTTTCAGCGTATACAGACTAGTGAATTGATATGAATATGAATTTAGATGAATTATGGATACTGTTCAATCTAAAGTGAGTTTTTGCTATAGGATGATATTTCATTGAGTTACTACAAAAATTGTATAAACAATAGACAAGTAAAATTTTAAGTTTGACTCAGTAAGTTCTTTAGATCATGTCCGATGCGTAACTATCAGGTTCTGGGTTCGATCTCTGGCATCAAAGTATTCACTGATAATCTCTAAATCACAACAAAAGACCTATTAGAACTTCTTATTTTTTAACTTTTGGGGATGATGTCAATCTGCGACAAAAATCATGTTTTTAAAATACTTACGTTCTTACGCCTGTTACTCACAATGGAGCATAGGCCGCTGATCAGCATTCTCCAACCCACTCTGTCCTGGGCCTTCCTTTTAAGTTCTATCCAATTTTTGTTCATTTTCTCATTTCTCTCTTCATTTCTCGACGTAATATGTTCTTCGGTGTTCCTCTTTCCCTTTGGCCTTGAGGATTTCATGTGATGGCTTGCCTTGCTGCGCAGTTGGGTGCTTTCCTCAATGTGTGTCCTATCCACTTCCAGCGCTTCTTCCTGATTTCTTCCTCCTCTGGGATCTGGTTTGTTCTCTCCCATAGTAGGTTGTTGCTAATAGTGTCTAGCCAACAAATCCGAAGTATTTTAGTAGACAAATGTTAATAAACACTTGTATCTTCTGGATGATGGCTTTAGTGGTTCTACAAGTTTCCCCTCATACAGTAGAACTTTTTGACATTTTGTATTGAAAACTGTGACCTTGGTGTTGGTTGACAAACAGTTGTTTTGAGTTCCAGATGTTCTTCATTTGTAAATATGCTGCTCTTGCTATGCCAATCCACGCCTTCACATCTGTATGAGATCCACCGTGTTCATCGATGATGCTGCCCAGATATGCTAAGGTTTTTAAAATACGCCAACTATTTATTAAATGAGTATCGATAAATCATTGTTTGTTTATCATTTTTTTTCGTAATTATCAGTGATGATTATGGGAAACAATTAGAATTGATTAATTTTTATCGAGATCGAATAATGATAAAACGTGCTGATGGAAGTACTGTTTATTGTCCGATTTCAATTTACCCTGATAAACTACATCAATTAATTAGTCAAAATAAATGGAATGAAGCACTCAAGTTATGCTGGACAGTTAAGGTAAACTAATATATTATCAGTGTGTTGCAATTTCATATGTGATTTACCAAATGACATTGAGCAATGAACAATAGTGAGATCTTGATGCTTATTGGTCGTCAAGATCCTTCTTAGTTAGTAGCCAATCAGAAGACGTAAATAGGAAGTAGATTAGATGTCTATTGTACTCAATTCGGTTTTGGCTCAAAATACATACAATACTATACTTGAAATGCCTGATCATACAACACACCAAACAAGAAATTATGATTTAAACACAATCCTACCATAAGTGGTAAGGAGTGAAGCAAACAGTATAATTAATTAGTAATAATTAGGGAATGGTAACATATATAACAACAGTCGATAGATTCACTGAAAGCTTTCAATAAGGGGAATACACAAATGCAACAGAACGGTTGTTTACTAGTTATACAATAAAATTATAAATAATAATAACCAGAGAAATTGTTCTGAAAGTTGCAATTTTTTCAATATTTGTCGCCTTATAAAAAAAACTATATCACATTAATATTTGCAGTGACTTTTAATTCACTTTTACTGCTGGTGGGTTATTTACGAACAGAAGGTCCACTTCATGATCGTTTTAAAGTGAAAAAAATTACCTATTTATAAGTCAATGGTCTTACATTGAAATAGTCAGTTCTTTTGAAAAATTCAAACAATGTAGTAGAAAGGTAAAGTTTCTCAGAAATATATCATATGTTAACGCAATACATTATAAGTAATCTGTTACCGATCGACATGTGAGTGTGAACACATACAAATAACGATGAGTAGTCTGTATTTGCAAACTGGGTGGGTAAACAGGTATCAAAATGTCTGAAAAAACAAAGAAAATTCAATGATATAATAACAGTAGATGACAAGCACCCGTCTTCTATCATTACCAAACACATACTTGAAATAGGTCACGTAACGTGTCCGAATTCAGCCTTTGCAGTTTTAATTCATGTGCTGGTTTTTTAAATTTTCACATTTTTGTTTAAGACTGAAGTTGATCAGTCTCTTTCTAGCATATTTACATTCTGAGTAAAATGCCTTGATAGTGCCATTAAGTCACAAGCACTTTCTAAGCAGAGATGAATGGTGGCTAGCAGTTGAATTCAGGACGCATATCCCATCCTATTTAGTACTTACCAGCGGGACGCATCAAAATCCCAGAATTGATGTTCACTTCGGGACAATAAAGTTTAATTTTTTCATAGCGTCATTTAAGTCGTAAATTAATATAATAAGCAGTTTGAAAGTGTTTTTAAGTTTGTTGATCGTCAATAGTATTGTCATAGATCAAAGTAAATACCTGTAAATGAAATGAATTTATTATTGAACTCTAACAAATATACTTTTACATAAAGCCTTAAAGAGATGCAATTAAACTCAGAATATTATTGTTATTTATTATTTAAAAACACAATAGGAGCGGATTCTTTGGGCATGTTTAGCTGGCTTAGCAACAAATGCTAAAATATTGGATGTAGCAGAAATAGCATTTGCTGAAATTGAAGAAGTAAGTTTTTCTAAAACGAGAAAAGTACAATGTCATAATTATTCTATAAATATATGTTATTTAACTTGCTGTTTTTAACCAAATCAATTTGAATAGCCTTTCTAAAATGCGGTTGTTAAGGATGCGATGTGATAGGCCTAGGAATTAGACGTCTTAACATTGACTTCTTAACGGCTTGCTGGTCCTCAGAGATATTTTACTCTTGAACGATGCACCGGAGAGCAGGAGACGGAAAATACGAAAGACGCTTTGGAAGGTTAGTGACCTTAAGATTTCAGAAGTTTCTGCAAACATGTTGAAGTCGCTAATGAGATCAGAATATAATCTATCGTTTTCTCGAATTCCTCTGGCAGTTTCTAGAGATCGCTGATTGGACTAGATATTCTCAGCATTATCTGCGCCATGTAAGACATTTCTAGAAATTACATAGGACACCTCGTAGAACTAAGAACTTCATTTGTTTCAAACTTCAATGTTCCTTCATTTCCACACTAATCATTCACTGTTCTCGTTCTGTTTTCTTCGATCTTCTTAACTTTCTGCTGCCAGGTATTTCACTTTCGACTGGTGATACATACTACTTATACCTATTGATATTAGTAGCACACATCGCATTAGTAATAATCACGTTGAATTGAAAACGGAATTAATGTTAAAGAAAAATCACAATGAGAAAAGAAAATGAAAATTTTTTCTTTTTCATCTCGTCGTTTCACCTAGCATACTTCATTTGAAGCAAAATCTATCCAGATTATGCCATGTGAACATATCACACTATATCATATCACATCACTCCAATCCTTACATGAAACCAAGTTACCATTCAAATATGATTAGACAAGGATGTCGTACAAAATTATTCTTGGCCTTATTATACCTTTGATAATTTTGGTTATTTTCTGGGAAAAGTTTGAATCAGAGTTTTTTTTCTTAGGTATCTGTGAATTTTACAAATAGAACTTTATTTTTAGTATCTTTCATACACTTAGCACCCGATTATTGTGAAATCATACTTTACCTCCGGTTTCAAGCCAGGGTGACAGAGGAGAGGTGGGCATGAGATCAGCAACCCATTCCGTAGAAAACAACCTTGCTAAACAACACTAACCAGAGAAACTCTTTAATATACAATGAAATGAAATATCAAGTACTATGGACTATTGTAAGAATTCACAATAGATGCAAGTTTCTATGAATCACTATTGGTAAAGGTTTAAATTATTCCACTGTTGATATTCAAGATTGAAATTCGATCAGCTTCTGTTGACATAGTCACGAGGATTTACAAAATATATGGATACAATAATCTTCCTCACTGAACGAGTTGGTGGTTTTCTCAGCTCAGTAACTCAATGGATAAGATGTTTAACATTTCAGTCCACAAGTACTCGATTTGAGTAGTGATGTGAAATTAAACAGTGAAGCTCAGATATATATGTGGCTGATGAGTCTCAAACAGAAAGAAACATTACTCATGGATTTCATTGTAAACAATAATCCACGTGACTTTTTTATTTGAAACCATAATTTGTTTATCGACAGTGCTGTTCATGCATAATTTATCTATTGACCATTAGTAAATCTTTTTCTAATTATTAAAATATTATTATTTAGGTCGATAAAGTGGAATATATTCGATATATCAAAAGTTTACCTACAACAGAAATGAAAAATGCTGAAATATTACTTTTATCAGGTTAGTGATGATGTATGATTGTATATTTAACATACTATCACAATGCTATAAATTGTTTCCGCTAATGATTAATTTTAACAAACGAGGTGATTACAGAATTAAGATTAGGATATTATCATTAAGTAACACTGATATACTCAAACAATAGATTAAGTTGACAAGATAGTCGTAATCTATAAGCTTGAATACCATTGAGTAACATGAATTACGTTGAGATGTATTCTCTTTATCGAATTTTACGTGGCGACCTTGATCATTGGTATTATCTAAAGTGCTTATTATGAATCAGTTTCTAACATGGATGACAAAGCTGTTAAGCCTTCATGATGTTTACTAACACAGCAGAATATTATTTCATTTAAATCATGACTGAAACAAAAAATGCTTGTACTGATTACAATGACTGAGATATCATGGTACAATCCTATAAAAACAGTCGCAGAGCAAAAGAAAGTTTTTTGATCAATACATTTACAATTTATACTGTAGTTGTAATTTATCATTTTAAAATTTTTCCTACGGTTATAACCAAAAAATAAGGATTCCGTTGAGCATACACTTGACACTAGGCTCAACAGATCACGATACTTGATCACATGATTCACTCAACTGGACTATGTGACCATTGATCACGAGCCTGAGTAAAGTGGAACAAAAGCTTACCAACACTATAAGTTAGTCGACAAATGTAATCCATCTTGCATGCGAAATCATTGCTTACATTTTGGTGTAATCGGACATGTATGTGTTCGCTCGTTAAACAATCATGGCTTACTCTCATTTACCACATAACTTGTGGTATTTCTTTTGAATTCATTTTTATCAATTTTTTTAATAGGTGAATATCAAGAGGCTGAAGCAATTCTGCTACAGAATCATTTATATTTTCGTGCTATTATGCTCAATTTACATGCATTTAAATGGAATAGGTGAGTTATTAAAATTGGTTTTCTTTTTCTTTATTTCATTTTACATTAAATTCCCTGATTTCTATTAGTTTTAGGAACGAATAGAGGATAAGTTTATGTGAAATTCACTAACAAGATTTTACTTACTAATTAACACTTATTAGTAATATTAAACCGAAATAGAGAAATTTAACTCTGATGTTTTGTGATCATATTTAAATTTTTTTATTTGTTATTTTAACACATAGATATCGGTACAAGAAGGCACCAAATACATATGCGCCACACAGATCTCATTTGATATGTGTGAGGGCTGTGATACTGCCCGAGTGCCCAAACCGAAGCAGGTGGTTTTCTTAGGAGGCCACGCCCAGATCCTTCGACCTAAAGGTCTGATCCACAAGGTAGTAGAGCATCGTAAGGAGATGCAGTCACATGGTAGCCGGTGACCAAAGATTGGTTCATACGCCATTTGTTCCTTCAGGATACTGGAGCAGCCCATGTGCACCATTCGTTTGGTATCCGGTTAAAGCGCCGGACATGCACTTTTCGTCCTCTCATTTTCGTAAACAACACCCGTGGTGCGAGAAGGCAGTGAGTAGGAGTCCCTGGCAGAGGCTATATATGCGGGCCCATATGAGAGCATTTCGAGAGGGAGAGCAGACTCCCCACTCTCGGCCATACCTGGGCATTTGGGTACGATCATATTTAAAAGTGTGTTGAGAATTATGATAAATGCCAATGTTAGTCGATATTTGTAAGTTACTTCTTTTTGACCACAAATGCCTTAGAAATATTGCTCGCATCTGCTGGGATCACCGGGTAAGTAATAATCAGGTTAGACACAGAGTACTAGAGAATGATGGTAAATCAGTTGATGAGATTGTGAATCTTCATCAACTGAGATGGTTGGGCCACGTATTACGCATGCCAAACCATCGATTACCACAATGTGCAATGCTGACTAGTGTTGGAGACAGTTGGAAAAAAGTTAGAGGCGACCAAACCACTAACTTCTAGTCTGTGCCATGATGTTAGATGTAGACTAGTTGGTTGGGGTCCGCATGACTATCGTAACGAACAGTTGGAGACTGTGTGACATGGCTCAGAATCGATCACAATGGCATCGGTGAATAAAATCTTCCCTTAAACCGTAAGATTACTTCATACCTTTCTTTCTTCCCGTACTATTCTCTTGTATGCAATCTTTCTTTTATATATTACCACCACTGAAATAACTACTTCTATTAATCCGGTGTTCATCTTGTTGTGCTAATGAGGTATGGCAACATGGACCGATGCACCTGTGTCTGATCCTACGTTGTAGCTGACTGACTGACTATTCGATAAATGAAATGCTTTATAAAGCTTTGTGGCCGAAGGTTAACTCCATATGGGGTCACATTATCGACGCAAAATCATTGAATGCAATTGATATCAAAGACAAAACCAGAAGAATAGGTCTGATCTTATTAAAATGACATGGTACTGTACAAACTAATAGGTAAAAAAGCAACAATTATTCGACGGCATATGCAATTTAATGTAACGTAGGAATCAAATATGGTTTTTCATTGTTACGAATATACGATAATACTATGACTCTAGACTGGGCACTCAAAACGAGATAATTAGAACACTATACTAGATCATGCAGTATTTACAGGTACAATATCGGTCAGAAAGTAGAGAATACAGTAGTAAACTAACGATGGGTTATTTAACACAGGTGATGAAATCCCACAGTGAGTTTAGGGAACAAATCCACAAGTGCACGGTACTGAGTTCGAGTCCCGGAGTGAACATTAATTCTGAGATGCAGATACATCCCAAATAAGACGAAATGTGCGTCCTGGAATCCACTAGTAGCCTTTATCCATCTTTACATATAAATTGATAATCGTTATTATTCGTTTGATAGTAGTCTTATTAAATCTGTATGTATTATTTATCCATGCTAACTCATGTACTTATTTCAATGTTTACTTCTTTTGATTTTATCCACTCATTTATTCATCCGCTTACAGAGCACTTGAATTGGCAAATAAATATAATTTAGCAGTTGATATTGTATTATCAATGAGACATGATTATTTAAAACAATTAAATCGTGTTGAAGAATTACATTCATTTAATTCACAACCAAAACAAGCAAGTTAAATATTACAATTAAACATTAATTTATAAATAATAATTGTTGCATTTAGTTTGGATATAGTAATGAATTCTTGAGGAGTTTCTTTTCAAAGGTTCTTTTTCAACAATGGTTAACAGTCAAATTTTTCGATACAATTCTACATTGGTGAATTTTTCATCTCATACTATAATAAGTATGGTAGACTAGGTATTGTTGTGGTATTTTTCTTCTTCTGCAATATATACACTAAGCTTAATAATAAAATACCACTGATTACACCTTAATAATCAACTGGTGTGCAGACATATCAATTTTAACGGGTCAATCACTAATTGCATAAGCACTCAGTGATAACAGCTAGAACAAAAGCACAGATTCAAGTCACGTGAGTTAAGCTAATGATCACAAGATTGTAGATATGTCTTGTTGAAAAGTGTTAACTAGATTAAGCAAAGCTATCTGTTAAGTTGATTTCAATCATCTAATATGAGACAATGTACTGTAGTGTTATACCGTTGAATTTAACGTTCATATTTCCACTTCACTGATGGAATTCAATCAACACTAATATTTGCTATGGACGAATAATTGCGAAAGGTAAAAAGTTTAAAACTTTTCTACGGAAAATTATATATATATATATATATTTGTTACTTAGTTGTTAAATATTTATGACATTTTTATATTACCGTTATTGTAGGTTTTAACTTAAACCATAAACCGTTACTGAGCTACCGTTAATTAATTATGCACCAAGTACACAGTTTTGTATCACGTATATGCATACATTAGGATTTCTTCTTGGTAGATTGTTATAGTCATCCATTTTGATATATACAATCCTGTGAATCGTGGAATAAAACAATCAGAGAAGCCGAGTCTATTCGCTATCCTAGTGTTCTGACTGGCTACGCAGACCAACAGGTGTTGATATTTCCTGTCGTTATTGGTCACTTGTGTTGCCGTTTGCGGTGGTGATTGGTTTTATTAGGATAGAGCGAACTCATCATTAGTGGATACTATAATCCAGTGGGCAAGTGAAAGTTCAAAGGTTATAACAAATAAAGACTAAATAATATGACGTGCATTGGTCAGTTGGAGTGAACTTCTCAATCTAAAATTTAGAAAAAACATACGCTCTCGGTCACATGAAATGGGTGAACTAATTATTACTTTTAGTATATTTCATTACTGAAATCTCAACAGTATACAAATTAAGCTACTGGATAGGTAAGATCAATCAGATAGATTAGTTCAGGGCGGAACAATAAGTGGTGTTGATATGTGGACATCACTGGTCAAGATTCGGCTCAACTATCGAAGGAAACGGACGTACACCAATAGTTGAAAATCTGGCTAAATTTTCCGGGGAACATATGTCTGTATTAATGAGTTTGTGCATATATATTTGGTTCGGGTTAACCAATAAAAGTTTTCTACTCACTCTTGGCTTTTCACTCAATCGGGAGTTTGAGTTCGCGTATAGGGAAGGCACATATCAGTATCAGAAAACGGATGACGACCTCAAAACAACAGAACTAATATTTGGCTACTACATAACTCTAGTTTAATTAATTATATTTCAAATAGTAATGAAGAAATATTTCTTTTTTAAGAGTACATTGGATGCACCGGAATTGAAAGAAAGAATTGAAGAGGAATATTTAAATGAGAAGAAACAACTCCAAGAATTATCAACCACTTGAAAAATATATCAAACAATGTGTGAGCATGTATATGAACCGCTTATTTTTCAAATGTTTACCCTTATGATTCATTAATAATAGTAACAATCAAAATTCGATAGTTGTTGCTCAATTATGCTGTGATTTCACATTTTTGAAGTTAATTCTCTGTATTGACTAATGTAGTTGGTGTTTGAAATTTGTTATGATCCGGCTTTGATTGTTGGATTATTGACCATCACAGAAATAGATTACTATTGCAGCTACCTAGTTAGATATCTACAGCTGCCATTCTATCCACTCTAGAAACTTTGATTGATATTAAAGAGAGAATCAGTGATTCATTACTGTGCCGGAGAATCACTATGACAAACACATTCACCTGAACGATGATTGCTTTAGATTTACCAATGGAAAGAAGGCATGTCTAGTCGAGTAGCGGTTCCAGCTATTCTTCACAAACTGTCTTTTAACAATCTCACTCTGGAAATCATGAGAAGTTTCCGACTTTGATTGAAGTCGTGAGGCAACATCAATGTCCAATAGTGGCTGGAGATAAACTGTTAAAAGTTAGCAAGAAAGTTACTGAACAAAGCTTTAAGGCATTTTTCATCATTCTAATCGCTTTATCTCAGTGTGAATCGGTGACGAATTCTTTCCTGACATTTTAGCAAAGTTTAAACAACTACTTTATGGTCTTCTATTCCTACTTTTACACTACCCACAATGGTCCCATTGAATCATTGTTAATCTACATGTAAACTACTTCCTCTATTCATAACAGGGACCGACTAGAAATTCATTGAAAACCATAACGCATTTGCAAGCCGTTTTGTCCCAGTAAAGCATTCCTTAGAAGTGAACATTTACAGCCAGATCACTAGGGGTCGGATCCAGAACTTTCGGTTTTGTGTTTGAGCACGATCTCTCGACCACTGAGACGGAATACACTAATGAATATGTCGAACTTCAATCAATTCACGATATTAAACGACCGTCTCACACTATCTAAGGTGGGTAACAGTCTTACAACCGATACATTTGTATGGCTCATCATGTATTTTTAAAATAAGATTTTCGCCTAACAACTAACTGATTCTCTTTAAATCACGTTAAAAAACGAGCTTGAGTTAGATGAAAAAATTTATTCTATACAGTCAACATAATAAAAACATAGTGAGACATCGCTAAACATAGAAAATATTAATTAGTATCTGCCATTTCCACAGAATTATTAGCGTTCGCTTCATCTGTGTTGATGGTAGGAGTACCGATAGGAACGCCAGAGGCATCATCATTATCAATCAACATAAGACTAGCAGTATGATCTAATCCTTGACTGATACCCATAACATCACCATTATGATTATTTTCAGTAGTAGCCGACTCCGGCCGTTGCTGTTGTTCTTGAGGTAATTTATTCAAATCTGTGCTTGAAATGGATAAACTAGACGATGAATCATTGCTGATAGTAATATCTTTTGAGTTAACAGTAGTAATAGTACCAGTAGTCACTACTGTTATCGTTTTTTTCTGTACGTTTTGTTGTTTTTGTAATTGAGTCATTAAATATTGCAATTTTTGATCGTATAATTCACGAACATAATTGCTCATCTGTGGCATGTCTTGAATGATCAAAGGTGGTTGATTAAGATTATGATCAGTTTGTAGACGATGTTGTTCTTTCAGTATCGTTGGACTACGGGGATCCTAAGTTATTTTGTTTTAAAAGAAAAAAGTTAATTGGTTTAAAATTGACTGTATTGCAAAGGAGATATACGAATGAATAGTAAATACGCATACTGAAAAGTTAGTATTAGATATTTTACCTGTGAAAGAATGAGTAATACTGAGGTTAGACGCATGATATTAGGTAAATACGGAGAATCGTTTGAAGTAGTGAGTCTTGATTGACTGAAGTGGTTGGGATATGTTATGCGTGTCTACTTTGGCTGATATAGTAGTGGATTGAAAGAAAACTAGGGGAAATCAAACAAGAACGTAACATCAGTTCACGAATTCATTGACTGTTGGATTGACCCGTGTTGGTAAGGGCACAAACCAAGCCGAAGTTCATACAACTATCGTAAACAATTGATGTGGATGTTGGGTGACACTATTTCGGGATTGGGAGCATTGACGCAGATGCATTTACTCTTTATATTCCTATTAAATAATCAGTTCCAAAATTATTTTACTTTTTTATTCCACAAATTCATTTATTTTTTTCTCGAGTTATGTTATCTATGCCTTGTCCTTTCAGATGCTGTTAAAAACTCAACTCAATTCGTCTCTCTGTGCTAATATATAGTATGACAACTTGAATTGATGCGCATAAATACAATATTCTACGTTGTGTAAGAGTGACTGACCGACTACTTGTACGTAAACTATATAACTATCAGGATATTTGAGCAAGGTGTGATAATTCACGTGATTTATTGTAATTGTTGGACATACAAATTAATTTAATCACATCTGGTTAACCATTTTTGTCCCCATTTGGCTCTAGTATTATCGAACGATAACGATGTTAATAGGATATATATAGGACACTTATCTTCGTATTTATCCTACCGACTAAACACTTTTAGAACAAAATTGAGTATTAAAAATAGAAATACGGGTGTTTCCGACGGGTATACATTCGTTTATGCAAAGGGACAGTAAAAGATAGGTCGATAAAGTAGTGATCATTAAACAAATAGCGACTAATATGATCAGTATTGTATATCATTTTCATGTATATGTGATGAGAACTACGTTGTTTAACTATGAGTAGTAATGAAACATCACCGAAATAAACATGATATAATGGCAGAATATAAATGTTTACCGTTCCTTATATTACACTACTACTACATGATTTTACGACTGGCAACCGAAATTACACTACAACTGAACCGGATACTCGGTCGATAAGACATAAACAGACTGGATCACGTTATACCACATATCCGATTCAAGACCGACACTTTATTCAACGCAATTCTAAGCAATCACATGAATTAGGAGTTGGTTAGAACCAATTGTTAGAATTCTATGAACTTAAGTTTCGTGCTAGATAGTACTCGTCAGCATGACTAGAACCAACCATATTCAACGCGATACCGACTCATTTAAACTAATGGTCACACTGCAACTTGATCGGTAGCGGTTTGTATTCTCGCATTATTGATGCTAATCTTTGCAACTGATCCATCATTGTTGGCATATTTGCATCCTAAGTGCTTTGGGGTGATATTTAAATCTAAGAAATCCACTAACAAACAAGGTATATCCTAACATTCAAGTGCGTCGTAAAAACGGAGTAGATTACTGTACAACTGCTTCACTAGTGTGCTAAATCAATCGATTGTGAACTTAAATGAGTGAAACAGAAAACAAAGCTGAATTAATCCATGTTATAAATTGAAAATGGAGAACTTTAAGTCGATTGAGTCTTAAATAGTACAAATTACTAACATTAGTTATGCTGAGAACACTTCATATATAAAACGTAAGAACAAATTAAGTCTTGATTACGATGATAACAAAGAGTTAGATGCTACTCAGTTAACATATAAATTCAATAGCATACAGAATGAGATCATCCATGTATCTCATACACAGCATTACCTTATTGATTAAACCACTCATCATATTTTCGACATAAGACATATATACATCAACTAAGAGAGAAATGGAGTTTTCCAATGCGTAATAAAAGTGATTTTTTCAATAATTCTACTGAACTAATTGTGATTGAAAAGGCAAAACTCATGACTCCAAATAGGCCTAGTCGTTATTTTGTTTAGTAAGTAATTTCGATTATTTAATATTCAATCAGTGTGAAGTTTATCATTTCCAATTAATAAAATGGATTAATTCAGCTTTAATATTTTGTCAATTGCAATATAAAAATGATAATTTTGGATTAATAAGTGTAGCCTGCCTCGGTTTCGGTACCCGGGCAGTATCACAGCCCTCACACATATCAAATGAGATTTGTATGACGCATATGTATTTGGTGCCTCCTTGTACCAATATCTATGTGTTAAAATAAATAAATAAATTAATTAATTAATAAGTGTAGAGACTGATGACGAAGTTATCGAAAACGATCTAGTACTCTATTGTCAAATAGATAATAGCTTTACGTCTTAGTTTTACATCGTTAATGAAAGCTTATGAATTAATTGAAAAAATTTTTTTTTTATAAAAGAAGTTATACGATATGACAGAAGTAATCATCGCTATATATGCATATATTCCCCCCAAAGAAACTTACAATCCATACTTCCCATGGTGTTAGGTGTAGCTCAGTCGGTTTCATTTGTTTACTTTCATCAGACGTACGGTTTAATAGTAAATCAAAAGCAGGTTTTAATTCTGGACAATTGGCAAATTGTTCAATTCTAGCAAATATATACAATCCAAGCCTGGCACGTGATAAAGCAACAATTAAACGGCGAACATCACGTAAATGACCAACAGTACGTGTACGTACTAATGAAACTAGTACATAATCGTTTTGTTGACCCTAAATAATAATAATAATAATAATAATAATAATAATAATAAACCATTGTTAGTTATTAGTCCAGACAGGGTAAAGAAAATAAATTAATTCTAAGTAAAGGGTAAAATTCTAATTAATTACTTACTTAACTAGGTGAACCACCATCGACTGAAATAGTCAAGATATGTAATTAAATATGCCAATCCACCGACTACCCTAACGCGCGATGATGGCAAGTGTAGGAGTAGGTAGATAGAAAGCTAAAGGGTGGTCAAACCAAGATGTGGTACCAATCCATGAATACCCTGATTGTTGGACTGAGCCATATAGATAGATACAGACTACCTGGTTGAGGTTCGCGTGATCACTGTAAATAATGATTAGACTGGGTGAGGTGGCTTAAAGTTGTTTACAATGGTGCAAAAAGATTTACAGTCTTTTATGAGATCTTGAGTTCTCAAATAACTGTTTATTCCATAAATCTAAATTTTCTTGTCGAATAGTGTCTTTGATGCCTGATTTTTTCTATTACCACTAATACTGTTACTTTCTCTATTAATCTGGGATTCAGTCCGACAATTTCATCTCATTATGCTAATGGGGTGTGGCAGCGTGAATCAGTGTATACATACGCCAGATTCTACATTGCATACAACTGACTAATTAAATTATATTACACTCTCGAAGAACCAATATAGTACATAAAAAAGTTGGTTGCCATTTCTTTCAAAGACAATAAATATTAAACCTAAAATTATATGCGGTAAGTAACCAGTATTGAATTATATATATAGGATTAGATTTAATAACTTTTGATGTCAGTTCACGAATCGGTGGAAATCAAGAAACAATGAAAAGCCATTGTTCTTAGTCTAGGACTTGGCAATAGTTCCTATATATGAATCCACCGGGGATCGAACACAGAACATTTAGGTTTCACGGCACGCAGGCAACTTCAGATAACCATTAAGTCGAGACGTAAAGGTTCATATATGCAATTGAATTTAATTTGCGATACCGAACGATTGGTATAAACCTATTGTCTTAATAAACAGATGGTATGGGAATCGACTTGATGTTGAAGAATGCATGGAGGAAACATGTTTGTTGTGGAAAACGACATTAGTTAGTGGATGATGGAAAATATTCAGAATTATAACGTTTGGCACAAATTTAGACATTTTAAGAAACATTATGTATGGATTGGGCAAACTAAGATAACTCATTCAGTTATTCACAATGCAGAAATGCGAACGTTGTTTAGTTGTTCAAGCATTCAACTTTCAACTTACGTAGATGGTAAGTGCAAAACTATTTCCCGCCTATTCCAGCTTGAACAAGCAGTTAGTATTTTTAGAGCTCAAAGAGTAGCATGCAGACCTGTAATTTGATCATCAAATTAGACCGACTATTTAATGAACAGTAGGAAAATATAAACATCTCACTTCAGGTTGTACTGATGGAAAGTTTTCACTCAGGATACTGTATGTATATAGTATAGTAGAAGATATTGACTAATCTATTCCAGACTTCCCATTCACGAAGTCGTCTATTACTAATGATGAATCGCGAATGGGTGACCATTTTAATTTTGATCAAAATCTAACTGATCCATTATGCGAATAAAAGATAAGGATAACAGTGAGCGAGTTGATAAATCCAGTGGAATGTGATTTATTGTAATCTTGTATTCACTGACTGTTATAAACATGTGAAACTGAATTATTTACCAAATGTACAGGTTTATTTACTCGGTTTTAAACTACTTTTTGCGTGAAAACTAGTAATTCTGTATCCTCCTACACATAGTATATGTTGTAGGATTAGAACACGAGGCCTAATAGTTGAAACCCAAGTGTTTTGACCAATAAACAAATAATGTATTAAACCAATATAGGAAAATTCAGCAACTTGATATTAACAATTAGATCTAAAAACGTAGAGGTTAGAAGTTAGGGACTGTTCAATATGAAGAAAGTTCAAGATATGTGGGAAAACACTTATTCAATGTTAAACAATACTTAGTTCAAACAGTGTCGATTTATAAAGATTTATTATTCAAATGGTAAAAAAGACTACAAACAAAATAGATGTATCCTGGTAGGGAAAAAATGTGACAGCTATTTATTAGTACAAATAACATCTATCTTGGTTGCTTTAAACAGACATGTTGATGTACTAAACTATGAATTAATTAGTCATAGATCTTCACGTAAGTACGTAATAATCAATCAACATGTAGAGCGTTCGAATGATCCTTTATTTGTTTAGATAATCACATACGAAAATATTTTAGAAAATACCAAATGAAAACTAAAATATTTATGGAAAAATCATCAGGATGATTAGTATGGTTTCCTTTCAATGTGTTTCCATATAGCTTTAAAATGGTAACTCATTTTGATGTAAGTAATTACTGAGAATATAACAGAATTAAAGATGTTTTATAGTGTTCTCTGGATTTAATGATACTGCAACTGATGTCAGTCTGCAATGGACGGGAACTATCTATAGAATTAAACTAGTAGTCACAAAACCTCTCAACCAGAAGTAAGTTATATTAAAGATTGAAAAAATCAACACTTGAAAAACGATACACAAATATACGTGTAACAAACTACTTTTGGTAAAACAATTTCAAGTTGACTTACTTGAAAACGATCTACAGTGGTTACTTTACTTGGATTTCCTAATAAAGGATTTTGTGCACAACGAGCAGCTATGACATCACGAATCAAATGTTTTTGACCATTGTAAGTAGTGAGTATTGTGATTTTTTCAGCTGGATAGCCTAATATACGCATATACATGTAAACTGCAACAACGTATTCAGCTTCTGCTAAATTTTGATAGAAGAATGGACTGGGTTCAGATTCACCGATACCTGTATAAGGATCATTGAAAAACAAAAAAAAACATGATGAGACTTTAAATGTGTCAACATTGTCATTAGAGGGAATGTCAGACTTACCTACAGGTTGATAGTTTATACTTTGAATGTTTTTACAAGATTATATTATGAGTTATTTACGTCATATCTTGTTAATCACAAATCGTATTTCATTACGTTCTTTTAAAAAAGTATACGCATTGATTATTAGTATTAGGGTTGTGGAGATTGTTGAACTTTATCGAAATGATTATTCAACTTAGATCAGTTAGTGGGCTCAATAAATTGATTAGTTTCAATAGTCTTTGTAAATCAGTAACTCAAGGAACAATCAAGTACATGTATGGTATAAGACCTGTAGCAGTAACTTTTGTTACTTAAAGCTCTCTGTTTTCCTATTCTTCCTTCTAGTTGTAGATGACTATAGGTATTATATAACAAGACAGGAATCAACCTTCGTCACGCTACTTATTTCTAGATAGTATGCTCCAATCCTCCAACCAATAAAGTACTGGTTCCTATAACTACTGAGTCCTATAGAACATCTACCATTCTAAAACGTTGACGACTTTGTAGCTATGTTACTTTCTTAGTGCACATGTGTTATGCTTACACTGTTTACTAAAACAATTCCTTTGTCCTTATAAGATCGATAACTATCACGGTGTATACTCTGATCGCAATGCTGTACTCTGAACTGTTATCAATACTGATCATTAATTTTAGAATATATTTCACACTAATAACATCTTTGTGACAAATTTTGCATGAAAACAATTTATGAATCTTGTCTTTTCATTGAATGTGGATATATTTTCATAAAATATTTCATTTCTTTTTTAATCAATATAATCAGGCATGAAAATTACATGTAGAGAATATATATTATTATAATAATAGTTTGAAGATTCAGGTCAAGACAGGAATGAATGATTAAAGTAGGAATTTTACACTGATCGTCTTTTAAATCATGATAATAGACAGAGTTCAGATGATGATTGACTGAAAATTTTACTGCTTAAAAACTATAACTGTTGAAATTGATTGAACTGTAAGTTTATAATATGTATCTTTTTCAATCCAACCAAATAATTTGATGGTATATGAATGATAAATGATTAAAAGACTGTGCTCCACTTGGATGAAATAAAATCTAGTTTATAGATAGTCTATGTAAAATCGAGAATACCTGACGTTCAACGTATAATGAAAAAAGGTTGTTAAAGTAGAATCGATGGATTGTAGCTAATAGCAAAATTCAGAACACGCGTTCCTATCAATCTGGGACTCGTCAGCTGGAAAAACTTGGATTCTAGTGATGATAATCACACAAACTTGAAATAAGCATTTTTTCAAATGCAAAAGTAGTATCTACTGAATTATTATTCTGAAATAACCACAAGTTTGTTCAACGGGTACGATATTTACAGTAACCTTATTATTAAACGTACTGGGTTCGAATCTCAGTGTAAGAATCAACACTAGGGTGGATGTTCCACTTGTTCTATAAAGTTTGTGACAAAATCTCTAAATCAAGGCAATCTACGCTGGATGTATATGAGACAACAAAGACTGACTAAAATTCAGTCCCGAGATATTAACAATGACATAAACTGACCTTTATAATCTTCAACATTTATCAATTGTACATCATATCTAAAGCCTGGATTAGCCAGACAATATTGTACTTCATTCAATGTATGCGGTAAATCAGTTAATCGATCATATCGCCAACTATATAAACGTGAAAGTGATGGTCTAGCACGACCTTGTGCATCTAATTGAACAGTTGGTACACCAAGTTTCACTAAACGTGCAAATAATGATTGACCCATATTCGAATAATTATTAAATGCTTGATTTTTAACAACTGGTGGTAATTGATGATGGTCACCAATCATAATCCAACGTTTTAATCGATTTCTACCGGATATATCAGGATTTTGTAAAAGTAATGGAATAAATGTTTCAATTTCTAATATTTGTGCAGCTTCTTCCATTAGAATTGTATCATATGTAAATCCTAGTTGAACTAAATCTCTTCGACGTAATGCAGCATGTGTACAGGTCATTGCAATAATTTTTGCTTCTTGGATTAAAAGATAATTAGCACGTTCTGTTCCGGTACGCATTAATTCAAAAGCACGAAATTCATCTAGTTGAGTAAATATAGAATGAAGATAACGAAAATAGGCATGTGCTAAAGCAACATCTTCCAATAGATTTTGACCCTACCAGAAAAAAAAGAATATAAAATCAATCAAAATAGTTATTCAAACACAGTTATTTTGTTTAAAGCACGAGATGTATAAAGAAAAATTAATAAATATCTCTTCATCAACATTAGTAAAGAAAAACTAAAGACAGCAATTTAGATGCATTGTGCAGTTAATGAAACACTAATTTTTAACGATCTCAACTTTAAAGATGATAATCAGCAGAGACAATCGACAGAAGGCTTAAATATTCACAAGTATCCTCTTTCAGTGTTTATAAATTTATATGTAGGTACCTAGCAAAGAAACTGGTCAAATAGAACGGAGGGTTTACCCCAAATTTTTTGAACATGTTCCAAAAAGCCTTCAATCAAGAGAGAGAAATACTATGAATTTGCTCAAGTTATTGCTATCAGGCGTTAGAAACCCGATGTGAGTGTCCGAAATAAAACTGTTGCTAATCTTTTTCTGATATTGTAGAATGAACATTATTTCATTGACTTATTTAATTCTTTTCATGAATTTATTATTATACCATCATGTTAGACTCTTTTCTAGTTTAACGGTTCTAACTGTTCAACCAAATGAGCTTTGCACATTTTATTCTTACCTATCGTTAGAGCATGCTCAATGAGTATTTTTATTTTTTTTTAATTTTAACACATAGATATTGGTACAAGGAGGTACCAAATACATATGCACCACACAAATCTCATTTGATATGTGTGAGGGCTGTGATACTGCCCGGGTGCCCAAACCGAAGCAGGTATGCTCAATGCGTACCCACTTGTTTCTAATTCTTCGGTTTACTTTGGTTACCAATGTTGTAGGATGTTCATTTACATTTGATACACATATTGATATCATGAACCGATCAATGTTAGATCACCATTGAAAACCTGGAAGCACTGAACGGCAGTTCCATTCTAGTACGGGACAGATCAGTAGTGCGCATCCACGATCCTGCACTCGGGACTCGAGCCCGATGATGGTCACGCAATATCCTGAATTGGTTGAAGTGAGACATTTCATCTTCGATGAAATTGCGATCATACGTGTTCTTAACCTAGTAAGTGCCAGAAAAATGTTTCGAAATATTTGGTGAAAACAAAATTTTTGGCTGAATGAAATGCTAAGGGCTTTTATATAATAAACTCCCTAATGTTATTAAAAAGGAAGTTTAGACCAATCAAGAACGAAATAAAATTGGTGACTGATGATTATTCACACACAACTAAATTATTGATGTAAACCTCCGAATGGTTTAAGATTAAGAATTAGATCATTGACTAGAAGAATAGGTTTCTCTTCTAACGAAATAACATGTTTATATGCAAAATATCAAACACAAGTATAAACATAATTGGAGGTCATTTAATAGATAAACTATTGGAGGGATATCGACAACTATATGTCGTTTTTACCATACAACAGAGAGCACATCTAACTATTATATTTAATTCTTACTCCGTCATATCAACCAAGTAAAAAACAGGTCCAGTTTATTTGTTTTTCAATAACAAGAAATTGTTAACTAACCGGAAACAATTGACTCATTACTTCATCGGATGGAGTTTTTTGACCAGTGAAAAATTCTGTAAACGGAAAACTATTTCGAATTAAATTCGGATCATAAATCACAACATCTTTTTCTGTCTTCTCTTCTGTTAATGATTGACTTTTTTGATTTGTATTGCTCATTAAATGATGTGATGTATCACTTGCAGCTATCTTACTAATAAAATCTTCCCAACGTGATAAAACTTCTTGAATATAAAAATATTGAGCAGTTTCACAAGTTTGTAAATGAAAACTATTCGTTGAATCAGATAAATCGGAATCAGGCAGGTGATCGGTAGATAATTGTGGAATAGCTGATGATGGATTTAATGTTTTCGCTAAACGTGTCACCTTGAGTTAAACAGTTTAGATAAATAATGGAAGAAGTTGGTGGAGTGAGATGAAGGAAAGGAGAAAACAATTGTAACTCAAATGAAAATCTTGCTGACAAAAACACGACGAGACTATAATATATAGACGAACTAATCAGATATAAGATAACACGTCTTGAATTTTGGTGCGAAATTCATTCGTCCATTTGGCTAAGTAGCGTCTCAGCATTTTAGCTGATGTCAGTATGTGATGAGAACTCTAAATCTAGTTCCTAACCCTAACTATTAACTGTAAATCATAATTTAAATTCCTCAGACTGCTTCATAACCATCATTTAGTCCTAGTTAGTGGATGGACATTCTCTTAGGGTCACCTTAGCATTGCTCAAAGGTCGTCCATAAATTATAGTCTCATCAAAAACGCTTTAAAAGATGAGAATATCAATAAAAAATAATGAAAACAAAGAACTTATCTACATTAGAGTACGTATCTAAACAGTTTATAGCTGGATTCTACTTCAGACTTCAACGATCAAGAATGAATAACAAACGATGTTATGGGAGTTTCTAAATACTTTGATTACGGTTTCATATGTCGATTAATTTATTTACTTTTTATCATTTAGGTAGTTAATTATGGTATTTTGATGAACCTAACAGACCAGTAAATTGACAACAGTCTGAATAAATAATTCAAATATGAAACAATGACTAAATTCTACTAATTATTAACAAAAGAATGAGTTATAATTTCAAACTATTTGCATGTAGAGTATTCACTTTTTCAGATTAATTCATATTCATGAAAAGATGTTTTCATGCATTAAATTCAATAAGCCAAAATTCACAGATGAGTTATCATTATAGGCAAAGCAATTACTGATTAAACTAAACACTGATGAAAAATCGTACACAGTTACATGGATGCTACTGACTAAGTGACATTGTTACCATTGATTATATTGTGGAATTCAATGCTAGTTTCAATATTTAATTATGTATGCTAGTATTTTAATTAAGAACATTGAGTGACTTTGTATGTGTAAACCTCTTAAATCAATATCTACATTGATGCTATGCACTGATAAACAAGTTTTCAAATCAATAATCTGACTTTTCTTCAATAATATCATTAAATCTTGAGTAATTTGTGATTTCCAAGTTCTTGATGATTAGTTACAAGTTCATATGTACGTCCTTGAGTCATAAAGTTCTATATCAGAGTTAGTGAGATACTATTCGACTGTTCTAAAAGAAGTAACCAAAGCAGTGAAATTCGAATCGTCAAACTATAAGTTGGTAAAATCATGATTTACTGATGGCCTTGAGCGGCCAATCGGAGGAAATATAGCCGATGTTTATTATTCGCGTCGATCTAAAAGGTCACTGCGAATAGCTTGTGACTGGATATGTTTTACAGGATTAACAATGGTGATATACTTTCGATTTTCACATAATATAGATTTATGCACAGATATTGTATGTACTTAAAATTCTGATAAACTCACTTCTTGTAAAAGATGTATACGTTTAGCTAAAATATAATCAACTCGACCATAACGTGAAAAGTCTTTATCAGTGTCTAAACCTTCTTCTCCATGACCCAAACGTAAAAGATGACGTTCATCAACATCTAAAGCGATAATTTTCTCGAATAATTGATTTAATGCTTGATTTGAATGAGTTACAATAAGAATGCTAGTTTTATTTTGGCCAATCAACAGAACACAAAAACAAGACAACAAAATCGGTATGAAAACAGGAAATAATCAAAATATACAGTTAAGATTATAAAAAGAAGTAAACCATAAAACATATACAAACAATTATCAAACATAAAAAGAATTTATAGATCTAGGTTTCGTTCTTTTTGCTGACATTTAAACTGCTTAGCACTGAAGTTATAGTTATTGGTGTTGAGATACATAGACCACAACAACTCTGAAATTTGAGTTACATACATGACTACAGAGCTGAATGAAACAAATTCGAGCTTTTGATTAACAACTAAGAAGTTAGGCCTATGGGTTTGCTAATGTAATTAATAGTAATTTGTTACGATTGAAGATTAAACGAAAGGATAGTGTTGTTACATTTCAGTGAGCGATTATTGATTAAGCATAGTCTGGGAGAATGGTGTATGTTGCTTTTGAGAAATTCTTAAATGGTAAAGATTACGTACAGCAGTACTTACCGTTGATTGGGGTAATTATGATACAAGTTATGAATAATTTGTACAGCTACATCTGTTTTCCCAGTACCAGGTGGACCGACTACTAAAGTTAAACCACACTGCATACCAGATCGAATAGCTTCTACTTGTGCTGGTGTGAATGGGACTTTGTTACCAAGTTTAGAATTCATGGATGAGAGGCCATTAGGCAGATGACCTCCAGCCTGAGCAAGTAAACTCCAAGGCGGTTGTAAAGGTGGATCGTAGGCTTCAGCAATCAAAGTTGGTTTTTCATGATTTTCAGACTGATTGTTAGAAGTATCTACATTAGCACTACTAGTTGAATGCTTCTGAATAATCATATCTGATGGGATCATTGCTTCGACTTTTGCAGTTGGATCATTTTCTAATTTTGGAAAAATAAGACGATAAGGTGGTCCAGGTAGATGATCTGTGGGATCTTTGAAAAAAAATTGGAAAAAAACATAATTGGTAGTTTTTTATCGAAAAAGTGGATATTGATATATTTGTACGTAACTACTGCTGTAGTGATAGTTCAGTAGCGGGGTCACAGGTTAGCACTTCACCTACATTTTTCTGGACTGATGGGTATGTATCAATAACTCATATTTTAACGGTACGACTTAAGGCCAAGTAAATACAATTGCATTTAATAAGTTAAAAAGGAAGGCTGAAAAAACGTAAAAATGTTTCTTGAACTATAAGTTGACCCCAGATGGAAATATATCCAAAGGTGTTCATGTGATCTATGATCTATTAGCACGACTACAGAAAACAATGACAAGAAAATAACGAACTAAACACAAAAATCCAGTTTGAAAGACAACAAAATTGTTTCGTGGTTAATAACTGCAGTGTGGGACAGAAATATTAAGACCAGATACATTATAATAAACAATTTCAAGAAATTAAATAAATCATGCTATATCAATGGAATTATTTAAAGATGCACACATAGCGATAGAGATTGATGATAAATTTCAATTATGAATATTAACAACGGGGAATTAGAAACCCTACCTAATAATGATTTTGGTTCGAACTAATTAAGAATTATAAGAATTGTGAATTGTACAGTGAAATTCATCTGAACATTTAAAAGAAGATAAATAATGCGAACTAGACTACTGTAACTACGATTTCTAATCACAGGCTTCAATGATTATCAATAAGACACCTTATTATCACTAGCTTACTTACTCAACAAGACACAACAATGAAGCAGATTTAAGGATTTTATATGAAACGATGTCCATAACAATTATTTCGAAGGACTTGTGTTTTCTAAGCTATTGTGTTTCTTACAACGCAAAATACTAATACCATCGATCCAAGTGGTTGATATGGTTCTTCACTGGACAGTAGATATTCAATAATTCAGATCGTAAAATTAAACATTAGACCATTGAGCTTAATATATGATGACACTCGATCGTAAGATATACTTGATTCAAATACTCGGTCAACAATCAAAAACCAGACTATACAAAAATAAGAGTTTACTACGTTGCTTCATTGCCTTGTGGATCAGACCTTTAGGTTGAGAGCTCCGGGTGTGACCCCCTAAGAAAACCACGTGCTTCGGTTTGGGCACCCGGACAGTATAAAAGGCCACACACAAATCAAGTAACTTGTGTGGCGCATTTGTTTTCGGTTCCCCATTGTACCAATATTTATGTGTTAAAATAAATAATAAGTAAGAATTATTATTATATAAACACATAAATATTGAGGTTTTTCATAAAGACAATGAAAACTTCACAATTAAGTAAATTAGCTCAAAGAACGTAACTCCATTAAAATCATCCTTTCGAACTGCATATCTTTAACTTATGATAATTGTGTTGGCCAGAAAAACAAGAAGAGCCTCACAATTAAACCAACCAGTTAAGAGAATGCAACATATTCAAGATTTTCCCTCCCTTTAAACTACAGGTAATCTGCAGTACCAAGACCTCATTATTTGAAATTAGGTGAAATTTCTCAGTTAATCAAATCTGAAAAAGTTTCTTCTTAAGAAGTAGTAGTATTGAAAAACAGTAGATATACAGTCAACATTTTTCCATCTTATCATCAGGAGTAAAACTGAAAAAATTATCAATAAAAATTACCAGTTATATCTGAAATTTCAGTCTGACAATTAGACTTCCATTTACGACTTTGACGTTTATTTGTAAACTGTACATTATACTGAGATAATGAGTGTTTTAAATGTTCTGGGGATAAAAATGTGTCCAGCCAATTTTGTCGCGGTTCATATACATCTGAACGATGTGTATAATGTGCAGCGGCAGGATCAAGATAACCCATCAATAAATCTAATAACCATTCAGGGACAACGGATCGAATATTCATAAGATCCCTTGAGTAGGCATAATTTATAGGGAAAACAAATGGATAAAAATATTATCAAAATATATACAAAAAGGAGCATATGAGAAGGAAGAATAATGATAACTTTTAATTAAGGCTAAAATGATACAGTATAATTGGCCTTAAACAAGATAATGTTTTTTGAATATAAATTTGTTTGTTTGCTCACCCTTATATCAGTTCTATTTCTGTATTGTTAACTAAACTGAGCTACTCGGACATCATTTAGCATTCCGACTATGAAATTGAGCAACATGAATTATAAACATCAATCATCAATAATTAAAGTAGGGTTAAGGAAAAATGTTAGTTCAAGTGGATATTCTATATTAGGACAAGATAAAATTAACGAGATGAATAGTAGAAGAATCGTAATACAATAGTAGCAATGATAATATAAGAATGATTGGACATTGAAAGTATAGTTCTATAAAAGCAGAGTGAAAAGGAATGTATAAAAGAATACTGCAGCTTAAGATAAAGTGAATGAATTGAAGACACTTATGATCAACGAATATATCCTAATTTCATGTTTTACAGTCATAGAGAGATACAAAGTAGGCAGCTGTACAATGAACTCGCACTTTGGTTTGCAGAAGAACGTCTCGCCTTCTCCGCAGATAACGCAAGTATGAAATTTTTAATTATCAGATGAGAAGTATCATTTCTCTACAAATTGCAAATACACTTTGTTGATGAATGCTAACAAACATGAAATATAAACCGATAACTTCCTACTATTTCCTTTCAATTATATGCAACATTATGGTAGAATTTCAGATAACTAAAGTGTTTGAACTGTCATTGTAAGATTTAGTTGATAATCATTAAATTAACAATCTATTTTCCTTCGAAAAATGACATGATTGAACGTGTCAGTTTATAACTTAAGCACACAATAAATATATCTCATAGTGAAATATATAAATGTACTATTTTTATCCTGTCTAGTCAAGTTAAATGTTGAACAGTCGCTTTATGGTTAAGATGTTTGACTTACAGATACTACATTAAGGTTTGAACCCCGTTTCAACTAATTCGGTTTGGGTAACTGGATAGTGTCATTAGCCATCATAATTAGAACGTGGCTCAAAACCAAGTGCATGAATCTGTATCTAGTGGGTTGAAAAAAGCCAAATGTATGCTTTAGGCTACATAAAAATGAATAAATACAAGGACAAAATATGGAGAGATATGGCAATTTAACTAAATCACCAAGCACGTATCTTTGTACCCAGTTATGAATTACACTTTAAGTTTGAGAGCTAGTAATAATTTACTGTTGTTCAAACTGAATTAGATGAATGAGTGTGATCTCAAACCACCCTACCTAATAGTGGGTGAAAGTTAAACGGTAGATTAAAGGCTGAATCACTTGACTTTTAACTGACTGAATCCCAGCTCTAAATCTTACTATGGCTACTTATATTCTGAGCAGCTAAGTACAGAAATGAAATGAAAACTGACCTTATAGTTTCTAAGACAGCTTTGAAATTATTTTCTTTAGGTTTTCGTCTAATTAAAACATTGAATGTATCATATAAATCTTCTGGGGAAACTTGTTCGGCTTCATCAACTTGTGTCTGTAATGCTTGAATTTCTTCAGTAGTACGTCCTTCACGTTTTGCTCGAATCACTTTTGATCGTAACACCTCAGCACGCATTTGTTCAGTCTTTAAATGGTCTAAATCTGTTTGATATTGTACGGGATCTAAGCGTACACGCCAAGTTGGTAAAGTATCAACTAAGTTAGGCTTTTCTCCTATACACACATACAGTCATAAAAAATGGTAGAAAAATGTGGATAAAGCAGCAAAATACTTGGTGTTACTTCTTGCAAATTAACAAGATATCATATGAGAATAAGAACTGATTCTAAGAACTATGACTAATCAAAACAATCGACAACTTTATTTAAACCCATTGTCAAAAACTTCACTACAATGGACTTTTAGATTTATTTACTATCAAAGTCGATGTTAACAAAAAATGATTTGAACACCTTAGTTGTTCGTAAACAAGCAGAAAAGAAGGATCTATAATAACGGGACGAAATACAAAACTTGGATTCGAAATTTAAGAGAAGGACCGGGTGGGAGGGTTGAGTTAGGCATAGCGATTTCAGAGACCTGTTGGCCAAGTTGGAACTTAATGTCTTTACTACTCTTTATGCTTTAATGTGTAATGTTGCATAGATAACGGGTTTAGACTCGAATCGATGGTGGGTAGCATCAACTACTAGTACTTTATTGTCAACAATGCGTAACGTAACCTTAGACAGACTTTTACAGATGTTATTCATAATCAGCTTCAAGACTACAATAACTTACGGAGTGTCAAAACAAAAAACCACGAGTTATTCAAGGTGGTACTGCATCAAAACAAAGGGCACGTAGGTTAACTTAAGAGTTGACTATTTAAGGCAGTGATAGACTTTTGGGAAGAATAAGGATAAATTGGCTTTCTCTCAAGCGAGGAGTCGAACAATGAGTTTTGCAATTTTTCGTGTTGCAGTCTTGTTTCCTTTTGAGATTTTCATTTCAAAATATGACAGCTTTCGATGGATAGTAGGAATCAGAAGAATCAATTTCATATCTGAGTATGATGCAACTGTATCACTACTGTAACATACCACCAATATTAGAGATTTTTCACTAAACTCGGTGTATCCCAGGAAATTAAACCTTTCATACAAACTCGCCACTCACTATAACTTAAGACAGAAACAAAAGCTGTTGGTTAATATTGAACACGAAACTAATATGAAACACCAAGTTGTACTTTAGTGTGAATAAACTGTGTTCAGTGTACCAACGTGTCAATATCAAGGTTTGACTTCATCATTTCAAATAAATTGTATATTGGGTAGATGGTACCACAAACAGAAAAAAGTGAAACATCTGTCATTCAAAAGTACACATGACGACGTTGTAATTATATAATCTTTTTAGCGGATCTATGTTCACCATAAATTTTAAAGGTTTATAACTATTACAATGTGTATTTCGAAAACAATATTGTATTCTGAAATGATGTCATCTCTGATTAAGTATTTTGTATGTATTCTGTTATAGATTATTAAAAGTTGTCACATATGCTCAGTTCGAACAATTTATGAATCATGACTTTTTATTAAATAGTATGTTCGTGTTTTATTAAAATATTTCCTCTCATTTTGTGTTGAACTTGATCATATCTCTATGAACTGATGTGGATTCGGTAACCAGTTTCAGAATAATTTTGTATGTTATAGCAGAAAGAAAGGTTGATGAATTCTGGTATTGATCAAATTTTATGGATGATTTGTTGTCGGGATGAAACGGGATTACTCAAGTAGATAAACGAATTTACTGGAATAATTATCACTATTTCGAAGAAAAGTTGTTACTATTTCCGTGTCAAGGCGAACACATCATACCTATAATGGAATGGTGACTCGGTGTTTAAGAACTTCGACTATCAGTTACTAAGTCACAGGTTTAAACATCGCCGCACCTACTACAGTTTAGGCAATTCCTAACGCTAACACTTAGAGTACAACTTAAAACCATATACCCCAATCCGTACCTGTTAAAAGAGTCAAGATAAGAATAGCCCGATAATTTGAAAAAGCAAGCATTAAATCGAACCTCTTAAAATTGTGAAATAAAGATAAATTATCAAACCAATAAGTTCGCTTAACAAATCACAATAAATGTAAAATGACAAGTGAAAGCAATCTGTAAAGTCTTCACCTAGTCATAATCAACACACTGGGCCTGGTACAAGTGTATCGTTAGTCTAAAGTACTACGCCATAATTAAGTAACTAAAATGTGCAGCTTTTTTTAGGGAGACACTCACCTTTTAATGGTAAAAAGCCTAGACGTTCTTCATCCGGTACTAGTTTACCTTCCTTATCAACTTGACCTTCAATTTCACAACCACGAACATAATGCAAACCAACTTGTGATGCAAACGGTTCATTCGTATTAAATCTACGTATATATGAGTAGGGTAAATAAAGAAAAAAATGTAAATTGAAGTAATTTCATGTAATTAGATTCCACGATAAACTTTTGTACCGCAAGAACAACAAACACTATGTGAGGTAAAGTGAAATAATTTCATTCCATGTGCTATAATCAGTCTATATATGCGGAAAGTTTAGACTATATGAAATAAGATTATATCCCTTTATTCCATAACATATGTTGCTCTTGCTTTACAAATATTGGCATAAATATGCTCACAAAACACTGAACTTATTAATCAGAAGGTTAATAATTTTTCAGTCTACCTGAACTTTTGGATGTACCTGCACTATGAGTACGAGTCAACATGATTTCATGAACTAATGCCATGTTTTGGCTTTGCTGCTTCTAGTTTTCTTGTAATCTAATCGTGTGCCATCCAACATAATGTGATAGTAGATCATGTTAGAACTAATACAACTGACGAAAATCCACTGCCTCATTAAGCCATTTACCATATTGAAATACTCGTTACACTTGGTCTCAGAATTCCATCATACACAAAGCAATATTCTAAACACAGTTTAATCATTATGAATACAGATCATTCGTAAGTAATGTCCTTCGTGCCATACAAATGATGCGAGAAATTCATTTGTATTTATTTACTAATGTCAACTTACCACGCAGAAACATAAGATTATGAATTCATTCAGTATTAATGATGTAAGAACAGAAACAGTTTCATTTTGAAAACAAAAGAGTAGCTAACTACACTAAACAATACACACTACTCTACATGAAGACATACATGAGAAAAAAGACGAAACGAAACTTAATATTATATCGTTAGTGTCCATAAAATGCCTTTGAATAAGTGTAACGACAGACTGGGTTTATACTGAATCGTTAAAAAAAATCGATAAACTTTAAATCCCATTGTCGATAATGAAATAAAATTGTCATAGAAAGAGAGAGGAGATAAACATACTTCCATCCTTGTTGTTTAGTAGGTCGTATTGTTACTAGAAACACTGGGTCATGACGTCGTAAACCAAGCCATTCTTTACGAATCTCTGGACGAAGACCAGCAAGCGCTACACGTACATCAGCACGTACACGTGCTGGATGTTTAGCACCTAAATCTGGTTTAGCTACTTCAACAATATTAAATGCTTGTATTGGTAAAGCCATTCTTGACCAACCATCAAAGACGGCTTGACCAAATTCACCACGCCATGCTTTCAAACGAATAATAGCATCTTCGATATCCTAAAAATAGAAGGAACACGAGTATGAACGATGACGCATATTGACATAAACAACAGAAGTGATGGTTACTTAAATTTGATAACTCCTTATGAATGTAAAGACGTTTCGATTCGAAAATCGACATCAGTGGAAAAGCGTATCGTATCGTTATACACTGAGAGTTCTTAACAAGAAGTCACCAAAAATACTGTATCCGCATCACTAAAACAATGAAAAACAAGGGTTCGAATTACAAAAGGGGTGTATCTTGATGTTAAGTGTAAGAAGGTTTGGCTAGAGTATGAGTAATAGTAGAAGAATGAATCAGTTTAATATAACTAGCCCAAGATGTAGCGTATGAGCACGACATAAAGTCGTCTGGAAAACTATACGCGTCCTAACTCAGATGGTTCGTAAAACAGTAAAACATGCAGCTAGGATGTTAAGAAAAACATAAATAAGATTGGGGTATGATGCATCTAGTTTTTATACTAAGCAAAGATTGAGCATGTTATCTACCCGTATCTACCCATTCTCCTCCCACAGAATCGGCATATTTTTATTTATTTCATTTCTGTTACTATTATTAACATCGAACTTCTTGTCTCTGAATTGGTTCTTTAAACAATATAATGTTTAAGTGCAGTAACTTAGACCAATGGAGTCATGAATGTGCACTGTTAAGGAGTCGTATATTAAGGTAAAACAGATGGCCAATCTTTTTTTAATTTTCAATGGTAGTCTAAGTAGGGTTAGTTCGTGAAGTGGAAAGAAACTGTTACTACCATCTGATTCCCTAGATCGAAGTAAGTGATGAAATAATGGTTGAAAATAAAAAGAGTACACCATTAATTGACTATTGAACTATAAATAGATAGTATGAAATGAACAAATATTTATAATAATTTGTAATGGAACTAACTTGTCGGATTTCATAAGTTGACTCTAAACGAAATAAATTGAAATTTCTTAGTAAGTAGTCTTGTAAAGTTAAAAATTGTAAGCCTAATTTTGGTAAAGCTAAACAATTTTCACCAGAATAGTATTCCGTTGGAACACGATTCTCATCCCAAATTAAATCTTCTGTAGGATATAATGATAAACTGTTGATATATTCCAATTCAGATTGACGACGGGCAAAATGATGAATTAAAATCTATAAAAGGACAGAAAGAGGTCAAGAATGAAAAAGAAATTAATAAAGTACTTTGAAGAATGTAAAATCATTTATTTTAAAAATACTATCGAGCCGTTTATTGTCCGTAGAAAACAATAAGAATTCTCGGCAATTTATTCTGTGTAATCATTTATAATCCGAGATTTATGATCTCGAGTATTATTAGAGGGTATGTAGACGGTTTTTACTTCCCAGTTGATTGCATTATGAAAGGATGTTCCTTCTTGACAGACTTGAAAAACGGAAATCCGTAAGGCAAGGTGAGGGATTTTATTTTTAGGATTGACTTTTGGTAACCCACTCAGTCTGTTTTAAGAAGGCAGCTTCGCAGCGTATGCTGATAGTCTGAGGATAGTACCTTTCTGTAGCCACACTGTAATACAGTTCACAGCAGCTCGTCACCGTCCGAGAACTATTTTCAGTCGCTGTTCCCCAATCCACCTATCAAGTATGGTAGGACCTAAATGTACAAGTGTTTCACTCAATACAGATAGATCCAATCGTCACGGTATGCAGGCCCAACCACCACATCAAAGTAGCAGCTACTGTCGGTATCTAAAACCCGACCTGTACATACAGTTCAACGGTGATAGTTTGAGAACTGATTATAATAGGATGGCAACTGAAAAGGATTTTTATATGGGATATATCTAAAAACATATTAAATGGAACAATCGATTTGGTTAAAAATAGTTTATTTTAAGAATCTTTAATTCAGATATTTTTCATGACTGCCAGTGCGTTTTATACTTAATAAATGATTAGCATCGATGAAGCTGTGCCGTCAACTACTGAACCCGAAACTAGTACAAATATAGACGTTCGATAAATTTATTATGAGTCGCTAAAAATGCGGTCCAACATTGTGGCCAAGTACACAATTATGTATTGAGCTATCAGACACGCATAAAAACCCATACACTTAAAATGTTTTTTATCAACGAGTTTGGCGAACAATTTTCCAGGACTAGCATCATTTTTGAATTCTTCATAAAGTTGGCTGAAATGCTTGAAAAAAACTGTCCTCTTCGATAAACAGCTGAGGACATTTGACGAATTCGAAATTTTTTCCCCAAGTGATTTGTTGCAAGTTTATGTTTTTCTTTAACTCAGTATAACAGTTTGTGACATTAGTTTATACCCAGTGTGACACATTGGTTTTACTATCAATGTAAAATTTTAGTCAGAAAGACATAGTGTTTTTATTTCCCAGGAAATATGTTTTATATCAATTAAAGCTGAATTTCATTCAGTATGACGGATGTGAACTTTTGCCACAGGGTGACAATTATACACTTTGCAGCGATTAAACTCTTTGATAAATTTCGATAGTGTAATAAGTCGAAAATTATCAGAATTATGTGATATATCATATAGTTCTGATAATCTTCATCTTCTTATACTCTTTGTATTTATTTAGTGCGAATTTTGCCCGCAAATTCCCTGGTACGGCCGAGAGTGGGGAGAGTCCGCTCTTCCTCTCAAAATGCTCTCATATGGGCACGCATATATAGCCTCTGCCAGGGAGTCCTACTCACTGCCTTCTCGCACCACGGGTGTTGTTTACGAAAATGAGAGGACTAAAAGCGAATGTCCGGCGCTTTAACCGGATACCAAACCAATGGTGCACATGGGCTCTAGTATCCTGAAGGAACAAATGGCGTATGAACCAATCGTTGGTCACCGGCTACCATGGGACTGCATCTCCTTACGATGCACCACTGCCTTGTGGATCAGATGTTCAGGTCGAAGGCTCGGGGTGTGGCCCCCTAAGAAAACCACCTGCTTCGATTTGGGCACTCGGGCAGTATCACAGCCCTCACACATATCAAATGAGATCTGTGTGGCGCATATGTATTTGGTGCCTCATTGTACCAATACCTATGTGTTGAAACAAATAAATAAATAAGTGAGAACTTTGCGTATTTTACAGTTACCTTGCGTATCTTTTCACCTATATGATGCTCATCAACTAATCGTCAAGTTTTTGATTGAGATCACTAATCGACTGATGTTAGACCACCGTTGGAAACCTGGAAGCACCGGACGGCCGTTTCGTCCTATTATGGGACTCCTCAGCAGTGCGCATCCACGATCCCGCTCGCGGGTTTCCAACGGTGGTCTAACATCAGTCGATTCATTATCTCAATCAAAAACTTAATAGTCTCCACAACCCCAATACTGATAATTAACATGTGCTCACTAGTGACTAGCTTCGTGAGGGAATTCTCGGAGTTCTAGTGAGAGGCCGTGACCAGTGGAGCTAATCCGTGTCGGGTAGAGACAGATATCTACCTCAGTACAATGGAAGATGGTCGCGCGATTTCGTGGATCAGTTGATGTTAGACACTAACACCATTGGATGCCGGCTCAGTGGTCCAGTAGGTTAAGCTTTCGCGCGCGAGACTGAAGGCCCTGGGTTCGAATCCCGCGAGCGGGATCGTGGATGCGCACTGCTGAGGAGCCCTATAATAGGACGAAACGGCCGTCCAGTGCTTCCAGGTTTCCAACGGTGGTCTAACATCAATCGGTACATGATCTCAATCAAAAACTTAATAATCTCCACAACCCCAATACTGATAATCGTCAAGTGTTTATAAAATCAGCATACAAATGATGTGTTTGTTTTAACAAGGTCATGTTTTGAAAAGTTAATAAACCTTCATTGTACCAGTCTTCTTGTTCTTATTGTGCATCTTGGGAATTATAGTAGTTTCGATTTCCAAGTATAAGCACTAGAACCGAAGATATTACATTAAGTTCACTAAAAAAAGCTTTAGTAGCTCAGTGTGTGTGGATAGGTAGGTTCTATTAGCTTGGCTCTTAGATAAATTTTAAACACATATACACACAAGTTATTTAACAATATGTACTTACTCGAATTATCAAATCTTTATCCATAAATTTAGCTTCTAATTTATCTCTAAGACAATTTAAATTAAACTCGTCTATCTCCTGATTATTTGAACGAATTCGTTTTGCAGGCGGTAATTGACCATCATTATCATTATCATTATCAATTTTATTTTGTTCATTATTTTGAATAGATTCTTTTTTTAATGTAACAAGACCAAAACATGAAGCTAGTTGATAAAGTTGATCTCTATCTAACACTGATAAATGTTTACGTAATAATTGTGCAGTTTCGATTCCCGCAGGATGTGAGACAGAGAATGGTAGAAGTTTATCTTTATGTGATGCAAATGTTTTCAATTGTAAATTACTTAGTTTAGCACAGTGTCTACAAAATAAATGAATTATAGAAGTTTATTTTCCAAACAAATAATAAATGAAATTATAGAACTTTCATTAGGGAATAAAGCGTTTAATAGTAATGAGTAGTGGAATTCTTGATAACTGTTTCACTGTAATATATTAATAACTGATATTATTATCGACTCATTTACTAGATACAGATACATGTACTTAGTCACACTACTGATACTATCTCGTTGGACAACCAGAAAAAAAATGGAGGGGGTTTGAACGTGAAAATTAAATATCCTAACTACTGGGCGACTGCTCTGATGAAACTACATTTCAGAATTTATTTTTAAAAACATCAGATATCGGTATAGAGTAGATGGTATGTACCTAATAGAAGAATAGAAGATCCATGTTTCATCCTATTTGGGACGTATCAGCTGGATATACCTGTATCGTATAGTTGACGTCCACTCAGTAACTCTGACCCAGTATTATTGACATCAAACGCCAATACTTTATCCACTTAGCTACTGAGTTTATATAGCCACTCACTTGTGCGGCGTGTATGAATTTTAACTTAATCTGTAATGGTACACCCGGCTGACGAGTTCTATTTGTCACGAAATGTACGTCATGGAGTCCATTGCAAAAAACATTTCATATATTCTGTATAAACTTGTATCATAATGGCTAAATTGAGGCAATCGACACAGGATAAATATATGCCCCCAAATGCCCTGGTATGGCCGAGAGTGGGGAGAGTCCGCTCTTCCTCTCAAAATGCTCTCATATGGGCACGCATATATAGCCTCTGCCAGGGAGTCCTACTCACTGCCTTCTCGCACCACGGGTGTTGTTTACGAAAATGAGAGGACTAAAAGCGAATGTCCGGCGCTTTAACCGGATACCAAACCAATGGTGCACATGGGCTCTAGTATCCTGAAGGAACAAATGGCGTATGAACCAATCGTTGGTCACCGGCTACCATGGGATTGCATCTCCTCACGATGCTCCACTGCCTTGTGGGTCAGACGTTCAGGTCGAAGGCTCGGGGTGTGGCCCCCTAAGAAAACCACCTGCTTCGATTTGGGCACTCGGGCAGTATCACAGCCCTCACACATATCAAATGAGATCTGTGTGGCGCATATGTATTTGGTGCCTCATTGTACCAATACCTATGTGTTAAAATAAATAAATAAATAATAAAATATATGCTAACCAAGACTGATCAAATTTCAGTCAAAATATCGATAGCAGGATAACCCAAACCATCACAAATCAAATTAGAGTTGTGTTTGCATGGACATTAAGTCAATAAATAAAACTTAGCACTGTAACTTAGTCATGTGAAAGATTTTTTTGAAAAACACTTACCTTTTATCCATTTCTGCTTCATCCAATGGTTCACCAGTACTTTCATCAATGTGAAAATGAGCGTAAAAAGCTAACAAATCAACTAGTTCTGAAAATAACTTCCCATCTGGACGTTTGATAAGTGCAGATTTCTGACAATACACAACAATATGTCTATCGTCGAGAACAACATTTAATATTCGACGTGTAAGCAGCATACTTTCCAAATCGATTAACAATAAGATGAAACGTTCTAAGTAGTGAATCAACAAAGGTTCTATAGGCTTTAATTAGAAGAAAAGGAGAAGAAATGAAAATAATTCAGTATGGTTGTACGATACTTTACATGACAAAAGATTCTGTTTTATTATATTTTGAAAACTGTCCGAAAACTTGAACCTAAATTTTGTGCATTATTTATTTATTTTAACACATAGGTATTGGTACAAGGAGGCACCAAATACATATGCGCCACACGAATCTCGATTGATTTGTGTGAGGGCTGTGATACTGCCCGAGTGCCCAAATCGAAGCAGGTGGTTTTCTTAGGGGGCCACACCCCGAGCCTTCGACCTGAACATCTGATCCACAAGGCAGTGGTGCATCGTAAGGAGATGCAGTCCCATGGTAGCCGGTGACCAACGATTGGTTCATACGCCATTTGTTCCTTCAGGATACTAGAGCCCATGTGCACCATTGGTTTGGTATCCGGTTAAAGCGCCGGACATTCGCTTTTAGTCCTCTCATTTTCGTAAACAACACCCGTGGTGCGAGAAGGCAGTGAGTAGGACTCCCTGGCAGAGGCTATATATGCGTGCCCATATGAGAGCATTTTGAGAGGAAGAGCGGACTCTCCCCACTCTCGGCCGTACCAGGGCATTTGGGGGCAAAATTTTGTGCATACCAGTAGGCATTGAAAAAAAGTGAGGTTGTAACCATAGGAGCGACTTATAGTCCACCAAAATTAGGTCTCACGCCGTTTAAATCCACAACCAGTCAACAATGAGAGATATATTTAACTAAACAGCTAGCTTTAATAACTGTCTAGTGGCTCAATTAAATGTCTAGCCTACCACCACAATGGAAGATCTACTTACGGTGAAAAAGGCTCTTTAAATGTGGCACTAGGTTGACTGACAAATTTCGGCAAGTACGAGTTTTTTGTGAGTTACTTCAAGAACGTGTGTTGCAATGTTTTGTCACCTTATTCAGTGGTAGTGATGTGTTATTTTTGATCAAAAGAATACAATCAAAAGACGTAGAAACCATTTACTCTAGTTACTATTTGCGCACTAACTCGTGTAAAGAACTCCCATAAATGTACTGTGAAAATTATGCTGCTGGTTTAATGTAAACTAGAAACGTAAGTGTATTTATTCAACGAAGTAGTTCGTTTCTATAGGATCGAATGAGTAGTACACCATATACATTTTACTGAAGTCAATGCTTGGAAACACAATACTCCTCAAAGAAAGAAGGAAAAACAACCGGCATGATAATCAACTGATAAGGTATTTGGTGTTCTGTTGAAATAAGACCAACTGCGTGAATTAAAGAGAATAAACTTTTGTTATTTAGGAAAGCCTAGTGATGTGAATGAAAAACTGACCACGCATCGAATAATTACATCAATTTCTGAAAGGATGACTATTTGATAAGCCTACCAGAATATTTTACCTATTTTGTAATTCATTGTTACTTCTGATTAATGATACTGTTCAGTCGATCAGTCAGTGAGAATCAAATTAGGAGTTAGCACAAATATGCATCAATTCAAGTTGTTATACCATAACAGCAAGGCGAGGTGAAATTAACAAGATGGGTAATAAATGAGTCAGAATAGTAATTTCAATGACAGTGAGAAAAACTACACATAAACAATAAGGTCCGAAAGAACAAATGTAGTGATGGGATACAAAGCATGGAATAATGTTAAAACTCAATATCTAGGGAAAGATAGAGAATGAATAGAGCAGCGCCACTAAGATTAATTTTGAAATATTTCACATAATATGTTCAACCATTGATCACAATCGTCACATGGATCCCGATTCCGTAGTCTGAACTTACCAACTTGTTTCAGACCAACAGTTAACAGATTCATGACTTGATGTTGTCCTAGTTTGGACGCCATCAGCTCTCTTCTAACCAACTCCTGTTCACATGTTGAAGATTAAATGCATACGAAACAAAATTAATCCAATTCCTTTCACAAACTTAGTTACTTTTGCTTTTCAAAAATCAGAAGCCAAATCGGAAATCAATAGGTACATACCTTATCTTCATCCTTTTCAGGTATTGAATTCAGCAGAGTTAAAAACACATCCAAAATTCGTGGGATAAATGAATGCTGAAATACCATATTATCTCGTTCAGTAGGGGAAACTTTTGTATCACGATATTTTTGTAGTTTTTTTAATAAGCGAGCATATCGTGGATGTGATTTTAGTTCAAGACTTAAACGAGTCGGTTGAAGATGATCTTGCCAAATAGCTAAACTATATAACTCACGAAGACTACGTCGTAATACACCAACTTCAGCTAAATTTGTAAAACAATGTGATAAGAAAATAATAAGAACTATATGCTCCAGAATACATTTCTTCTGTTGTACTGGGTTTGATGATTCGTCAGACGTTTGGTGTTTGTCTTCTTCATCATTGTCATCATTTTTAGACTTTGTATTGATCTCAGTGAGTAGTGGATTAACCGTTAATATCTGTGGAGATTCATCAAGTAGAATATGTAGTACTCGATGAATAAGTCCACTAAATTTATCCGCTGTAGCTACAAAAGTCTAGAATATTCAGAGAGAAAAGAAACACAACAGTAATTAATATAATGCAGATAAAGGTTAACATTGATTACTTGAAAGAATATTATTATTTCAAGATTAATTATTTGAGGAGCTTTTAAGAGTTAGTATGTCAGTTCGACCACGTTTCTAACTCAATTCTAGGAAACGAATAAAAGTAGTTGTCTCCCACAATTAGTTTATTACTTAAATGTTGTTTTGCGACTGCTAACTTTAGAATTATTAGTTGTGTTTAGCAACTAACTAGTGTTGAAATACGACTAAGCAGTATAAGGACAGTTATCGACATTAAGAAGGGTCTGGTGGAATTTCGAAAGTCATAACTTTTTGTTAGGTCTAAAGGTAGTATTACTCAAATATACCTCTGAAAAGTTGTTTTGCTCACAATTCAGTTTTAGGGTTATGTTTATAAACCGAGAGAACATTGATTAATACTCCTTGTTTCACGAGGCATTTCTGAATGAGATTGTTCATATAGTATGAACATTTGGCTAAACTAATGAAAAAGAGGTGATACTTAAACCATTGGAGGTGACTTAGTGGTCAAAGGATTTCGTTTCCAGCTAGGTTTCTGGTTTGAACTACGCTCCACTTATATCATTCAGAGCAAGTGGTTAGTATCACTAACAGTCTCATACAAACAGTATAGCGCAAAGTCGAATACACTAACTTGTACTTGGGTAGATGGAGTTACATTTAATCTATGGGAAATTATAGCAGTAGAATTCTATAGCGAAACCCTAGAAATCAGTCCGCGGTTCAAATTCGTAAATTCATTCTGGAGTAACAGACACCTATTTCTAATAGATCGCACTCAAATAACATCGTGATTTTTAGTCTCACTTTTTTAAGTTTAACTAGTGATATGTAATTAGTTCAGTCTTAGACAAAGGAAAATGTTCTAACTACCTGATCCCAGATAACAACACAACTATTCTATATGAAGGATTTATGAAATGCCCATCCAAACATAATGAGGTTATTAAAAAGATCACATTTGTGTTCGATGAAAATCTTACTAGTTTTTTTTCATTCATTTTTGTTATTTATTTTGCGAATATTAGTTATAAACTAAATTTTTCGAAACATTATTTTAGACAAATTTACGCAAGCTCTAATCGAGATAAACAATTTTGTGGTTTCATTGAAAATCGAATATTAAAAACCATACTTAATTAGTAAATATTTCATTTGCCTAGTAAAATTATGAAATGTAAATTAGTTTTGAACAGATGTACCTGTTTAAGGGTGAAATATGCACATTGGATAAGGAAAACTTATACCACGTAGCTCATCAGATCAAAATAAATGGAGTGCAAAACATTCAACACAAGTATACAGGTCAATTTAAACATACTTTAGCATGGTGAAAGCTAACTTCTCAATAAATATTCTGCATAATTAACCCCGTAACTTTATAATATTAATAATCATATCCTTGGCTTTAAAATGGATTCCCCAAATAATGAATAGTGGAGTTCAAGCTTTTCGAGAGTGAGATAGTTATTACTGACGGCAGTGGATGACAGTAACGTAACATTCTAAATTGAATGAAGTTTCAAATAAGGACAACAAAATTTCAGCTCAGGGTTTGACTCCTGGCGAGTTGTTCAAGGGTGTGCATACTGCTGGAAAGTTCCATGCAGTGAAAAAAAAATCTGTCTAGTGCACCCTAGTTCTTAATGATTTCTCATGTGATCTCAGACTTTGATTCAGATTTATTTTATATGCTCCTTAACTTCTATATACAAGCTAATTTACACAGTTATCCATGCTGCAACTGATTTAGTTATTAAATATTAAAATAAGGTTGCGTACCCTTTTGTGGCCTTACTCTAAACACTATAAGACTAATTGTTCTATGGTAATACGAAACGCTGAAGGATCTGTTTGACATCATGCAAAACAATATTTCGACATTACCGCTTCAGATATATATATATATATATCCGGTAAAATTGATCATTTGCAATAGTTCGCAGACAGCCTTATTTATAAAAATTGTTACACTAACCGGCCATATTGGGACACGACCACGGGCTTTTTCATTAACCATTGCACATATTGATAAAACATGGGCACGGCTACTAATATCTGGTTCAAAATGTGGCCAAAGCCATTGCTCTAAGTACTGATTCAATTCAAGAGCTAGACATCGGCGATGTGAGAACCCAGAGGCCAGCAATTCCTGACGGTAAATCCGTTCCATCACATTTAATTGAAAAGGTTTGTATGTATCCGTTAGACATGCTGATGAATGTTTATTTTTTAGCGGCCCCGGAGCTGTAATCCAATAAGTACGAGCAAGTTGACTGATACGATCTTGGGACACATAATCTACTGAGTCACGAAATGACATCTACGAGTAAGAAAAAGAACAAAGAGATCATCACTCAGTGGTAAAGAAAATGGGTTGACTTGTACAGAATTGAAAAGTTAGTCGGTCACAATCATAGTAAAAATAGATATGATAGGCGGATTGTTTTGTGTACCAGTCTTTAATTAATCTATTTCTGTAGAAAATAAGTCAATTCGCTCTCCCTTTGAAAATTTAAGTGCTTTTCGAAGAATTAATCGCATTTTGTGATAAAAATAGATTGATAGTAATGAGGTTAGAGGTAGATCACTAAACAAGGATGACAAACATGTTGGGGTAGCTTGAGCACTTGTTTTGTAGGACAACCACCGACTATCTCACTGCAAAATGTGGGATAGGATAAAAATAGGTTGGGAGAAAACAAAAGATGGCCAGACCAAGACATGATATCAATCTATAGTCATTTGTTGTTGGACTAGCCCATTTTGATAGATGCAGACTATCTAATCGAGGTTCTCTCCTTACGTCTCAAGCTCGTCCATTTTTTAAAATCGTACTCGCCAGTATCTAACCTTACTTGCTACCATTGATACTAGTATTATTATTAAAACTCCTTTGGGGTTCATCTTGTCAATTCTATCTCACCGTGACGATATAGTACGGAATCCAAAGCCACCGCTTATTTGTGCTAGGTCCTAGGTTCTATACGACTGAGTCTAAATGAACTGCCTTAAAGCTAGTGCTAGATAACTATGAAAAGCCTATTTCGGATGAGTTAATGGATGTAAATAACTTTATTTGAGCCAAAAAATATCAGATACATTTTAATGGACCGGAAATACAATAGGAAATGTGTGGTAGTTTAATGCAAATATGATAAAGAAATGGAAATTTGCAGGTTAGTGTATTATCGATAAGCAATAGTCAATACATTTGCATAACAGTATACACCGTTAACAGATGTGGAAATAATGAGTGGTAACGAGAGATTATTAGGATATCACTAACAGTTTTATGGTTTGAAAAAATACAAACTATTGTTATAATAAGTTGATCCCTAATTCAGCAATTTTTTTGTTTTCTGACAATAAAAACGGTGGAGACCTGTTATGAGAAGTTTCTATTAAATTGGTGGTAGCTAGCACAATTTAGTAACCAAGTACAAGAGTACTCTGCTTTGAGCTGTAATCGAACGTTTAGTACTCGACTTGAAACTAAAGAGATATAGGTTACGTTTGTTCTTTTCATTCAAGTTGGAGAAGTCAAACAGAGGGATTAAGTACACAGCAATATGAATTTTTGGTTTGAGAAACAGACCCAAAATGGTAGGTGAGTTACATTTCCAGATACTCTAACAATCTAGGGGCTTGAAATTCCTTTTTGATTCAGACCCTGGATTCTGTGGTTGGACATAATATACTGAAACTGCCGGAGAGGTCAAAGGATTATGGGATTCTAGAGAATACATGACGCATCCAGCTACTTTGATTTACAGTAAGTATCGTCTCACGACATAAATACTGTAACAAAGCAGCCAGGCCAGTCTAAGACAGTAGGCTGTGGATCTGCTTTAAAAAACTGAAAATAAGTTAATCGCTGGGACGTCAAAGCCTATGTATGATGACAACTTATCTGAACATATCGCTTTTTGTTTCCTAGAACAGTGAATTCACCAAGACGTATAAAATAGCGTTTATGGATGGGACCAACCATCTGTAAGCTGACTATAAATTACCTCATGACGATTGTCCCCCATAAAGAATCAGTTGTAACCGAGTAATCGGAAAAAATATGGACAGTACCTTCCTTGACACAAACTAAGACATTCAATGCTTTTCATCTTAATAGTGCAATTCAAGGCGGATAGATGCTGAGATACGACCTGGATCTCTTATGAAACGTTCAGAGGACAGTATCATGTTCGGTGTTAAAGATATCTGACATACTGCTTGATAAGGTACATTAAATAGTCCCCTACCCTACTAAATATATACGCATAAGGTAAGGTTGGAAGCTAGCTTTCCAATTAAACATGTTTACTGATTGGGGGAAACAATGTAGAAACAGAACAGTATTACATGGGAATGAACTCATCAACCAATATTCGACTGTTCAGGTTTCAGTTTTCATATACTTTAAAATAGTATTACCGTCAAGATCCAGTAGAGAAGTTAGATTACACGAAGTCGGTTAAAGCTAAATTCTTATTTAAATCAGCTAGTCAGCCAGACACTCCGATTACTTAAATCAACTCAATGTTTCTGTTAATTTCAATACGCATTACATCCAAGACTCTTCTGCAAACAAGAGTCCCGAGGGCCTGGATGGCTCCGACAAATAATTGATACTTATTATTGCTGTCAAATACATAGTACTCCTTATAAGGAGCATAACCTGTATACATATTAACTTTAAGTCTTGGACCGTACTGAAAGTTCCATGTACACCCTATTAATTGAAGTTAAAAAGGTCTCTTGAGGCCACTTTAAATCTTGGTGGCTGTAAAATAAGTATATATTTCGCAGATATTAGAAGCAAAACGTCGCAGAAGCGTCCCACAAAATAAGCATGAAAGTGACGTACAGTTTTAATATTTCCCTGACCTTGACAAAAGTCTCCTAGGATTAGACATCGACCACTTCAGTCTTCGATAATAAGGATAGAAAGTCTATTGACCTATATTAATTCTTGCAGTTTGTAACACCGTAGAGATCCAATCTCGTTTTGAACATATCGACAGAAGGTGCTGATTTTACGTGTTCTGGTAGAGAATTCCATTATTTCACTAGGTGTGAGAAAAGGAATTCCAAGTGTAAACTATTTGATTTCGGTTTTCGAACTTTCTTAGAATGTCCTCTCAAATTATCAGTCTTAGGTGGAAGGAAAAGATAAGACATGTTAATACCAAGGTCGTTGTTTAGTATACGATCAGTCAATGTTAGGTCACCCCATATTCTACGGTAAGATAAAGGAAATAAGTTAAGGTGTCTCAGTCTGTCTTCATAAGTTAGGCCAGAGGGACCTTTTGTAATCTGAGTCCTTCATCGTCGAACTCGTTCCAGCATATCCATCTCATACTTGAAACAAGGACTCTGCCTGAATCCCATATTCCAAATGCGGTCTCACGAAAGTCGGTCATAACAATCCATATATTTCTTCATCGAAATACTGATAAAACTTAAGAATAGCTCGTAAGAGTCTGCAGCATTTTGCAGCAGTAGCCTTACGGTTTTTCGCAGTTTTGAGGTCGCTGTCTATTATGACCCCCAAAACTATTACTTTAGGCAACACGAATCCATGTATTGTGTAGCGATACGAATCATCATAGTGATTTAATTGTAGCACCACACTCTTGTTAGAACTCACTTTTAGTGACCATCCGTCCATCCATGCTACCACCTGCAGTATTATTCGATCTGACATACTGTGTACGCGTCTCGAAATCTTTATGTCATCCGCGAATATTAGAACGGATGACTTAGTTACAGTTGGTAATTCATTTACATAAAATAGAAAGAGAAGAGGACCAATGGTTATCCCTTAGAAAACTCTACTCTTTACAGATTTCCAAGTTTAGAGAGCTCCATTTACCATTCCCTCTGTCTCCTATCACTGAGAAAGTCATTTATCTAGTCTATGACCTGATGGTGGATTCCAAAACTTTCCCGTTTTTATTTGAGACTCAAATGGAAGACCTTTTCAAAGGCTTTACTTAGATCTATGAAAACTACATCTACAGGAATATTTCGATCCTTTACTGCAGCTTAATCTTTTTTTGCTAAGAGCAGATTTGTCAAACATGATAGGCTTTTCCAAAAACCTTGTTGTTTCCTGGATGAAAGATTATGCCCTTCCACATAGTTTATAACAGCCATCTGAATAATCTTTTCCATTAGTTTAACAACTGCACTGGTTGTAGCAGTGGGTCGATTGGTATTAGGTCTCTACTCCCCGCCTTATACACCGGAATAACTATTGCATTTTCTGGTCTCTTGAGAGTCTGAACTGCAGCAGAGACATATCAAACAATATGGCTAAAGGTTCAGCAATTACACCCGACAAGGGCTTGCATAATCATAGGATGAATATCGTCAGGACCACTGGACGTATCCAGTTTGAGATGTTGAGGTAGTCTTAAGACAGTATCTTTATCAATAACTACAGGATGCATCAATAAGCCACTCTAATCAAGATGAATCGTTGGTCGTTCCTCATTACTGATAGAAAACAATCTACTAAAATATTCCGATAAAGTTCCAGCTTTTTCAGCATCATCTCTTGTAAATATTATAAGATCTCTTTGTATCGAAAGTGATGGGACTTCACCACTTCCCTGAGTTCGCCTTTTTATACACGAGAATAACCTTTTCGGACCATTTTTACAATCCATAACAAATTGTCTCTCATATGAATATCTGGTTTCACTTATCAACGCTTTACAAGGATTCCGTGACTTACAATGATTGGATCTGTGCTGTTCTAAGTTTAAGATAACGCGTAAGTGTATAACATAACTGTGTTATGTCATTCTGAGTCGTTTGAGGCTTTTCTTTGACTGAAAAAGCCTCGGCATTAGAAGATTTAGTGATTTCGAGAATACGGTCGGCAGATGCAGCCAGCTCGTCTACGCGTTGTTTTGAAACGAGACCATCACAGCTTGCACCTGTTGAGGAAGTTTTGATAAGAAAAGTTGTTTTGAACAAACCATCATCGAAGGTTCTCTGGCCAATCACTTCTCTCATTCTTTGCAACATGTCTGCGGCGGAGCCGTGTTGCACGTGTGCACGAGTGTCGTTCACTCCGCGCTCGTAGAAGTCGGCATCTGCGTCGCAAAACCAGGCTTCGATGTTGTCTGGCCAGAAGGGCATAAGTTGGGACGAAGGTGGGGACACACAGTCTTTAACTTAAATACCTTAGGTGTCTGTTCAGTCATAGTAATATATCAAGTACAAAAATGAACGAGTGGAAAATATATATATCCAAAAACGCGGCAAAAAATATCACAATGTATAGAAAATTTAAATAAGACAATAATATACAAAATCACAAAAAGGAACAGACTCACAGTATGAAATTTGGTGTAACAGATCACGTCGGGCTCACTAATGAAGATGCCACAGGTATTCGGAGTTTGACAACGCCTTAACCAGTAACACCTTCTAATATGAAGCACACTCACCAAATGGAATCAAAAGACCGAAGCGAGGAGATCGAAGATATATTTGATAAGCTATCAATATATCGAGGATCGTTCGAACTAATCTGGCTAGCGATTTCGGCAGATGTTGAACACGGCGTTTACACACGTGATCTGGTGCGGATGCTTGACCGAGCGCCTTTAGCTAGATGAGTCCACTAAAACTGTGGTCAGCATCCAATGTCGAAAACTTACGGAGCTATTTATTTTGGGGATTTATTGACCGCTACAGACCCTCCTAGTGTGGTAGTGATGACCCTAAGACGTGGCCAGCCAGAAGTTTAAACCCAACGAGTTTTTTGTTGGTAAACACTCTTCTGATAGCTTGCTAGGTTTAGCAGCGTCTGGTCGTCTTTCCTTACTATAATGGACCATGATGTACAATATGGTAAAATAAAAGAAAAGGTACAATGAAAATTTCCGTTTCTCGCAAACTTCATCGTTCTTTTTATCGTCTTTTCCAGCCGTCCTGGAAAAAAGAATATGTAAGTGCATGTCGAGATACACTCGTACGCGCGTAAAAACACAAAGCGAGCGAAAAACATGGAAAATAAACTCATTCTCACTTAATAGCGTAAAAAAAGGATTTTTATAATATCGTTTTTTTGTTTTGTTTTCTTTTTGAAATAAGAAAAAATAGAAATATTAAATTCGGTTTTTTAAAAAAAATTATGTAAAGTTCAAGGGAAAATCGTGGTGATATAAAATGTAAACTCGTATCTTACGTACAGTAATCGTTCAAATGTTCTGGAAATCTTACTCTTCTTTCAGAACGCGTTGTTTTATTTTTTATTTCTGATACCGCCGAGGTATCAACGTGTGTGTCGGCTGTCGATTGAGGTATTTTAAGGACAAGAGTTGTGTCGTGCGATTGTACTGAAGGAAAATCGACGTGAATAGGATTTTCTTCTAAATACGCTGCCTTGAGGCGATCGATGCTGATGCTTTCGTTGGTTCCGTTCTTATCGATTATATAGTACTTAGATTCGCGTTGAAGAACTTTGAAAAGTCCTTCGTATGCTGATTCGAGAGGTCGTCGATGCGAGTCTTGACTTACGAAAACGTGTGTACTGTATCGTAAGTCAGGTTGAACGAAAACATCAGTTGATTGTGGTCGAGTGGAAACATGTTTAATTGAACGCATTGCGTTTTTAAGCCTGTTCGCGTAGGAGGTTAGATCCATGTACATCGAAGAGGGTGAAGAATCCACGAATTCTCCTGGAAGTCGAAGGGTCGTACCATAAACGAGTTGACACGCAGTGCATCCAATGTCAGCTTTCACTGCATTGTGAATACCTATTAAGACGAGTGGAAGTGTTTTAGGCTGATAGTAACGCTTTTAGTTGTCGGTGAAAACGTTCTACCAACCCGTTTGCTTGTGGGTGGTAGGCCGCCGTTGGGAAGCGAGTGATTCCTAATTTTGCGGTTAGACAACGGAAAAGTTCAGATTCAAACTGACGTCCACGATCTGTACTGATTGTTGTTGGGCAGCGGAATTTTGCTACCCATCGTTCGACGAAGGCGTGGGTCACTGTTTCAGCAGTAATGTCTTTGATGGGTACTGCTTCTGGCCATCGAGTGAAACGGTCTACGCAGGTTAGGAGATAAGAATATCCATTTGAATCTGGTAAAGGTCCTACCAAATCCAAATGAACGTGGTCGAAGCAACCATCGGGCGTGTTAAACGAGCCTAGGGGACATTTGTTATGTCTAATAATCTTAGATTTCTGGCAGCTTACACAAGAGCCTGCCCACTCCCTCACGTCTTTATTCATACCAGGCCAGCAAAACCGTTCTGCTATAAGCTTGATGGTTGTACGAACACCTGGATGAGAACGTTTGTATAACATATTGAAGACGTTGCGTCGATATTGTATCGGCACGATTGGACGATCCCTACCTGTAGATGTGTCACACAGTAAGGTTTCCTTACCTCTTCCCATCTGTTTAATTCGCAGTTTAAGTGTTGCTGAGGACAACTCGTGCTGAAGATCAGTGTTTTTTTTTTAAGTTGGGCGTGTTTTAGAAGGTCGACTGCTTGGAAACTGTTCAAGGAAATTATTCGAGATAAGGCGTCTGCAACTACATTGTTTGCTCCAGAAATGTATCGAATATCTGAAGTAAACTGAGAAATGTAGTCCAGTAATCGAGACTCACGTGGTGAGTACTTTTCTGAAGATGAGCTTAAAGAGAATGTAAGAGGTTTATGATCGGTAAAAAGGGTGAATTCATGGCCTTCGATATAGTGTTGAAAATGTCGGACAGCACAATACATAACTAGGAGTTCCCTACCGAATGTGCTGTACCTCAATTCAGTGTCTAGCAACCGTCTAGAGAAAAATGCAAAAGGTTGCCAGGAGTGGTTAACCCATTGTTGTAAGACTGCTCCGATTGCTGAGTCGGATGCGTCTACTGCGATGCT